AAAAAAAAGCCACAAGCTCCATCTGTTTATGGAATTATAATCTATCTGATAGCCAACCAATCGCTTAACTCTAGAAAAGAAATAAAAATAATAAAAAAGGAAGAAGAGGGTTCTTAATTAAGCCTTTCTTCATATCCCATTTATGTTCATGCATGTAGACACACCATGAAGAGTTTAATCAACCTCTTGCAAGTCATTCCATATATCTAATACTAAGCTAAGTACTTTGGTTTAAGCCCTTTGTCAGCCCAAAGGAAAAAACTCAAATACCGATATACCATGCACATACCTAGGTAACTGGTAGCTAGCTGGCTGGCTGGTTGGTTTTACAAACCCCGAAATCTCAAGCCGTAATATCTAGTCTATCCGTTACACCACGATCCCAGGGTATCCCCAGCTCTCCCGCACAGGCACCAGGTCAAGGTAAAGGACAAGGAAGGAAAGAAAGAAAGAAAAGGAAAAGAAAAAGAAAAGGAAAAATCCAAAATAAACAAAAGGAAAATCCAACATTCTTCGGAACCTACCAGTAGTGAAGCTCCACGTTAACTAGCCATCGACTCCAATGCCCCCCTCCAAAAAAAGAAGAAGAAGAAGAAGAACAAAGAATCCTTTGAATCGTTTCTTTCCTGGCAATTGTGAGACCAGTGATTCTAAGTATTCATGTACACTGTACCCCTGAGACTAGTTACCTACGCATACGATGGACCCAGATTTTTTTTCCCCGCTTCATAGGATTCTTCCATCATGTTCGATATACGCACATATATGCCGACTCGACTTTATCTCTAACCAAAATGTAAATAGTGTAGTTATACGCTCCAAACTCCCTTGCGCAATTGCCACACGCATCTGTCCTACGGATCTAGATTCACTAGTCTTCGGTTTCCTCAATTCGACCAATTAGAGTTTATACTCATCGTCTCGCGATCGTTTTATAGACAAAGAAAAATCAGATATCATTTCGAAGACAATCGGCGGGTCGATCCCGCCATCCGCCCCCCTTGCCTAACAGTAGTATCAACATACTCAGCAAGTTAATCATGAATACTGTTATATCATATATCATAACTTGAAATGCAGTATCATACCCCGCGCGCGGGCCCGGATCGCCAAAGAAGTATCACCTCAGAATTTCACATACTATGTGTAAGAATACAACTATATATCTGCAGCTCCCTAAGCTACAGCTAGCTAGCAAGGGCTTCGAGACTAGCTAGTAAAGTAAGTATCATATATGCTTACATTCCACAGAAAGCAAGCCGTAATTAATTCCACAAATTAATCCATAAACTGGAAGTTTATAGACAATCGCAGCCGGTTTCTCCTTCAATTGATCGGATTGAATCTCAACAACTCTGGACCCTATATATCGATTGGAACCATCGAGGCCCGTTAACCGACAGGCCGTCCACATCCGTCGGTCACATCTCCTTCGGAACGCTAAGTATCTAGGTACCCACCCCCACAGAAAAAAAAAGACCTAGCCCGACCAGTGATACGCGCGCATCAACTGGTAGAATAGATTAACAAATTATCCATCCAATTGGATATATATCCATCAGCGCGAGGTAGCCGAGAATGTGTCCAACCAGTGGTAATTTTTGCTTTGTTTTTTATACTCTTGATCGAGTGAGAAGTGGTATAGACGGTATGTCTACACACACACACACACACACATAGCACACACCTTGCATATGCGCATAGACTCGACATAACAGATCAGAAAATTATATGTCAATCACAGATATCGGGAGAAAAAAAACTCCAACTGCATGCATGCTGCGTATGCCGGGCTTCCCTTCTGCTTTCGAAGAAACGAGTAGGTTTTCTCATCCGATCTGGTTCTTTTTACAAAACATAGTCGTCTCGTTCCGACATGAATATACTTCTGGATGTGTCAAGCCCTGACAAAGCCTCAGTTGGATTTTGTCATCCCAACTACAGGAGCTCAACCGTCGTTGGTAACTGACGATCATCTGCCTTTCTGGGCTGTCACTAATCAGGAAATTATATGCACCCACATGGCAAAAACATCAAGAGGACCTTGAGCTCCGCCCTGCACCGAGACCGGACGACCTTAAACTCGCGGCCGCTGCTTTCCGTATCAAATCGATCGAACGTTGATTTATATTCTTCATTCTACCACATAGCACTATACTATACTATCAAAAAAAATCAAAAATCAAAGGAGTTCAAGAACGCTCACCGACTAAAATGTAAAATACAGCCAGAAAGGTCACCCAGTAACGCCCTTATGCAGGTCAAACATCCCCCACGAACGAAGTATTAAAAGAGGAAAAGGGAAACCATATTGTACACGAACCTGTCCCGCCCTTCGCCCAGTCAAACAAGAGCACCAAAAAGTACCCTCTAACCAAAGCTTGCAGACCTTATGCCTTTACATTGTAACAAAAATTTTCAAATGCAGGCCGTTGGTGCATTATCATAAAACAAAAGCGGAGGAAATGCTGCTAAGAAGGAGCTTAGTTCCTCCGCTGCTTTTTCCTCTCACTTCCATCTCCGCTTGCCTTCCTCTCCAACCCCGCACTCGTAATCCCGAGTCCTAAACTGCTCTTCTTCCCACTGGCACTCGCGGAATCATCGTCATCCTTTTCTTTTCCCAACCCACCTCGTCGACTACTCATGGTACTCAGGTTGTCGCCTCTGCTCATGGCTGCCCCTCCCAACCCGGATAGCGACCTCATATTAGGAGTGCCCGAGCGTCCAATGGCCCCATTAACAGCAACATAAGAAGACGGTGCGCCCCCGTTCGCTAATCGCCTAATCTCCGCGAGGTCTCCTGCGGCGTCCTCAGGCTTTAATCCTGCCGGTGGCGGCGCCGTCATGCTCTTAGTAAGAAATGACGGGGGTATAACCGGTGTCATGTTGTGCCCTTGAGAAGCGGCAGCCGCACTCGTCACATTTCTCGTCGTTGGCCCTGCTGCAGGTGCGTTGGCACTGTCCTCATCCATAACAGCGTCTTCGCCGTTCACTGGTGTATCGGCATTTTGCCCATTTGCTTGCGAACTCTGACCTTGATTACCGTTATCGGATGCAAATTTCACCATATAGTGCTTAACAGTGGCGACTTGAGCGGCCGAAGTAGCAGCTGTGAGCTCCTTATCGCTAAACAGCTTTTCTAGGGTATACAAAGGTTTCACAAAGTCGCTCGCGTGGACACCTGACCGTGAAGGTCTCGTCGCATCTGTGGATCTTGGCGTGGAGGGACGAGAAATTTCGTTAAAACTACTGAAGAGAATGTCATCAGTGTCGCGAGATGCGGCGCCTTTCCGGTTGTTTGCCCGCTTTCGTTTCCCAAGGCCACCGGGGCTTTGCGAGCCATGTAATCCGCCATTAGAAGGTAACCCGCCGGAACTTTCCAGCGTTTGAAGGATTGTTAATAGGTCTCCGCTTTTAGAATCACCGTTGTGGTCCTCCCCGCGCCTACCACGCAGTTTGCGGGTCGGTGCACCATCTAACGAGGAGTATATATCGGTAAGACGGCCTGCAGGTGATTTTTCGTGCTGTAGGTTTGCGTAGTGGGTAGGGTGTAAAAATGCGAAGGATGGTTCGGTGGAATCGAGATTGTCTTTGTCAGAGATGAGTTTCTTACGATTTTGCTGAAGCCTCGTCAACAATCTCTGCCTAATATTACCAACCAGATGCTGGTATTCCTGTTCCGCATGGTAAAGTGCAAGTTCGTGGTGCATTTTGATGGTGCTCTTCCGACGTTCATGAAACATCTATAATATAACCAATAAAAAAAAAAAAGAGGAACATTTGTTAGTACTTTGTTCCGGGGAGCGACCGATTGTATAAATCAAAACGTAAAATGTTCAACATACGTTCAGTTCAGTCATTTCGACATCTCTCTGCTCCACACTGTCATTGACCTTGTCGATGAACCTACTGTAGAACCTGCCCGCCTTCTCGGCTGTCGAAGGGAGAATCACACCAGAGTTCTTCAATACTTCATCGATGGCCGCCTCTACCTCTCCCCCAAAGTCCGGTAGTATGCCATTGGTATCCGGGTGACAATTGGTTTCGGCAATCGCTCGCATTTCTGCGTTAAGTATCGATAGCTGCGTCCTGTACCGGTCATCCTTGCTCAAGGTGAAGTTGTTGTTCAGTTCCGTAAGGGCGTTAGCAATCGCGGTACGGCGCTTGTCTCGTTTTGAAAGCGACGATGTGCCCTGCTGGCCGGCTTGCGGATGGCCATGGTGGTGCAGTGCAGGAGGTGAGTCGATCTGCATGTGGTGTATATGCGGTGATGCGATGGGCGACGGTGAAGCCATTGTTTCGGGCCAGGGGAGGTAGATGATTAGTGTTATACGGATTCAAAAAGAAATGAAGGTCGTGGACAGGAATGTCCACAAGATCTTTATCGTCCCCAGAATCGTATGACTTCGATAGACGATAAGTAGATGGGGTTCGTGCAGAAAGGAGACAAAGATGTCGCGGGGACGTCTAGATGGAAAATTGTGGCTGGCAGACGAACAAAGAGGCCACTGAACCCGGGAAGCAGGTCACGACCCTGCTATAAATTTTAGCAAATAGAAATGAGATTTTGAAGAGTATATTATGCCTCTGACCGATAGAGGTGAGTTCCCGAGAGAAGTCGAGTGGATTATGGCGTTTGGTGATGCCGAAGATTGGGTGATGGAGAGGGTGAAGGAGATGAGAGCGAGGATGTTTTCTTGCGTGGAGCCTTTTTTTGGAAGCAAAGCAGACCAGAATTCAGTCTGCCCGGCCCAGACAAACACGCCCAGCCAACACCGTCATCTGATTTAGCTTAGCATACATTCGGTAGCATAGCAGAGCATGCCCTCCAAACCGTCCCGTCGAATTAAGTAAGTTATCGATAGGTCACATATATGGGGTTCTGAGGCTCTTGTGTGCGGCCGCACGAGGGAATTAAATGTTTTATGACGTTTACTATAGTATGCATATGCCTACTTGTGTATTGTTAGGGCTAACGGTTCGATTAGCAAAAAAATATAATTGGTAGAAGCGGCTCCCTCCGCAAATTTGAACCCTTAAGAAAGCCCAAAGGTCTATCTTGATAAAATGTGAATGTTGAATGAAAGAAGGTCAACTTTAAAGTACAGCTGTAAAAATGTAACCAGCCTCGTGGCCCAAATATAGTATCCAGCCTCTGAGTAACTTATCCCAGACCCTGATATGATATACTCCAAAGTCCCAAATGCGCCTGATTCTGATAACCAATATAGCCCATATAACCCAGAGATAACAAGAAAGGAGACAATAATAAAAACAAAGATTAAGAGAATGTATAAGGAGAAAGACAAAAATACGGGAAAGTAAGAAGGAAAAGAAGGAGAAGAAGAAAAGATAGACAATACAGATTCGCTAGTTATACTTTAAACAGTTCTAGACCTCATCTTCATCCTACTCACCCGCGGATCAAACGGCGGTGTGAGATTGTTCGAAGGGGCCAATGACATGTTATACATCAGCACAAACCAGCAGTACGCTGCTAATTTGTAATTATTGGCCATCCGCGCATGATTATATGGCCGAAGAGCACCGGATATGGACTGCTCCTCTCGAATCTCTTGATGAGTGAGTATGTCGACTAGCTCGTGTAGTTGCCTCAAATCTACTTTCATGGGGATGCTTGTAGAGTAATGGGCGGATGAACCGAGTGGGCCGTGACTCGCTGCCCTTTTAGAAGGTGTCGAGCGAACTAGTTTCCCACATTCTCGAGCATTGAAATCTCGAAGATCCCGACGAATATCGGCGCACTGTTGGAGTAGTTCTCGGATCTGGTTTCCAAGAAGGTTGGCTTTTGGTTCGATGGTTTCCCAGTATCCGGGACCCCACCATGGGTCGGAGGCGAGGTGTTCTTGGATCGAGACGACAAAGAAATCCCATTTGAGAAGTCTGGCCGCTGTTATAAGAAGTCTGATCGTAGATTCCGAATCGATAGCACGACCTAGGAGGCATGCAGGGCAGTGTGCTGTAAAGATAAGCTTGTTAGCTATTTATAAATTTATATGTGATTGCATAGCTCAATGGATATCAGCTTACCCTCGAGGGATTGACTATCGTTATTGACTGCCTCCCAAACCCAATCACACTCGTCTCTGGCCAAGCAATTAAGCCACTGGTAACCGCCTCTTGCGTCACCGGTAAATGCTAATTCCAAATCCGAGTCGTTCAGAGTGCTGATTCCACTGGCAGAAGTGTTTCCTTGAGCACTCCTGTATCGGCGAGCGAGATCTCCAGCGGAACGCATGACAGCCATCATAGTTTTGAAAAGTTGGGCACTAATATCCCGTTGAAGAATCCACATATCCTCCAACTGCTTTGGGTTCTCTGATGATTTAACGAGGTCTGAATGGTATGAACAGAAACTGTTTAAAACAAGAAGTTCATTGTTAGTGACTACTTAAACATATAATTTCATATCTGCGAGAGAAATGCATACCATGTTGATTGCTTGTCTGCCAACTGACTGCCCACAAAAGAATCCACAGAATCGAGTAACTCCTTAACGGCAGCCGGAAGTGAATTCTCCTTGATAAGTTCGTATGCACCCTCAGCAGAGGCCTGGTCCAAAGGTAACGGGCTTGCCGGCATCAAAGCACACATTTGAGCGGCCATTTTCGACTTGTTCGGTTTAAAATAACAAGATGTGTTGATCCTCCTATGAAATACTCCGCAACTCAATTCTCAACTGTCCAAAGTTGGATAAAAGGCCGAATGCGACTGGTTGGATGTTTCCAAAGAATTAAAATGTTTTCTTTGACTTCCCGATTTCGATATTTTGATAAACAAAAAGGGGAGAAGGAGAAGAAGAAGGGTCTTGATTGTTTGTATTTAAAAGAAAACAAGCAGTCTGGGTTGAGGGTATGTGGCAGAAGTATCTGAAGAATGAAACCGGATGGTCTTAGACGCCAGACAGGTTAAGGAGGCGGTGTTGCAAGAGTTGGATCGGGTGTGCCTCTAACGCTAACAGTTGGTGTCATTTAGCTGTATTTGTTCGAATGCAGGTTGAAGTTTCTGTGATCTCTTTTCTTATCCCCTCGACGCTCTGGTATTTAATTGTTTATATAAGTACCCACAGGTATATACCACACAAAAGTAAAAGTAGAAAGAATAAAAGGCTCAAGCACAGGGAAGGATTAAAAAAAAAAAAGGGAGTTAACGTTTGAAGTGTGAGAGGATTGCAAGATTAAAGTGGCAGGAGGACCGGTCTATATGAAGTAATATAATCTGTCTGAATGAATTTGAATGGATTATTTTATCTTATTTATTTTTATTTTATTTTTATATTATCTCAGAAGAACCGAACTGAACTGAACAGAGCGAGAGAGGCGGATTCCGACGCCCTTAAAAAGTCAAGTCAGAACAAGCAAGAATTAATATCGGGCATGTGCAAGAATAAATTACAATTATAGCTTGCTTGTTCAGGGTGTTATCTCTGGTTTTGGGTCAGAAGGTGCGGGTTTTTATTGCCAACCACCCCCCAGGTCTTTTGACATCCGTCTTGTCCAACAGACCAGCGATAATGCGGCTAGCAGACAGCACATCCGACTTGGGAGGGTGCTTGTGTCTGGGGCGTCGTTCATGACGATAGCTCACTAGCTTATTCCGTGGGTACGTACTTACTTACACAGTACATACATAAGTTCTGGTCGACGGGCTGGCTTGCCACTGGCTCGCCACTAGCTAGCTATTCTAAGATGACAGTCCGGGTAACCCCCCACTAGGAGCACTTGGGGCACTTGGGGCATTTGAAGCATTTGGAGCATTTGGAGCATTTTGGGGCATGCAGGTGGCAGAGGGACCCGCAGCGTTTTAGGGGTTCTCTCCGGTATGGAATGCTGGTGGCTGTTTGGGGAGATTGAGTAATTTCGCTGGATTGGGGATTCCCAGACAATCAAATATTTTGGCGAATGAATTGGAAACAAAACGTTTTAACAATGCGATAATCTGCTCTCATATTAGTTAACATGTATGATCTAAATATAAGTAAGAAGTAAGTACTTAGATATATAAGTACTTAAGAATATTATATATTGAAGTTCTGCTGGAACGATGTTGGCAATATTATGTTGGACTCGAGCTCCCCCATCGATTTCGATCTACAGGCCGGTGCGGGCTGCGCTGTTATCACCTTAACCCGCTGCAAAGCCAGCGAAATGTACTGTGCACTGTGTACTGGCACTTTGCTGTACAATTGCTCCCCAAACTGAAACCTCTAATCCTCATGAAGTCATGATAATGCAGGTCCCTTCACACTGCTTATGTTGTGCTCCCCTCCCTCATATTTTGGATATTTTGCACCATCTAATTCGTCCTCGAAACCTTATCCATGCGTCTAGACTCACTTCGCCAGCAAGTACAAATACCTACGTATTTATTCCCTGCAAGATGGTATCAAGATCGAAGATATTGCATGGATTATCGGAGGGAAAGGCTGTGTGGTAAGATACTCCGAGCAATATTGCATCATGATGGGGAACTCAACAGTTCGATATGACATCTTGTGAGAGGCATTTTCCCCAACTGATATGATAAGAAGCATGGAAACCGCCCCCCAAAAGACAGTCTAAAGAAAAATAAAATAAAATGGAGTAGAAAATAAGGGCAAATCAAGCTGTCGGTAAATATTGTTCGAAGTGTCAAAACTCTTTATTGCGCCTCAAGCGAGCCATTTTCGGAACCCATATCAACGCTGGTCGATGAAAGCGAAGCTAACAAATTTCCGGCTTCCATGTGATCCCATGCCGATAACTATGACATAAGAATATACTGCACGGTACTTTTCTTTGGTGCTTTCCTTAGGACGAATTTGTATATTCCTCTGACCTGGCAACATTCCAAAAGAAAAAGTATGCTGTTTGTCCTGCAGTCCTGCTATTCAACATTCGGCAATAAGTTTTTTTTTTTTTTTTTTTCCGTGATATTGAAAATCGAACCGACATATGGACTGTTCGGTAGGATTCACTGAGCCTTTGCCTCAGGCTCATACAGGCTGCGGCTGCCCCGCCACACATTCTCCAATATCTCTCTTCGCGGTAGAAGCTTTGGAAAAACCACCACTACCTCGCTTTCATCCCTGATAACAATCGCCAAGTAAAAACGAACCTCAAACCCAACGAACCCTTCATGAATAAAAATGTCTTGAATCGTAGATGTCGGAATGAACCTGGTGTTGGCTTTGACGAAATAGGACGAGGGGGATGTTGTGACCTGAACTCCAAGACCTCGAAGAACAAGCAAGCTTTCCTCTGTACCAAGAAACAAATCAACAAAGGCCTGAAAAAAAACAAAACCAAAAGAATGCCTGAGAGTTTAGATGCCGTGTCTCATATCAAAAGGCTCGAGGAGACAGGAAAGAACAAGTCAAAAGTTGCTTGGGCCTCGTGAATACAGGCCAGGGAAGAACTAACCTGTATACCCTCTCAAACTCGCAATCCAAACGCCAGAGAAGCCAAGAAGTGCGAGATAGTACCAGTGTACTTTCCCGCGCAGCAAATCGAGATGCTTGGGATTGATATCCGGCTTGAGATTAAGAATAGAATTTCTCAAGCCATCCTGCAGTCCATTGTCGCAATAATCTTGTTTCAGTAAAATGAACCCCAAAATTATCCCCAGCACGATAACCTTCAAAACCAAGGCTGTGATGAATCGACGAGACCACCTTTCAGGCCGTGTTGTGACCGTGTACTCGATCGTTGACGGGGTCGGATTCCTCACGCGCAGACCGGAGAGGACTGGCTTTTGAGCCACTGGTTCCCTTTCTTGTTCCATCTAGAACTTAGCTTTCAGCCCTGTCGTGTAGCTTCAGATTGTCGTCCACATGGTTTTCCAAGGCGCGCTGAACAAGAGCTGCTTGATGTTGGTTGGTATTGAAGTCCAGGACCGAAACAAAATGTTGGTGGGTTGATTGTGCAACACAAGACAGTGTTGCATTTGGGCTGAATCTCCAGCAACCATCATATGGCCATGGTCTGGGTCTCATCAATTAATTCACGAATTCACTGAGACGTTGAGTGCAAGTTAAGTTACCCGTTACCCGCTCATTGGTCGAGATGCATATGGAGCCGATATTATCATTCTCCCTTATCGCAATCACATAATTCCGTGCAATATCTTTAAGCACTTATCATGATAGACATTTAATGTGATACATTGCATAAACTATCACAGCTGCGGCTGACCCGTCCTCAACGTTTTTCATTATTTCTCTAAGCGACTATTCACAAGGCTGTATAAAATTTCCTAATTGCTAATATTAACCTTCCAAGTTTGTCTATCGGTAATATCCTACTCGATGCATTGATGACCTATTCCTGGGTAAATTGCTTGGGTAGGCATATTAGATTTCATCGGTAAACGTACGAAGCCAGGTTCTCATACGATTTATATTTCTATAAAATATCACACTGGCCTTAATTTGCGCTCGCGTACCGACTGAGGGTATATTGACTTCGCGATGGATGGGTAGCAACTTGAATCCCGCCGAAGCCACCGGTACCAGATCCTGTTGCTCCCGTATTCAGGTTCTCGATGGTATGTTGTGCCGTGCTTGGATCCAGTTCCGATATGGCACTGCTCGCACCCCCTCCTGCATGCGGTAAGGACCTAGTGGCTGTAACTTGCAGCGGTACACTCTGGGAGCCTCCTGAGGGATCTAAAATGTCTACACCTAATCCATTTACTTGTAGACGATTCGAGGAGTTTGGCCAGCCAGGGCTACCGGAATTATCCGGTATTGTGTACGAAGGAGAATATAAGGTTGCAGTGTCCCCGTTCGCAGGATCGCATTGTCTGCAACTTGAGAAGGCTCCCCCACGTTTGTATAAAACGTGCGATCTTGAGATACCATCTGATAGAAGAGGTATCGGAGCAGCCTTAGAGAAACGTATAAAGAGTAGGCTTACGATGATAGGAATCAGGGAGAAACGCCAGGGCCCTCTTGGCCTGGTATTCGACTGCTTCGCCATGAAGGGGGCAAATGTGTGGACTTAGCTTCGTAGATTAATATCCTCGAACGAAGTTGACTATGAATCAATCAATCGTACTCTTCACTCCCAATCCCCGTAGCAGTATACCCTGTGAGGTGTTAATACTCCAAAATCCGCTCGTATCGTCGCATCCTTGAAGTTCATTCTCCAAAGTGTTGTTTTGCTCGGTATGTGTTGTGTTTGCCATCCCTGCCTTCGAAGACTTCCATTCTCGGACAAGCGATTAGGGCACCAGAAAGCCCTAATATTTTGCTTTTTCGCTAAAAATTCAGTGGGAACCTTTTGCGTTTAGAGACTTCCAAAGCAACAAAAATATCCAGCAACCACATCCACGACATCGCCAACCCTACATCGTCGACAAACCCCCTCTAACTACCGGATACTACTCGACAAAATGCCACCAAAGGCTGCTGCAACAAAGGGAAAGGGTGGGTTTTTAATGCTATCAATTTTGGCTTATATCGCTTTCGCAATTCTGGGTGGATGGATTGAAGATGTCTGGTAGAAGGCTGTCCGAGAATGATAAAGGCGGGTGTAATACCGGAATGGATGAGTTGGAGAACGAATTGGTGGGAAAGAGGGGGGTGATCTTATAGATGATACATACTCCAGAGATCTAGGATTCTTCAGAGATCGTATGGAACAAAGAAAGGAAGGAATCGTGAAGCTAGAAACGAGGACGGGATTGGAAGCTTGAAAAAGAGATTGGATCTGCCAGACATCTACATCTAATTGCATCCACGAATTGCGATTGGGACTAGCATCGATATCGAGAGAACTGAAGACTGACATATATCATCTAATCAACAGCCGCCCCTAAGGCCAAAGCCGCCCAGAAGGCTGCCCTCAAGGGTGTCAACCCACACAAGGTCCGAAAGGTCAGACTATCGGCTTCCTTCCACCGACCAAAGACTCTATCCCTCTCGCGAACCCCCAAGTACCCCCGCAAGTCGATCCCACACGCTCCCCGCCTAGACGCCTACAAGGTCATCTCGCACCCTCTTAATACCGAGAGTGCCATGAAGAAGATCGAAGAGCACAACACCCTTGTCTTCATTGTCGATGTCAAGGCCAACAAGAGGCAGATCAAGGCCGCCGTCAACAAGCTCTACGATATTAAGCCAGTTAAGGTTAACACCTTAATAAGACCTGATGGAAGAAAGAAGGCTTTCGTTAAGCTCGGTGCCGAGACTGATGCCCTGGATATTGGTATGCAAAACCTTATTTCTATCAAAATTTTATCTTCAATTGCTAACTCTTTTTTTTTTTTTTAGCCGCATCGAAACTCGGAATTGTATAATCGCATTGTATATATTTCCTTGTTTCAGCTATTTCTTTTCATTTTCCAGTTCCTTTTTTGTCGGCATCTTTTTCACCTAGGGAGTTTTATACATATCCGCTTGTTCCTCCTCAACCTTCTACCCACCCTCAAAACCCTTATTACACGAAGAACGCATCCGAGGTTAATGCATACTCTTGGTTGTACCATATCTACATTATCCGTCCGACGATTAATGACACCCCACGGGGAACCACCCCCTATCGTGGTCACAAAAACTCGATTTTAATAATTTCCATATACTTTTTGAATCGTAATACTGTGAAGCCGAATCTATATGCGACTCTTAGCCGCGACCCATGTAGTACCCCGTGACCGATCTAACGCGCGCGACCTGGCACGCCCACTCACCAAAGTCCTCATCCCGGTGCTGCCCTGCAATGAACAGTTTGCTTCACCTTCCCCTTCAATCTCCGACCCTGGTGTAGAACTCAGTTCGACCGACACCCATTGTTCATACCCCTTCTCCTCTAGCTCCTCGTCAATACAAACCGGCATAATACATACCTTTATCCCCTCGAAAGCTTCCTATATTCGTCTCGTCTTACTCCTAGACTTCTCTTTGATACCCTCTCTTGATCCCCCCCCCCCCATGTCGTCTTATCATACAATCCCTTCATAAGGTTCTTGTCAGTCGGCAATTCTATGTTTCTCACAAACTCTTAAGATGAATTGGGGTTCAAACGCTCCAACAGTCATAACTTTTCCATCTGCTATTTTGTAAAAATTGAAATAAGGACAATTCGGATCGGAGGTGTCTTTAAACAACCCCCCACCCCGAGGAAGAGGAACGAACGGTCACAATTGGTTTATAAGACCACTCACAATGCATTCAGTTCTATCACTCAGATTCGCCCCAACGACGTCGACTTCACATCTTATCCGTTCCCGCCCAGATATTGCAAGCAAGACACCCTAGAAACAGGAGGCGACGCCACCTATTGTTTTTATAACCTAGAATATCCATCGGAAAGTTCCATTGTTATAAAATAAAAAAAGTTTAGTATCGAAACATCCGTGAAGATATCAAAGAAAACCCCAATATCTGGAAGTACATATGCAAGTGCTCTCAACGTGCCGCGGCACATAGTGGGGTCTTAGGCTCCCATTTCGGTGCAATGTCCGTATAAATTATATGTCTGCCTACCAAGCGAACCGAGAGGGTTTTTGACTTTTGCATTCGTGGTTTCTCGATCCTGATATCGGTTTGATATCAACCGATTTGTACAACTATCCCGCAACAGCGGCTAATAAAATAGCCATCAAAGACACATTATCCCTCCCGAGAGGGGTTAAAATCCCTGGTGGAGTAACAGGATCTCGATCTAGAATCCCACGAGGAGGCATCGTTGGTTGATATCAATCCGACTTCATAAACAACACGTTTTATTGTTGTATTTTTTTCCCCCACCACGATCAAAATGAACCAAGCTTAAGGTTACTTGGTTGACCCACTTTATCTACACACCAGGCCCCCCATATATCACCTGCTGGTTAGTTCATAAAAACATATATCCGCACCAGCAGCATCTACCTAGATGCCCTCATATCATGATTATCGTACAATATTTTGTCTGGACTACAATCTCGAAACCTTTCCGCACGTGCGCATACTAATTCCCCCCATTATCTTTCATGAGAACCACACTGGAATCAGGCTGAAATGCTTCGATAAATACATCTGCCTGAAATTCCGGGCCCGGTTTTCTATTATATCAGTCGGGTTTTTGAGACCGGTTTATACAAAGGTTGACCTTTTATTATGGTAACATATCTAAAATCGGGTCTGGAATTCACTTGTCTTGAGCACGGTCTAAACAGTCTACACGAGCGATCCCGGCATCGTGGGAGGTACATAATACTCCGTAGGTACGTAAGACGCTAAAGGCGGGAAAGTGGGGGGATGAGGGGGGGTTACTACCCTAGCAAATTTTTAGGGCTCTGATGCCTGGCATCGGAGTTGGTGTATCGTTTATGAACAGTATTGATTTGACGTTTTATTGACTTTGCATTTTTTTTTCTTTTCTTTTTCAAATTGAAAACGGGAAAAGAAGATAATGTCCGTGACGAGACAGTGTTAAGCATGCCATATTTCTATGTAGATGTGTATTCTACAACGTCGATTTGCCGCGCATAGCAATATTGTACGGCTAGTTATAAAACACAAATATTAATAACTGCGTATAAACTTACTGAGAGCACTTCAAGCTAGAATTTATAGACTCGAACTAGGAGCTAAGTAATAAAGAAATCTCCAACTGTGGCGGAAACGGCTCGTCAGGGTTACATGAAGCCGCCGAACAGACTATGGCTATCTATATGTGCACCTGTGGGCATTCTGAAGTGAACTACAAGGCAGTAGCCACCTCCATGCTCTCCTGATAGATGTATACTGGCATATAAGCTTGGAATTTAGCCAATTCTAGCTAGAATTATTCATCCTTAACAGTGACAGAGCCTGTATAAAAATGCCACAAGTCGTGGTGTTGTCACGGAGAACTCGTGATTCGATTCTAACTGATCGTAATAATCGGTTTTGATTGGGTTGTAAGGATAATGAGGGTTTAAGACCCGATTATTAGAACTGCCACTATATTAGAAGATGGATCTTTTCTTAGCAGCAGATGATGATAGAGTATGTATGTACAGTCTGTAGTGCTGGTGTGTAGAGGATGAGGCGGCTTGCATCAAGCCAACAAAATATCAAAATGGACAAGTACCCAAAACGAGTATCCACAATAACTAAGTACCTAGGTATCCACCAACGCCGACACATGAAAAACGCCTTCCCAGATGGTGTCAATAAAATATGAAAAAAAGGGGGAAATACAGAATAAAACTACACGTATGAGGAGTAAGTCAAAGCTGTGCTAGTGATGAGGGATGTGAACCGATCGCTTATCTAGAACAAAGGAAATATGCAATTGCGCAACTGGAAGCAAGATAAGCTTTTAGATAAGGGTAATTATGAAGAGGTAATTTCTGGGAAATATCATGTTCGGCACCTTAAACCTTCCATCGGAACCGCCCGCCCGGGGTTCTTGAGCCCTACGCTATTTTAAAAAATTATATGTATTCCATCCCACTGACCCCAGTCATAGGTCTAGTCCGGCTAGGGCGTCGCTGATCCCAAGGCCACTCCCATTCGGGGTCTCCACGGCCAAGAAAAGCGATTTCCTCCAGTTCCTCCTTTGGCGGCGCTGTGGGGTCCGTCCCGCAATGCGGCATCCCACCCTCAGCACGGAGGACGTTCCAGACCATATCAGCAACATCACGTTGAGCCGGCCGTAGGTCTGGTTCGCGATAAAACATGTTGGAACATATTTGTAAAATGCTTTTGATGGCACGGTCATCGCCGTATTTTTTGGAAGAGGTTTCTTTGTCGAGTACCTCGATCCATGATGCAACTTGTCCAAGGTTCGCATGGAAAGAGACATCTGGCTTGCCGCCACCGCGAGAAGAACTCTTCTTCGATGAGCGATGCGATTGAAATGATGAAGGTTTCTTCTTGGCATTGAACGTAAGAAGATCCATGAAGATACAAGCAAGGGAAAATGTTGATGCTTTGAATTGTTTGGAAGGGTCGCTGACCCGTTCATCGGCTTGAGTCGGAGGGACCCGGTCGACGCTTTCGCTAGAGGCCGATTGCTCAGATGCATCGGAAATATGTCCGTCTTGGGGATTATTGTTGTTGTTATTGCCGGATATCATAGAAATGGATCTAAAGAAAGAGCGGGCGCGAACAGTGGATGTAACTGGTGTGGAAGGAGTACTGTGTGACTGTTGAACTCGGGCCCAGTTCTCAGGTGCGCCATACTCGTAGCGTTCAGCCTCGACATGGTCGATCTTTCCAAAGTTCGCATCGAGGCCGGTGATAACGGCGATATCGGAAAAATATACGTTATCACCATTGACTAGGATAGTGCGCGGTCGAATATCTAACTTTCTGATATCCTGTTCGTGAAGGTATGCGAGAGCATCGGCGAGGCAGTGGATCCAGCCCAAAATCTTCCTTCGCTTTTGCTCCTTGTTGAGGGACTTGAAACTGCTCGATGGGCTCTGGATGAAAGTTTTAAGGGACCAGTCGCAAACGGGAGTTGTGAGAAGGTAGCCTTCGTCGAGATATGTATAAGTGGCCTGAACATCGACGATGTGAGGGTGTCGAAGGTTTCGCAAGGTGTCAACTTCTGGAAGGAAATCGTGTTCCATGATTCTGTCAGGCCCCGGCCCTAATATAACTTTCCGACGATACATCAAAAGGTCCTTGTGCCTTGGGCGATGTACTCGATCGTCTTGAGGGAACGAAAATCCAGGAGTCTTCTGACGGTAGGAAACAACGAGGGGAACCTCATCTTCTTCCTGGAATTCGATGTGGCTTTTGTATCTAAATTCCTTGAGGATATATGAGAACTGGCGCTTATAAAACTTATTCTCCAAAGCCCTGTCGTAATTTTCCCGAAGTTTCAACCGGTGGATGGTCGTGGGTTCGAGAGGTAAGTCATCGTCATCCCATGATAAATCGACAACGTCAAAGATCTTCTCTGGCATGCCAAATTCTAATAGAAGAAGGAAAAGTCTGAGATGACGTTAGCTGTAGCCTCTATAGACTATCGAAAGGTACTGGGTTTGTATACCTTTTGGCTTTCTGAACCACCCATTCGGCATATGTTTCGTCAGTAAGCCCATCGCCGAATCCCAAGGGCACATCTAGTCTTTCTTTCCCCTTAGCTGTTGGGATTTTCTCTTTCAAGAACTGAGATGTAACCGTCTCCTCAATTTTCTCTACGTCCCAGCTTATTGTTTCAAACCCTCCAGGTATCGAGAGGGGGTCGCTATAACCGCGATAGCCATAAGTAAATATCATTACATCTTGTGTACTGATAGGCGTGAAGTTGGCCGCATTGGTTGTATCTCTGAACTCAACAGCCGGGCTGGGAGCCGTTGATTTTGTAGTGTCAGATGCACTCTGAGGCACATTGCTACTTCTTGAGGAGTATGATGACCCGATGGATTTGGAGGAAACGGAGTCGCGGGAAGACATCGTGGTGGAAATTGTGAGATTCTTATGCCCTTTTTGGAGAGCTTCGGTGGAATGTCGTGGGTGTATTGTCTTCTTGCCTTCAAAGTACATGGGCATGCTAAAGAGCGCCCTGTCCTCCGTCATGGAATCTAATCCTGAAATGGCGTTACCAGGCCGGACAGATCCGCTACAAGCCTAGTCGAAGAAGAAGTTTCCCTAAATGTGTATGTTTATGTTCGAAATACGTTATGAGGGTAGTCGAAGTCCCGGGTATCATATAAAACCTAATGATACAATGATCTGCAAAGGATGGTAAAGAGGGCCAATAATATAGTTGAAGTCGTGCGATCAAGGTCAAAATCGGAACCTCGCCAGGCGAGGTAGGTGAAGAAATGTGAGTGGGTCTTTATATCTCAACAGTCTATGCGGACCCAGAAGTGTGGGAACTTGTATAAAAAGAAAAACCTCCTCGACGGCGAAATTCGGACCAAGGTATCAGCGCATTCAAGAACGATGTGCCTCTCTGACGAAAAGAGGAAGTCGAAATCTCTCCTCGGAGCGAGCCTATCTGCGTCGCTCCCAGCGACACGCCTTTCGAAATAGTGTGTGCATATGTAACCAGGATCTTGCTTTTCCAAAGCTTCTTCTGTACCACAATCAGCAACATGCCAGCCAACGCTAGGTTAGAGGCTGGGTATCGAGTGCTCCTATTCGCCGACTTTGAATCGTTGCCATCCTGGATGTTTTTCAAGAGGGTATGGCACCCCACACAGGTTAACCTTTCCTTGGTTCCATAGAAATCATCCAGCGGAATTAGCCCTTCGCCATGTGTCTCACTGCGCGGGGGGTCCCATCCAAATTTCTAACATCCTCGGACTGCCTGCCTAAAACGCGGCCGGAACCCTGAGAAGAGCAATGGCCATCTAAATGCATGGGTGTGTTGACCACTTTTGGGGGTGATATTGAGGGTGTCGTCGTTGGATATTCGCAAGATGCAGCGGCTTGTGGGTCTTCATCTCGGTTCCACCAGCCTATCTAGATGACCAAGCTGACCTGTGAGACGTGAAGCCGTAGCCATATTCACAAATCCGGCGCCTGGCGACGTCGGATGAGGATATCACAAAAACGGCTCTTCCGCGAAAAAAGGTTAAATTCTGGTGAGACAGTCCTGTCAAGCCCCTCCATCGACGCCCGCGCATGAAGCCATCAAGACAAGCATATCGGGATATCTTGGAAAAGTTGCCTTGTGTGATTGCCGGTCACCGAGTTGCAAGGCTTGATATCGTGTCAATCAGTAGAGAGTAGACGACACTGCAGGCTCCCACTGCCTCGGCGCCACCAACCGAGTCGGATAATTCTATGAGATCAAATTTTCATTTCTGATCAGTACTCGTCGATACCAAAGAAAAGGGCCTGGGTCGCTAGTACCCAGCGATGCACGTGGAGTTTACCTTTCTTAGGCAGCATTGCGCACCCTTGGTGGTGTCACCCAGGCCGGAGGGTGCAAACACGTGCGGTAAACAATTGGTAGATAAACCTCCAGCTGCCTGATGATGTAACGGCCCATGCCTCATACTTCAAGCTTCAAACCCAGCAATTTTTCTGCATCTCCAAAAACTCTCCAACATTACCTAATTCCAAGCTGTCGGAATCTCCCAAGCTGAATAAAACCAGAATCCCGCGCCGGTTTCAATTGAAAACGATTTGAACATTAAAAATGTCAGGGTCTTTTCATTTTAGAAGCGAGAGAGTACTCGAATCAATTGCAGTTCCATTCAGCTGGATCATGATGAACTTCAAACCCTGGACAGTAAACCTGCCAGCTCCCACACCAGCGGTTGGATTCGTTGCCTTGCGATAGGAAGTTTAGATTTCGCATATCTTAAATGATCCGAGCTGGACACAACCACTTATCAGACAGCCGAGAATGTCTTGCCTGGACGTGGGAGTAACCAGGCATAAAAAGCAGGTTTATCCCGCCAAAACTTTCGGAAACTCTTACCTAAACAGCTTCCTAGGAGCGTATGTACGTATGTATCGTTATCTCGAGCCACGAATCGGGATATCGATCTAGGCCTACAATTTACCCGAGCGAAGTGACGGATATGTGTCTAGGCGAATAAAAATGGTGGAATGACCATGGCCAAACTGGCTGGTGGTTAAACGGTTTGCGACGGTTCGTCTTCTCACCCGTCTTTCCTTCTTCGCACTTCGGACCTTAGGCTGGAAGGCCTCAAAAGGGAGAGGTTACCAGAGACACACCCAATATCAGGTTTTCTCTTGGACTTTGTGGCGTCGAAGCTGGAGCATTGTTTGGGCAGATGCATGCGGCTTGTTGTCGATTATACCTGGTTTGGGGTATTGTCACGAGGTGGGTTTTCGGTTTTGCAGGAGCGCCGTGCAGCAAAAGGAAACGATGCCTTGCCATAATACATACCTTGGTTACACCGTCCTTTTTGCAGATGCAATGCAGAGTTGGAATCCCAGGATGAGACGATGAGACGATGTGAGAGATTCTTTGGTTGATGACTAGGCCTTCTTCCGTCTTTGAGCGGGAACGTACGTAGTTATAGTGAAATTCACTCGATGAATCAAGGCCAGACGACCGTTTGATCTCAAAGTATTGATAGATTGAGATTATATGTAGGTATTTGATCTCCTGAGATGTTTCTTATAGACAAAAGGATGGTTGAAACCCTATATATAAGATCGGTGGCCAAGTATACAGAGTAGGATGGACATAATAAATGGAATTCGTTGATACCAGGAGGGATTTAATATCTTAAGACTTGAACCTATTCGCGTCGATTGTCCCCGCAGCAGCAATTAATTCTAGTTTACGAAATAAATTGTCCCTGTTACAACAGCTAATTCAGAATATTCCTGATGTTATAACGTTAACTGAGCAGTCCATCTTGGATTCTCACATGTTTAATTATAAGTGGACGAATTGGATGGATTCTGCTGTGGAACGAACCCCCCTTGCTAATTAAGGACTTTGAACATTCCGTTATCTGCAATGTGCAAGCTTCCGTCACGACAATGCATCAAGCAAGCGGTCAGACGAGCTAGGTTTAAGCTTATAAGGGCAAGCATTTGCATCGATAACTACATATGTATTGATTCGTAATCAAAGTTAACACATTAACCGCGAGTGTATACGTGGCATACTGCGAATATGCAGTGTATAAATACCAATGGCGTTTTAAGCCATGTAAGATTAAATTTGGGAGCCAGTATTATTGTTCTCGTCAACAGCCGCAGCTGATTTAAGTATTGGCGGCTGTTGATAGGAAGCAAGGTCTTGAAGCGCCACGACGTCGCGCCATTCGAACAACTTCAGCGGAATTCGATTGGGCAGAATAACATATACTTTTCATATACTTCAATCTCAGGACCTATCCAATATTTGCGCTCATGACGCACAGAACGATAAAATCGGACGACTGTGCATCTTACATCTTACAACATTCGAGAAGGATTTCGATTTCTTAGCCTGCATGTATTCCCCACATGTCTGCTAGCTGCCAGTCTCGCTCCACATATGGCCAGGCCAGACCAGGCTCGCTCGGATGACAAAAAAAATCTATAGCTACCGACCTGATTATAATTACTGCAAAGTTGCGCGATATGGCGGGCTATAAACCCTTTAAATTATAAGGACAGCTTCCCCACAAAACCATGGAACAAAAACCGGGGTCAAAATGCGGTCTAGAAGCAAAGGATGAACCAAGGAGAATACCATGAGATCCGCGTATACGAGAATGGACTTGTCATTTGATCAATTCAACTGAATAACAATTAGTCCCCAAATTGCAATCACAAGCTCTGAGCAGGGCACTAAGACAGCTGCATATAGCCGGGTTCCCATGTGAAGCTCGATCTTCAACGCTTCTTGCCTTTTCCAAGACCAAGACCAACGGACGGCCTAATTGTAGGACCAAAGTTGGTCCTCTGTACCAACAATCGCCCGCGCCGGGTCCCGCGGACATAAAATTCAACCGATGCTCCGTCAGAGCAGCCAACTAGCTTGCGTCTGCCCCATAAGAGTGATACCATGGATGCAGCGTAATGAGGTCTTTCGCGGCTCTCGAAGGTTTGTCGAAGTCTTGTCCTTCGTTTCCAAGCCCCAGTTTTGTGGCCTGAATACGACATGATATTAATTCCTTGCACCTTCGCTCTCATGCTAGTTGACTTTGACAAGGGTCTCATGCCAATGGCTTGCAAAAGATCTGGGGGGACGAATAGAAGCATGCAGCTGGTAGCGCAAATGTAAGGGCCCTCCGCAACTTTGTCTGGGGCTCGCTCCTACATAGCTCCTACTCCCCAGATGCCGTCGTCTGTCGTAACATGCAAGCGGGGGGATTTTATCTTAGACGGGGTACCAGGACCTTGTTCGAACCCACTATTTGTTTCCGGCAGAGCGTAGCGGCTTCGATTAATTCCGGAGTTTCAATTGTAATCGATTTGGGTCGCTTTGGATTGGTTATATATATTCGCTCTCTCTCCCGCCTTCGCAAAAGGGAATAAACCAGGAAAACTTACCAGAGAAGATTTCTTCTTCTTCTTCGGACTCTTCCAGCTTCCTGAGTACGGTTTGCCTCAGTATCGTATATTTGGGTGACTTTTAATTTTAAGCTTTTTGGGACTCTTCCTCACGCGACAGCCAGAAATCCCACACAACACACACTCACTCACTCACTCACTAGTTGACGACGCTGCATAGCTCAGATTGCCCACCATGCTTCGCTGGTTGGGACTGGGTGGGGCCTCTCTGGTTGGATATTATATCTGGTCGAAGATAAATTTCTGGCTCAGGGAGCGGAAGTTCAAGAAACTTGTCGGGACCGAGAAGGCAACATTCAAACCATGTGCATATCCATTCGGACTCGACCTTTTCAGCGTCGTAATGTGGGTGAGTATGAACTAGGCAGATCCATATCTTCTCGAATAGCCTAAAATTATATTCGGAAATATCTAACCTGGTATTTGTGACATAGCACTTTGAAAACCAAACTCTTCCGGAATGGGTTCGGTAAGTGCCTACGTATCGTATTAAGCTAATGGTGCTCGAGGGTTGACTAACACGATGCATCCATAGAACTGAATATGAAAAGTACGTTACCTAAAACTAGATAGCCTTGGCTTCAAAATCCAAAACATTGGCGAGTTAACAGTATTTGATGTCGTAGATACGGAAATACCTACACTGTTAGCATGCTTGGTACGTACGATCAATGATCTTTCATAGACCGAAAAAGAAAGAAAAAATTAAGGACATGCTTATTGATATCTATATGTTCCAATAGGCTCAACTTCTGTCTCAACAAGAGAACCTCGTAATGTTCAAGCTATCTTGACTTCCCAGTTTAAAGACTTTGGTATCGGACCTCCACGTATTGGATCTTTTGCCCCTCTCCTCGGACGGGGAATCTTTAGCGTCGATGGCCGCGGTTGGGAACACTCTCGAGCTCTGCTTCGTCCTCAATTCACCAAGGACCAAATTACCCAATTAGAAAACATGGAAGAACATATTAGTACAATGGTTGGATGCATTCAAGCTCAAGGAGACGGCACCGTTGTTGATCTCCAAGAACTGTTCTTTGAATTAACCATCGATTCTGCTACCCATTTCCTTTTCGGAGAGTAAGAAACTTCTTTCCATCGATTGAAAAACATATGTATGCTGACACATCATCCTCTAGGAGCTGTCAAGTCCTGAAACACAGGCTCAATGTCCTTCGTGGCGAAATTAACGATATCCCCGCAGGTACCAAGTTCGCATCTGCTTTCGACCTTGCTCAACGTCATATTATCAATAGGTACCGCCTAAGAGACTACTACTACATGCATAACCCGCAAGAATTCAAAGACGCCAACAAAACTTGTCATGACTTCGTTGACAAATATGTCTACCGAGCAATTGAACTACACAAACGCGGCTTCAACAACGAGTCTGAAAAGTCTGGAAGGAAACGTTATGTCTTTCTTGATGAAATAGCTAAAGAAACCCAAGACCCTGTCGTATTGCGCGATGCTCTTACAAACATCCTTCTTGCCGGTAGAGATACCACTGCCAGTCTCTTATCCTTTGTATTTTATCTCCTTGTCCGTCACCCAGAAGTCGAACAAAAACTTCGAGCAGCGATCAGGCAGGACTTTGGAGACAAATCTGACGCTGAAATTCTTACTTTCCACGACTTGAAGAATTGCAAGTACTTGCGCTGGGTTATTGATGAGACTCTAAGATTGTACCCCTCTGTTCCCTTCAACGTTCGTTCTGCCTTCGAGGATACCACCCTGCCTCTAGGAGGTGGGGCTGATGGAAAGAGCCCGATCTTTGTACCAAAAGGAACTGTCGTTGAATACTCTGTTTACGCTATGCACCGACGTGAGGATGTCTGGGGTGCTGACGCCAATTGGTAAGACCTTCATTCCCTCCTACGAGATAAGAAAGAATAGTCCCTAACTTTGATAATTCTTTAGGTTCCGACCAGAACGCTGGGGTGAACCCCGCAACAAAGAAGGCTTCGGCAATTTCGAATTCCTTCCCTTCAATGGTGGCCCAAGAATCTGCCTTGGTCAACAGTTCGCCCTCACCGAAGCTTCATATGCCATCGTCAGAATGTTCCAACATTTCAAGCGATTTGAGATGGCCGAGTTCAATCCGTTCCTTAAGCTCAACGCCACATTGACTATGTGCGTTGGTGGAAAGGGTGTTCTAGTCAAGTGTTACAAGGACTAAATAGCTAGTCAATAGCGTACTATGTTTGTGTAGGGAGTAAGGATAAGTTATGATGATGTTTTGGGTTAAATTGGTCCTGAGATATGGATACCTGGGTTCTGGTTTTGTTTCTTTCCTGCTTTGGAGTTTTTTCTAGGTCTTCTGATCGATCATTGGGAATCATGGGTAGTAAGCTGGGGTCCTAACGTAGCTAACTACTTAGCTTAGTATACCTGTGAAGCGATGCACAAATATCAAAAAATCACAACTGATGCTAGTGATTACTGGCTTAACTTTGAAACTATGGATTCCTGCCCGCAGTCTGATTGTAGACCGCACCTCAGGCTCGAAATTAAATATGGTGTAACAAATCGATCTATTAGTTATAAAGTCAAAATCCATGTACAACAAGCACTGTCCCATTAAGCTATGTCCACTGATCCCGTCGCAATGCCCTAGTTGAATCTTTTGAAGAACTTTCCACTAAAAAAGAATTGAAAAACGCCATACTATACAAACCAATGAAGAATAGATAAAAGTTAAAATAAAATCAACAGTACACCATCTATGCACCCCAGAAATTCTTCCACCAGTCTGATATCTTCTGCGTAATTGCTTTAGCCTTATCTTTCATATACTCTAACCAATTTTTAAACCCATGCTTCTCCGCTTCCGCCTGTTTCTCTGCTTCCGTTTTATTCCCCGTCGAATCATCCACAACAGCAGGTCTATCTACCTTGGGCGCATCGGTGGGTACTACACCCGACGCCGACGCTGGTGTATCAACCGTAGGTCTAGGGTGTGTGGTAGGTACCATGGTTTCCGTCACCGGTTCGTCTGCCTGAATAGACTTAGCCTCAGAGATATGACTTAATATGGCCTTTTCGTTATCGTCTAAGGATGTTGTCGGCTTAAAACTCTCCGACGGAACGGATGGCGCCGCGGTTGTCACGCTAGCCTCAGCGGGGAAGTCGTGAACATCTTCTTCTTCTTTCGATGACGTAAATTTAAACCCGCCGTTTGGTGTACCCCAAGATAAGGTACCATTGTTACCGATTGGTGATTGTTGTAGGCCCAAGCTGTGACAGATGATGGAGTAGACTTCCCAGTTTCCGAAAGGTTCCACTTTGGAGCCTGGAGGGTGTGGAAATGCTGGGCCGCGGGCAATGAAGATAGAACGCATAAGTGGATGCATGTTATCATAGCCGTGGAGACCGCGAGGGTTGTACGGCTTGTTGGTTTTCGAAGGGTCGTGTTCCGGACGGGTAACGATGGCCCACCCTGTCTTAGGAACAATCCATAATGGTGCAATCCTTGGATTCTTTGAGAAGTGCCACCGTTCAGGCATGTCAACATCCCTAAGGAACACATCCCAGTTAGGACTGTTGGCGGCTTCCTTAGCCAAAACCTCATAAAGCGCGGTCATATTGATCCCAGACTTGGGACGAAGACCGTAAAGCGGCCAACCGTCGCTAAACTCGATTTGCTTCATGTCGATTATATCGTCAAGGAAGATAAGTCGGTCATTGCTCGTAGTAGCCATGCCATGGTCGGATACAATGACGATATTTACGACGTTAGTCAAATTCCGCTCTGCTATATCGGAGAAAAGATGGGCAAGCATCCCATCTATCAATTTGATGCTGTTGTTGACTTCGGTCGAGTTGGGACCATACTTGTGTCCAGCGGTATCAACGTGATGAAAGTATGAAGCGATGAACTGAGGCCGCATGTCAATTGGCTTATCAAGCCAGTCCATGATGCGATCAACCTTTACCGTCAAAGGCTCTGATTTGTTGAAATGATCTAGGTAGGAGATTTCATAAGGAGCGGGCTTCACCTCCGACCCAGGCCACATGTGTACGGCAGCCTTGACACCCTGCCTCTCCGCAGTAGACCAGAGGGGCTCACCACCCCACCAATGGGGTTGAAGAGAACGGTCAGGATCGGTATAAAAGAACTCCTTCTCCAGCTCAGGATCCCAAAAGGAGTTCCCAACAATACCATGCGATTCCGGATAGAGGCCCGTAACAATACTCCAATGGTTCGGAAAGGTAACACTAGGAAAACTCGGGTACATGTATGGCGGGGATACACCCTCGTCGATGAATTTCTGCAGGGTGGGCGATAACCCTCGTTTTAGGAAGTCGGCACGGAACCCATCAAGGGATATAAGGATGGTCGTAGGGTGGTACTCATGAGTTCCGTTGCTCAAGATAGATTTCGAAAACCCGGAACTCGACGACGAATATTGCATGGCCCCCCCAATCAAAGCAACTAAGAAAGCCGTCAGGGCTAACGTAAACACAGCTAGCTTGATGACAGTCGGTCGTCGAGCCTGTCAGCACCTCAAAACATCAGCATCAATCCTCCCCAAAGTTCAAAACATAAGGAAAAACCCGTACAGTCTCTCTGTCGACGTCGTAAACTTTCACTTTCTTCGCCGACCCTTCCTCCATCCGATAACTATCCCTCATACTCCCAACTAGTACCCTCCTCCCTTTCTTTCTCCCCAAGCTCCCAAAAATGGAAGCATCATCTTTAGCTACGCTCAAAAGCTTCTCCCTCTCATCTTCCGAATCCAAAACATCCCGGTCGTCCATATTAACCTCGTTGTGGTGAACTACTAACTCGTCGTCGTCAAGGCCGTCAAATATCCGTCGATGCTCCTCTTCGTATTCTTGTGATACACCCCTATTTATAGCTTCCAGATTCTGGGCGAGAGGTCTCCTTTCGTCTTCTTCCGAAGAGTTTCGGAGAGTGGATGCATCATCGTCGTAGGACTCGGAGGAAAGCAGGTTGTTGCCAGACCCCTTACTTCCCCGTGGCGGTGCCATAGCGGACAGAAAAATGCAACGGTAACTTTTAAATTTTTTAAATTTTTTATTGGTGGGGAGTGCTCAAAGAGCCGTTAGGTTGTGTATGCTTATCGTGGAATCGACATGCCTTGGGACATTTGAGTCCCTTCGGATAGGTCGAAATGGGCGTGATCTGTCGTAGGTATTGTGGTCAGGAACTCGGAACAGCTGCAGCGCCCCGTTTTGGGAATTGTCAACCGGCTCTGCTTGGCGCCGGACATTCGATGCTCAGGGATATATATCTGGGCTTCAGACATTCTGTATTGTTAACCCGGCGCTGGTACAGCTGGCTATATTACTTTATATATTGCTACAGCAGGCTATATTTCTAAGTACATGTAATAACTGGAACTAGCACTTTATTTTACTGTATTCTTCGTAGCTCATCTGATGAACATAGCGCAATAAGGCAAAAGCTATCGCCGCCAGCAAGTAAAAGTCTTAAGTCCAACAATTAGTTTCTAATTACATTAAACCTCAAAAGATGCGTCTTATAAAAAGGAGTAAATAGGTATATGTAGTAAGATATAGAAGACTATGCTCCAAGATGAACCTCGTATTTTTCCCGAATCATGAGCTTCATAAAACCTGCAGCGCTGGTTTTGGTTGGTGAAAATTGTCTAAAAGAAAACGCCGGTAACCACTCCAAGAATGGTAATTTTTTGTAGAGGAAAAACATCATGACGATGGTAGGGGAAATGAAATGGAAACATGAAAAACCCGATCGTGACCTGCCTGCGCTTCCTGTTTAAACTTGATGAGGTACCCTCCAATGTTTTATGCGGTAGTAAATAACCAAAATGGAAAGTGGAAAATAAATAAAAAAATAAATCCGGAAAAAAAAACCGTATCGCTCAATAAAACAATTAGTTATCCAATCCAAGGAGCTTAAACGCTTTGGCGCTGCCTTGCACTTGCTCTTGAGATGCATAGTGCGCTTGGCCATTGGATTTTGATTTGCTCTTCTTTCCCTCGCGGCTCCACATCTTACTCCAGGTGCTCGAGCGGGATTTCTGTGTCTGTTGCTGTCGTGGGATGTCGACAGTCATCAAGACATTCCCATAGTTAGTTTCCGGATCGTCTTCCTCCTCCTCCTCCTCCTCCTCCTCTTCCTCTTCATACTCATCCTCCGGTTGAGAGGTGTACTCTGGAACTGGTACGTCTTCGGGCTCTTCAATTGGCACTGGTTCCTCAAACGTAGATTCGAACGCCTTGTATGAACCCGTTTTCTCTTCACGCTCACGGAGTTGCTCAGAAACTCTGGTGACATGTGCTTCGAATGCGTCATGGTCATCTGTCTTTTGAATAATGAGCATGTTGGATAGTGCCTCTAACTCACGTCTGCGCATAAGCGTCTTCTCGTCTGCCCTTAACGCGGCATTCGATTTCTGCTTTCTGGGTGGAGTCCTCTCAACTGGTGAGGTGGCACGGGAGCTAGGTCTTGGAGGTGATGAGAGGACATTCTGGGGGGGCTTTCTCGAAACTGGGCTTGTTCGGTATGATCCACGGGTCGGGGAGTGCGAAGGTGCCTTAGACGAACGCTTGGAGTCTGCCTTTGGTGATACTGGCTCTTCCTCCTTTCCATTGACCGGACCTCCGATAACTGAAATGATTTTGAAAATAGAATCTGGGTGGGTTCCATCCAAAACTCTACGAAGCTCACGGAGGGGTTCAAGGTTGGTGTTTGGAACAGTGGCAGCATCGAATGTGATAACCAAACATCTAGTATTCGAATTGACGGACAAGTAATCCTCAAGTTGCGGAACAAGATACTTCCCAGAGAGTGCCGCGTGGACCTGAGAGGTATAATTTGGAGCGGACGGATTAAGTTGGCGTAGTGACAAGGAAAGAAGGTAGCTAAAAACAAAAAGACGGACGTTAGTACCAATCTCGAATGAAGTTGTTTTCGTTTTTCTCGCTCACCTTAAGGATACACAGTGGGCTGGTCCACATCTTCCGACGCCACTTGTAACCCGCTGCACTAATCTCTGCCCCCATTTTTCACACCCACGCTCATATCCAATAGCATAGATGAGATCAACAGAGGCTCCCGCGCCATAGCCACCGAGTACAGGGGACCAGAACCTGTTTCCCATTGACTCGCCCCCTCCGTAATTCAAAAGCCCCAACCCCAACCCCATACCTAAAGCCAAACCCTGAACCACAGTCGGGAATTTTCGCACCGCAGTCATCCTGTCTCCCAATATACCCCGGATTTCATTCTGAATAACGAGGGGTGATTCGTCTCCAACATCGATCTTCTTGACTGGCGTAATTAGCCTAGTTGTCGGAATTGGAGGAAGCTCCTTCGTTGGTGGTCTGGATCTCGTCTTCAGAAGGTCCGCAAAGTTCTCTGGCTCTCTATCCGAATCTCTTGTCCTCGGCCGTGGGAAAAGGCTAAGTCTCGGTACTCCTGAACTAGAAGAAATTGACATTCTTCTATCGGCAGCTTGTTCTACCACAATAGTTGGGGTTGTTGGCGAAATTGGTGGCGAAGGGTAAGCGGTAGAAGGTGAAGGGAATGATGGCGTGAATGGCGTTGAAGGAATACTATTAATCGAGATAGATATTGCATCAACTAACTTCATGAAGGTCGGTGATGTTTCCGTATCGTGAAGAAATAGCATGACATCTTCCTGGAACTTGAGAGGAGGGTGAGTTTTGACAGTTTTGACCTTTCGTCGTTCCATAACCTTCTTGGTCTTCTTTGGGATCTCGTCGCTCCATCTTGTTGGTGTTGAACTCCGGCTCTCGAAAGACTGCGCTGAGATCCGCGGCGAATTACCAGAACTAAGAAGAGAGTCCCTAGAGAGTTTGTGGGTGCTAGCGCTCGCACTCCTTGTATGCTGGAACTGCGGCTTCCACTTCTCGACGGTGCGATCCTTAAGCAACTGCTCCGGAGGCTCCGAGGACCTCTTCAAGGTCAAACTCAGCCTCTCGTCAGACAACTTCTCCCCGATCCGCTTCTTCTCAGGTAAACTGAACCTTGGAGTAGAACCATTGAGAGTCGGAGGCGTCTTTTCGTCATTTATGGCTGCGAGTGCGAACTCGGATAGATTGTCCATACTAGCGGCTCTAACGGGGAATCTTTTCCCTTCGCGCCCGTTCCCTCCACTCCTTCGCTTGCCGCATGTCGAAAGAATGGCACCGGGTGGGGGAGTAACCATACTATCTCGATCCCGCATAGACGCTTGAGAGTGTGACCGTGGTAGGTGTAGATCAATTGTTGACCTGCTCATCCTCAGGGGTACCATCTTATCCTCATCCATCTCATCAATTGGGTCTTCGACTTTTGTTGTAGCAGAACTCAGCGACCGATCCGATGCCCTAAATCTACTTCTTCCTGAACTCGAAGAGTTTGAAGTCATAGACGAAGATCGGGACAACCGTGTGATGGCCTGTGGCTTTAGCGGGTTCTCACCATATTCCTCCTCCAGTTCTGGCTCTTCTTCGATAACCGGTGTTTTGTCGGTGTCAGTGTCGCTAATGTCGATCTCGATTTCAACATCCTCCTCGGTCTCAACCTCCTCAATACCCCCATCGCAGATAGCCTTAACCGCTGCCACGGCTTCCTCTACCGTCTCGCAAGTCCTCGTCTCCAGCAAAAGCTGGGCGCACTCTGCCAGTAACGTAATCCATCCTTTTTGCAATATAACTCCTCTTGAAGGATGATTTACTACAAATCCTTCCGCCAGTTCCTGTCTTTCGGCATAGGCGGCATAGGCTGAAAAGACCAAATCTCTGACATCGATCGTAGGATATTCTCCAGAAGGTGATATCGGGCTATTTGGAGAAAATCTAGATGGTATACCAACTGCGGGCAACACAAGGATATTTGGTGACGATGGGAGCATTCCCAGGTGGGTGTTGAGTTCGTCTTGGGGGCCTGATATCGATGCAACCGATGCAGGTTTCATACTCATGCGGTTGGCCGCCATGGTCGCCGACGGCATCGTGACGAATTTCTATAATCAAAAAAAATCGAAACCTTTCCGCAACAAAGCCACCAGATAGCGAGTTTTAATGGATTTATTGTACGTAGCTCGTCGCCGCCGAGGTGTTGCCTTTTGATTTGCTGCAGCCAGGTTAATACCTATTATAGTAGTAGCTTTAATGTCGCAAGGATGTGTTATCGTTGAACACTTGAGGGTATCTCGGCTCGTGATGTCTGGAATTGTCGATCTCTCATAGATAAAAGCAAACTACCATTCCTCGAATTTCGAAATGCTTATTGTTTCGACAATGTCTAAAATTTCGTTTCTGGGGGACCTGTGCTAGATAATAACTCGTCGTCTAGAATCAAAAGAAATATGGAATACGGCAAAAGAAATAATAAAATAAATAAAATAAAAAACGAGCGAAAAGTAAAAAAAGAGAGTTGGTTGTATTTTCAAGGGGGCCGTGAATTGTTATATTCACAAACATCTGTGACCTATCGGTTAGAAGTCTTCCTGGAGCAATCCTGCAGAAGACGAAACCATCTTGACATCCAAATAAAAACCAATCCGAATGTGAACGTCACCTGCGTAAAAATAAAATGGTTGAAACAAGCAAGAGACCTCTTATAAGGAGAATAAGAGAGGCGCTCTTCTTATGCCTCGAGGACCATGTTTTTCTCTTTTTTCTCGTGTTGAGTCCTCCTTGTCCCCATGCGTTCGTTGGCGGGAGACTTAGCAAAAAGTTGGCTTGCTTCATTTAGTCTTAGTTCAGGGGTTCTGTCGCCTTTGGTGCAAAAAGGGGAACTGGGGACGAAAGTCCCACCACCCAGACCAAGCCCTCACCACGCATCGAATATCACAGGCAAGGGAAAAAGCCAGGAAGAAGAAGAAAAGTGGGCGCCCCTGGCAAACAACCCCTCGCACGGGAGGATGCCCTGACCAAGGAATGCGGATGTATTGGGCATCCCACAGAGCAAATCAGAGATCTTGCCGGTATCTCAAAGAGCTATCGGAATCCGAAACATGCTTCTCCTTGCGTTTAAAGAGGACGGGAAGGGATCAATTGCGAGAGCACGGCAGGGACCCAAATATCGACGAGCCTGCTGCATAGGAGAAGTGTCATCTGACGGAGACCTTCTGCCTAGGTGTTGAAGAAAGCTCATTCATTGATGGAGATAGCATACTAAATGCACCTCAATTCACGTATTATCGGTTTTCTCTGTCAAGTGCCCCGTTTTGAAGTGGTGGGAGAGCTTTCAAGTAAGAGCAGTGAGAAGTGAGATGGGTTCGAAAATAGATTCTCCTGCCCATGGCCATGGTGCCACTGTAAGGCCATTGGCTCCACTTAACAAGAGGCGTTATCCAAGCCGCCTGTAACCTTTGGGAGTGGTTTTGTGAATGCAATGATGGGTGTATGTGTGATTGCTATTCCAAGCAGGAAACCGCGTCTCTCTGGCAGAAATGCCATTAACTTGTAGATTAAGTTCAATATATCCGCATTACATTAGTGTTCTCGACATCATTTGTAGGTGGCGGGTGAAATTTGACAGACTAATGAACTTGAACCGTGGGCGTCAATGCTTCTTCAAAAAATATGTATATGGGATGGCTATGCAAAACGCTCCGGTATTTGGTCAGTGCTCAGGCACAATGCGGACTGAAACGTGACGTGCCTAATTGAGCTGTACAGAGTACAAAAAAGCTTCGAAGGTCGACGGCTGGTCATTGAGAGTATTTGGTTGGCGACTGTCACGAACGGCTCAAGTGAATCCGCCCTGGCGAAGGCATACCTGTAGTAAGTGGGTAGCTGCTGTGAGACCTTCAATTTTGCAATTTTATTCCGCATTAAGATCCGTGTGAACCATGAAGTTTTTTTTTCTTCCTCTCTCTGTCTCTCTCTCTCTATGGTCCGGATTCTCGAAGGGTTTCTCTCCCTGCCGTTCGGTTTTCCAACACCCACGGATGAGAACTCGCATTGCCCTGCTTAGCGCCAGGTTTGTGATTGTTAATACTGTTAGTCTCAGCTCTAAAGCGGGCCTGTAGCCAGTTGCAAGCCCTGTCTTCGAATCCGTCCGTCGAAGGAGCATGCACACAAGCGCTGCAAACAGTTTGCGAACAACAGGCAGAAGAGTTAGTGTTTTTTTTCTCTTCTCATTTCGGTTGGACATCTTGGTTTGTGTCCTCCTTTCACGTAGACGCGAATATAGGCTTCGCAATCGATGCACCGACAACACCAACCATTGCACCAGACAGGTCGCAAGTCGGGATACCCATTGCTGTCAGGTCAGTTCTGCTAAGGACAGGGGATTATTGTGATATCATGTCAATTTCCGTGGATGTGGAAATTGCCGTGATAAGGTTTCCTGGGCCTCTCAAGTCGCGGAATTCGAGAACGAGAAAAAGGAGGGTGATCGGACTCAGAGTTGCGCACTGTCGCACCACCTGGCCACGTGCCAGGGGTAGACTTCGATTAGGCCTTCTGGAAACATTTCAGCGGGGAGACATACAAGCTACTGAAAGGGTGGAGCTAGTGTTTCAGTGATGCCATCGCATTTTGTTTGTCATTCTTTTCTTGTGCAGCTGTACTCACATGTATGTATGTGCTGTGTATACAAGCAAGCTGTCTAAATGTGCAAGAATGGCGTAGGCTGCATGAGTTAGTCATTCTATAGCAGGTCTATGGTATAGGATATCTGGAGATAGTGTTCGATGGTTGGTGTGTGTATAATTGGACGAGGTTTCGATAAAAGCGGTCGCGTGTTGGGTGGCGGATGATCGAACGTGCTGGAAACACACTGCCAAACATCAGCTAGCAATTAGCCACCACGACCACCTCAGCTTAGCAAGCACTGCACTTCGTGATATCGACACCAGTTTCAGGTAGTCAGGATCCTGTATAAATTCCACTTTCTCTTGGTCGATATCAAGCCGCGCTGTGATATATCTGCATGCAAACCACGCAAACACACTCCCGCGCACACACCAAACCGCCAGCCGTCGTTCTATTCATCCAGTATTCATTTGGCGAGTCGTAGTTTAGGTTACCCACATCTTACCAGAGACCCAGCAGCTATGGCCCGCAAAGCAGCGACGCCAACCTCTCCTCCCCCTCTCGCCTGGTCTTCAACATTTCACCTTTCCCCATCACCTCCCCCGCCATTCCTAACTGGTGACAAGCTGCTGTTACCACAAGCTGCCCTTGAAAGCTTACTCGAAGCAGCTTCACAATCTGCAGCTAACCATCTACAATCCACTACCACAACAACATCCCATGATCCAGCCTCGTGGGATTACGTATCCCCCTATGAAACTCTATCCAGACGGAATGAGGCTCGTCAGCAGCTACCCCACCCTCTTACTTTCCGCGTTACGAATCTCATAACCGGAAGGGTCGCATACGCGGGTATTCGAGAGTTCTCGGCAGAGGAAGGACAAGTTGTTCTTAGCAACTTTTTGCGGGAAGGACTCGCACTACTCAATCTTGGGCAGCAGGAACAGCAAGAGCAACATGGAGATGATGGGTTACTGGAAGCTGGGATTAAAGTTGAAGCTGTGAATGTTCCAAAGGGAACCTTTGCTCGACTGCGCCCCCTGGATGCCGGATATGAAGAGGACTGGAAACCAATCTTGGAAAACCATTTACAAAAGAACTTCACAACATTGGCCCTTAATAACATTTTGGCCATACCACGTCTATCACATCAACCCGGAAAGGACTTCAAATTTCTAATAGATCAGTTGAAACCCGAGGGGACAGAAGCAATCTGTATCGTTGATACAGACTTAGAAGTCGATATCGAACCTCTAAATGAAGAGCAAGCAAAGGAATCACTACGTCAACGGGAGCTGCGCAAGAAAGCGGAGTCAAGCTCCGGTGGCCAGATAAATATCGACGGTCCAAAGGAAGGAACAATATCAGATGGTAATTTCGTCCGTTTTAACTTGAGAACATGGGATCGTTCGAAGCCGATATCAATCAGCGTACCGGAGGAGAATGTCGACGTCCTGGTTTCAACCGACATGATCCAAGGGTACCCGAAGCCCGAGGAGTGGACATGGGCCAGATTTGATGGCTCGAAGCCCATAGTAATTCTCGCGGATGACCCCGTTGTTACCTCTGCAAAGGAGGTCAGGATATCGCTCCAAGTCTACGAACAAACCCTCATCGACCCAAACTCTAAAAAGCCAATGCCTTCTCCAACAAACTTTCTACTTTCTGTGACACAAACGACCCACGAAACTGACGACGAAGATGAAGAAATGGCGGACATAGCCCCGGATAATGAAATATGTTCCAACTGCAAGCGCTCAATCCCCAAACGTTCTATGATGCTCCATCAAAATTTCTGCTTCCGTAATAACATCCTCTGTCCGCACGGCTGCGGTCAAGTCTTCAAAAGAGGCACAGAATCGGATCATTGGCATTGCACAGAATGCAAGGCATATGGTCTCAACACCCAAGACCGTAATACCTACAACAAACACATGGATATCGCCCACACATCTCGGAGATGTGCATCCTGCGACTATAGCGCCGGCTCTCTTTCCGAACTAGCAACCCACAAAACTACGACCTGCCCCAACAAGCTCATCATCTGTCGTTTCTGCCATCTTGTCGTCCCTCAGGAGGAGGATACAAACTTTACAGCCGCAATAACAGGTCTAGCACCCCACGAAACTAGCTGTGGGGGTAGAACCACGAACTGTCATATCTGTGACCGAATAGTACAGCTCAAAAATATGGAGGTACACTTGAAAAATCACGACCTTGAACGAAAATCGCAGGTATTACCTAGGGTTTGTAGGAATGTGAATTGTGCAAGGACTACCGCAGACAATCAGCTAGGATTGTGCTCCGTGTGTTTTGGGCCACTATACTCATCGGCCTACGATCCAACCGGCCAAGCACTAGCGAGACGGGTGGAGTTAAGGTATCTAACCCAATTATTAAAGGGTTGTGGGAAGGCTTGGTGTACGAACGAGATGTGCAAAACTGGTAGGACGAATAGGAAATCACCATTGCCGAATATACCGTCAAAGGAAGCCACCGCTCTAGTGAAGCCGCTAGTAACAAAGGAAGGGTTACAAGGAGGATATACTTCCCATCCACTACACTTCTGCGTCGATGAAACGATCTCGAAGAGAAAGAGTTTAGCAGAGATGTTGAGTTTGACGGATGATTCACAGGGGAGGAGCGGATGGGCGATTGAATGGTGCGTCAAAGCGGTGGAAGTGGTAGCTCTTGAGGCTACGGATGAATTAGATACGATGAATAAAGCGAGGGAGTGGTTGGAGAAATTTGCTGTGAAGAGGGACGAGTAAAAAATGATCTACCGTTTGTCCTTTCTTTTCTTTCTTTCTTTCTTTTTTGTGGGGTGGGGGACTTTAAGCATTTAATGGCGTTTGATGTTTACATTTGAGATTTAAAAGAGCGCCAGAGCTGAGGTAGATGGTCCTTTATCGTTATTGCCATGAGCCAGCTATGTTTGTATGAAGAATCGATATGTTTTTTACCTTCCCTACGATTAGTACTTAGTACTTAAATGCTATATCAATCAACAATCAGTATATATGTGCTTGAGCAAGTACATCAATCAAAGGTAGTTTGTAAGTATTATTGGGAGTATAATAAGGTAGTATAATAAGGTAGTATAATAAGGTAGTATAATAAGGTAGCCAAAAGTCAAATCCCAGTCCCAAGATCTGAACAAGGGTTGTCAGCCATGGTCCAATCAAAGCCCATGAAACGGCCTCCCATTTCCTTTTTTGGCCGATTAAAAACACAACAATTTCAACACCTCACTTCCCAATGTGATATTCTGCCCATCTGCAATATGAGCCGCAAGATCCTGAAATATAAATTTTATATTTATAAACCTACAAAGGATAGCTACCTAGGTAAGTACTTACTTAAGAAGCACTTAGGTACCTAGATAGACATATTTTCTTCATCACATCAAGGTAGAAAGATAAGAAAAATATCACCGACCTCGATACCCAACCTCTTCGGTGGGAAATTTAAAGCTTGCCAAACCTTTCAACTACCCGAATAACCTCACAACCGACAATGTTTACATATATAACATCCCTCTTTCGGGCTTCAAAACAATATTCGGGGATGCCACCCTCGAATACGAATACTCCCTCTAATAACATTCCCTCAGAAAATATATACAAACTCACCTCGCCATCTTCTTCAACCTCAACATCCCAGATATCTCTCCCTAACATTGCACAAACAGCCGAAGACTCCGCCGACCCATCTACCTCTAACCCATACGAGTCACCCTGGCGAGCTCCTCTAAACCCCTTCAGCCCTTTTACAATCCCTTCCGACCCCACCAAAACACAGCGCCCTAAATTAACCACCGAAGTCACAAATTCATCTGACCATACCGCCCAACAATCTCCACCTCAAGGAGTACAATTGAATACCAAGTCCACTGAAGATAAAAACCCCCAGGACCCACGGAGAATCACATCAACAGACGGAGTTTTCGACCGTCCGCCGCCTCCAATTGACCCAATGATCCACCCTCGACGACCACCCACACCATCACATATAGATACCGTAGCGGCAAACTACGAGGAAGAAGATTTTTACACAAAGCAGGAATTCGACGCGGAAATCAAAGCCATGCAACAGGGTTGCATTCTTCAGAGGATTTGCTGTTTTTGCTGTCCTGGCTGAAAATATACTCCCGGTTTGTACGTAATTTGCAAGATTTAGAAAGATGCGAATTAAAGCGAGTGGATGGAGGTGTTATGTCAAGACGTATTCTGGCTAACGGGAGCGTTTACTGGTACTTATACGAGGGGTATGTTCCCCTTCAATTGGATGGGATTACTGTTTCCTATTGGTTATTGAGGTTGGAGTCCAGCGGTGTTAGAAGGATAAAGACTATTTTGCTTCTCTTTCGTCATCAAAATAGGTATTAACATAAATGCAGTTGATTAAAGAATACCAAAAAAAAAAGCATTCAGATATGGATGAGAGCAATAATAAAGATAATGATATGATAGAGGATTATAAACCACCGTAACACACATTACAACCCACCACCGATGCTACGCCATGCCCGCATATATGCTGCCTGATATACCAAAAAAAGGACAAACTAATACGCACAAATGCCCTATAAAAAAACACTTTTTCCCTTCATGCAATATCCCACTTGCAAAGCCACGAGGTAGCCCAGCTATTCGCACCCCTCTTGTTCTTCCACTGGTCGATCGTAAGTCGCCCCTTCGCACTCTGATCATTAAATACCGTCAGCACCGATAGGTTGACCGCCGAGCCTGAGCCACCGGTCGTCAAGTCTGCTACAAACCCGCCTCGTCCGTCTGGCATCATGACCTGCTCTTCTTCCTTCCGGCCATTATTGATCAAGAGAATCCAGTTATTAGTAGCTGGCTTATGCTCGCATGGGCCAGCAATCCTAAACCGATACCGCACATGCGGTTGTAAATTTTTCACCCCAGGCTCCACACTATCCCTACCGTAATCGAAGTCCGGCTCCGAAAACGTAGCGTAAAGTTTAGGACCCTCTTCCATCAACCAATATTCCCGGAATGTGATCGGCTTTGCACAAAACTGCTGATCTGGATTTTCAGGGAAATGGCTCTTTCTGAACTCTTCATTGGTGTTTGTGAAGTGGTGTGGCGAGAAAACCTGCTTGTACTCCGCGCCACAGAGATATCCTGCTCCCCAGCAAGGGTCGATTGTCTGCCAAACACCGTTATCAATCCGAACTGCGTTCCAGGCATGACCGCCGGGCGACGAGGGGATTGTTTTGGCATCGGGGCCGTCCCAGCCGTAACCTTTCCCGTGGCCACCGATCACGATGGCCTCTAGGCCGGAGTACATGGCCATAGCGGCGAATAGGCCCGCGAATCCTTCACAGACGGCCAGACCGGTGCGGAGAGTGCTGGCTGGAGTCGATGGCTGGACAGCGTTGTTGAAGAAGGCGTCAACGTCGTATACAACGTTATGGTGCAGCCATGTGAAAAGTACTACATTCACCGGTTAGTATCTAGTATCAAGTAAAATACGTTCGAAAGTGACCATGTGATGGGCAAACCTACCTCTGGCTTTATCTGTGTCCGAACCAAAGTTTCTGGTCAGATCAAGAGCAAGACGCTGGACGTCGTCGTAGGCATGTCTCGGGAACTTGGCAGCATGAGCATCAACATGCGAGAAGTCTCGACATTTCAGACATGTAGTATTGATATTCCGGTGATTCGAAGGCGCAGAGGTGCCAGGTCTTGCAGCAGGAAGGGGTGGTGGGCCTGGCTTTGTGCCTGTGTTTACTGTAGGAGTACTGGCTGCTGGACGGCTACTAATTGGGATTGGGGGAGGTCTCGTCTCTGGTTGTGGTGTCTGAGGTGGAGAGGGGAGTTTGCCCTGTTTACCACCGAATCCCATGGAGAGAATATTCCTACGGTGTGGCAATGGTGCTGCTACCGGTTCTTCTGTTTGGTGAATATGTACAGGCTCAATTTGTGGCTGAGAAAGGACTCGTTTGGGTAGAGGTGGGATGGGTAAAGTGGCAGTTGGGAGGGGCCTCAGACTGGGGAGAGACTTTCGAGGGGGTAGTGAAGGCCTGGCAGTTAGAGGAGGAGGGATAAAAGGGGGGGGAGAAGGTGTTTCTGTGGTTCCAGGCCGCGCAGGCGGTTGGATTGGGCGACTAAGACCGATACTAGGACGCCTAGGCTCCTCCTTTGGCGTTCCCCATGTGCCCTTGAGAACAGGTGGAGGGATCACAGGTGGAGGCAGGCTCCGACCTTGTCCAGCTGGCTTTGGGGCGGGCTTTTTCTTGAGTAGGCTGTGCGCAAAGGTTTCTGGCTTTGGCCTGGGAGGCGGTCGAGGGGGCAGCCGAGGGGGCAGCTGAGGTGGGGGTGGAGGGGCGGTAGTCTGGCGGGTGGTGAAGTTGTTGCTGTTCTGCCTTGTAGGCAAAGGCGGAGCGTATGGTGGAGGGGACGAAGGAGGAACGGAGTGGTGATGATGTTGCTCTTGGTCGTCCATCCGCCCGTAGTTTCTTTCCTCGAGCTTCGAGGCAGCGTCTCCAGGTGATTGAGGTTCGATCGGAGGTGAGAAAGCACTCGGCTTGCGGGGTGGAGCAGATGGTGGTGGAGGCGGTGGAGGTTTCTTTCGAGGTTGGTTTTCAGAGTCCTCGGTTTGCAGCCCGACTGGTGGAGCAGATGGGCGACGGACCATGTGGCCCAATTCGAGGCGGGACTTGAGCGTGGCAACGGATGACGGAGAGTCCATTCTGATAACCCGCTCGACCAGACTACCTAGGTACGGGCCTGGTTACTAAGTAGGTAAGTATTTTAAGAGGTATAAGGAAAGAGAGAAAGGAAGTGATCAATGCAATGCAATGAAGGAAGAGAAGAAAGAACGGAATGGGACCAGCCCCCTCTTCTTGCTATATATAATAAGTACTACTAAGGTGGTGAAGATGCAAGTAATTATAAAGGCAAGAGGAAGTAGGAAGAGAAGGAAGCAGAGGCTCGGCAGTGCAAACCAAGGGAATCCAAATAAAGCTGCGACAGGATTTGCATGGTAGTACGAACCACTGTCCATAGCCATGTCTGTGCCACATTCAGACATACCAATAGTTACTACTGCTAAGAGTCATCCAAACATACATATACTATGTACTATCATATATCCCGAGAAGATGATATATCATATGAGAGCGTGTCATTTTCGCGCATATCCAATACGAGGTGACTCTCTCTCTATCTACATGTAACACCACCCTTTATCGGGCTTGATGCGGTGTGGTTCCGATATCCGAAAAGAGGGATGGACTCGAGTCGCGTACAGGAATAAGCTAAAAAGCCAAGATATCACCATTGGCAAGCCACCAGAATTCAATGTTCAGACCAATGCCCCATTTTTGTTTAGTCTCGAGTCCCTAAAGGTTAACCCGCATCTATAGAACCTCAGCTATAGTATATCCGACTGGGTCCGACTGGGCTCAACTGGACCTGACTGGGTCCATGTCGCCCTTTCAGGCATCGTCTGTTTGCTAGAAACCAATCGGATCAAGAACTAACCGCGACTTATCGACGCCATTTTGCGCCTTCAACAACCGTCAGCTAGTAATTAGCTGCCATACTACATAACCTATCGTCACGTCAAGGGAATTTTCGAGGGATAAAAAAAAAAATGAAAAAAGGAGGGCGCTAGTCACAGAATCCGTGTTCTATTTAATTCAGATAGATGTCTTTTCATTTCTGTTTTTGAATTCCATCTGTTCATCCTACAGCCTCTATCTTTTCTTTCTTTCTTATGTGCACTATACTCTATAAATTTAAGTAATTGTAGAATACAACATAGGAAAAATGAAGAGTGTGGTATTTTTGGTGGCCACAGCGGCGACTTCGGTGTCTGCCTCGGTCCTCCTACCCCGGGCTGGCTGCAATGCCGACAATTGCCTTCGAGGTATATATATATATACATTAGGAAGTATATTGGTGAAAGAAGTATTGAAAGCTAACAGATATAATATGAAAATAGGCGTACGAGCAACCCAACATGGTGACCGAGGCTACAATGACTGCCTCTCCTACTGGAGAACGACCTACACACCCTCAGTATCGTATGTTGATTAGTACCCATATATTCCATTCATGAAATTACTGTCCCCTCCTCCTCTAGTACACCTCCTATAGTAATACCTCGGTACTTCTAGTAAGAGGTACTCAGGTAATGGGAATAGAGCGAGTATAAAAGTTAGAGATCTGGTCTGGTGATACTAATGGATGGATGCATATGTCAAGAACGGAATACACCACAGTCATAATCCCCACAACGACAGCTTCCACAGACAGCATCACCCTCACAACCACCATCCTCGACACCCTGACCACCCTCACCCCGACAACCATCACTGAAACAATCCCCACAACATTCACTGAAACAAAAACCCTCAACAACGGCAGCAACCAAATCAACAAACGTAACTGTGTCGTACAGCATGGTAACAAAATCCCAACCTATGCCTCCTTCTGCTCAGGCACAAGTCGCTACTCGAGCGCCTGTTCCTGCCTTGGAGTCTCCACGATCTTCACAGCTACTGCCCCGACGCCAACCACCACCGAAACAATCACAACAACATCAACAGTAACAACCCCCACCTCAATCACCATCAAAACCGAATCTATTACGACAACAGACGCAACAGTCAGTCTCCCTTCGACTTCAAAGACAACCGTTACAACAGGTCCCAGCGAAACCGTCATTGCCTTTGCCCTCCAAGTCGTCGGCCCACCGCAATTTGCAAACCAATACCTCAGAACTTACGAATACACAGGTCCCACGGCCATCGGTCTCAGATTAACCACAGACCGAAGTCTAGCCAGCACAATCTACCTCCACCCGAACAAGGAAAACAGAATCTCCATTAGGACTACTTACTCTCCAGGTATCCTTTGGCTTGTCGCTCTAGCCCCTCCAAGTACAAACGTTATCACGTTCCGCGTGGAAGCCGAGGCGGAAGATCCCAGCTTCGGACCTTTGTTATGTACTATTGATGATGCACCGGCCAGAACCTTCGCTTGCACTAATATCTACGGATGGAATACTCTGGCCCTTTGGGTTGCTACTGGCAGTCTTGGTTTCATTGAAAACCCCACCGCTGCTACCTCTGGTTGGGCTGTTGTCACTCTCAAGGCTATACCCCTCCTATAACTTACTTACTTAATACCTACCTATCTACCAACTTAGAAGGTATATGCACCTAAGTGGGTACCTATATGACTGCTCTATAATACCATACTAACTCTATACTACTTACATGTGGATGTTTTACTTTATTCTTTTGTATATACCTACAACCTAGGGTATGTACATACAACGAATTATGCAGTTCGGATTTAGTCATGATTATGTTTATCCATCTTTGTATTTCTCATCCTCAATTATCACAGTCTTCCATCCATTATACACCCATGATTGTTTTTGTATACATAAAAAAGAAAGAAAATTAAAAGAGAATTGAAAGGGACGCCATTCTAATGCAATGCTTCTCCGTGGCCAGGAGAAAAAAATTAAAGGAAAAAAAAGGGGGAAAGGAATAGGGAAAAAAACAAAAGGAAAACTGCGTGTATATATATATGTACCTATAAACAAAAGAAGGAAAGAGAAAACGCCTTTATAACATGATATAGGGGATAGAGCATACTTAATTAGCCCTTTTTCTCATCAAATTCAACTTTAGGTTCATGACTTTCGGGAGGTATAGGACTGTTAGCAACAGTTGTTCCCTTGTCGTCGAAATCCAGAACAGACAAAGACTGCATTGGTGTACTACGGTCTATTTCGAGTCCCTTTTCTTGCCCTTCGGCCGCAATGACAGTGGTCCCACTCTCATTGTTCTGATGAGCTTCAACGGCACCATGAACACCGTTTTCTGAAGTAGAATCTTCAATATCTCCCGGTTTTTCATGACCTTGTCGTCCAACCTTCACAAACAAACAAAGGATCGTAGCAATTGCTGTTGCGGCTGTTGCAAACCAGAAAGCGGATTGATAAGTCCGAACAGTGAAGTCTTCGGCACTCTCGCCAGCACGGGGTCCACGGTTAGCGACTGAATTGGCGACTGCTGCGCCGGCACCCAGGCCAATAGTGTTAGCTAGAGCAATGACAGTGTTGAAAACGGCGCCAGCGGTTGACTTGAGATTGTTTGGGACCGACTCTGAGACGAAAAGATTGGAAACCATGTAGACCAGGTCGGCGCCGATAACTGATAAACACAATGAAGGAAAAGCCATAGCCCAATAAGAAACATTTGCAGGTTGGAGAGCGAATAACAAAGTGGAACCGGTAAACGAAACCATGCCGACAATTAAAAGTAGTTTTCCGGGTCTATACGAAATGATTGTGGTTTAGCAAAGTCGTGTTGGGAATGGTAGGAAGCAAAATAAAGTTAAGAAAGGGAACTTACATAATATGGAGAGTATAAGCAGCAAAAGCATTGACTATAAACCCTCCAATAACTTGCGGTAGGTAACGGGCTGTAGTCATCAAAGGAGAAACCTTATTAATTTCTTGGAACCAAAGCGTACTCCAGAACATCAGGACTCCAGTAAAGTTGATGAATCCGAGCGTAACAATGACCATAACCTATGTTCATCGCATCAATAATCAAAGTTGGAATGAGATGAAGGGTGAAAAGAGCCTTACCAATCCAAGATTAGGATACTTCCAAATAGATAATGGCATAAGCGGCTGCACGCCGGACTCATTATCTTTGCGACCAATATACCACTGCCATCCCAAGAATGCGAAAACGAGTGCGAGTCCGATGATAAGACAGGACAGGATTTCGGGGGAAGTCCATCCGCTAGCAGCTTTGGATGCTGAAGTGAGTGAGAAGACAAAAAGGGCGAAACCAGCAGTGACAAGAAAGGCTCCAATGAAGTCGACTTGTTTAAGGAGGGTCGAGATGGGCTTTTGAACGATGACGGACTGTGACTGCTGGATACCACTCATCCGGTTGCCTTGCAGCTCCTGCTTCTGGACATGCTCAAGAAGTTCTTGGTCTGATGGGACAAAGAACCATGTAAGGATCGTGATAGCAGTGTACAAGATCGCCAGGAACCAGACATTCGCCTGCCATGAGAGGAACTCAGTTGCAATACCACCAGTGACAATACCTATCAATATCAACACAGTTGTCAGCGTGAAGCTTTCTTAGCTAAGGGACCTAGTACTTAGGCAACTGATGATATGGAATGAAACCCACCAAAGACGTAGCCAAGAGGTTGGAACCCGCCGAGGACAGCGAAAGCCTTATTCTTCCTTGTTCCTCGTTGATACGTAGATCCTAGGATCCCGACACAAGCAGGAATAGCTCCGGCCTTGAATAGGGAGAAGAAACATCATCCATGTTAGCTTCGCGGGACATGCCTGAGACCGTCTTAACAAGGGACCATCGAACTTACAGTTCCTATATAACAGGTAAGGCAGACGTAATGTTAGCTTCGAAATCCTTCATCTAATACATTTCGACTTCAGCTTGAATCGATGAGGCAAGGTACTAACCAATTCCGGCCAGGCCACGAAATATGTCGAACAGGATATGGCTTTTGGCAAAACCAGCAGCGAGATTCCAGAGAGAAAACCATCCGTAACTGATGAATAGCATACGTTTTCGACCAACAATGTCCTGTTTTGCGAAATATTTAGCTGACATTCCTTAGGATACAGGATGTCGCAGAGAAATGGACTTACCGAGAGAGAACCACAAAGCAGAAGAAAGGAACCAGCGGTCAAAGTACCAGAAGCAATGATCCATGTCAGATCCCCTAAAAGGACTATTAGGCATTTCCTGCAGTTTCCCTACGTCAGAAAGAGAGTACTGACCTCCATCGATGTTGTAGTATTTCCCGATTTTAGGGAGAGCAACTTGGAGAGAACCTGTCCTGCAGTTAGCACCCACAAACGAAAGAGCTTTTATTTTCTCTCCCTCTCTGGCCCCTTCTTTATTTTTTATTTTTATTTTTCTTTAAAAAATAAAAATTAAATTAAATTAAAAAAAAAAGAACAAATTCAGGGAGAGAGAAGGAAAATAAAAGAAGCAGAACTTACCAGAACCGAGACTTGATGTAGCGACAGAAGAACACAGAGTTAAAACACAGACGACTTCTCTTGTCGTCGAACGAAAGACTTCTGGTCGTTGCTGACCGGCCATTGTTGCTGCTGCTGGAGCCGAAGCTTAGCGTGCGTGAGAGGTCAGGGAAGGTTGCTTTTAGGTAGGTGAAAGAGAAGAGGGGAGGAAGGAAGAAAATAAAAATTCCGACTGGCGACAACTTTCGCAGCTCAGATATGGAACACTTGCACTGCACTTCCAATTGCAACGGCTATGGGATCGGATTCATGACTTCCACAGTACTGATCAGATAACTAGGTAAGATTCCCTATTGAAAAGAGTATATCTAAGGAATCCAAGAGATCAAAGGAATTTAGTAAGGTCTTATATCAATCCCGATTCGATCTATCAATGGACTTGTTTTTTTTTTTTTTTCCCTGACTGTTCCCTGAAACATACTTTTAAAGTCACGGCAAAGGGAACCCGTTTGAGACCTTGTACAGCGGCGGTGGCGGCGAACGCCATTTGGAGGAAGAACAAAAAAAAAAAACACCACTGCAATAACATTGGATGCATATGCAACCGCATTCATTAGAATTCAATGCAGAGCCGTCCGGGCATCTGGGATCTATTTGGTATACGGACGGACATGGGCCCAGTTGGCCTCTATGTCATTACTTAATAATGATTAGAAACCCAACCTGCAAGAACAAAACCGACTAGCTCTATTCCGTGCCAGATATTAGGGCTTCAATTGCAACATCGGCCTTCCGGTTCCTGGTGGGGATCCTGCAGAGCTAGGACCAGTCTCCTGTTCCCTTTTTTCGGGTGTCCGGTGTGCGTGCATGCTGGGCTGGCTTGATTGCTTCCAATTCCATTCCAACAGTCATCATCAGCATCCGAAACCGTCTGCCGAATTCGAACATGAACACGACCCATCCTCATCATCCTAAATCATAAAAAAATAAAGTAAAATAACTCTTCTGAACCGGACTGGACTGGACTGGACCTGCATAAGCTCTGTTTAAACATCCAACGGAGCCAATTGAACTGGCATCAGTGGCTGTGAATTCATATGGATGTTGGTTTATTTCAATTCTTATACAACACCTTAAACCTAGCCAAACATCCCTTAAACAATCCGGACATCCCGCGAATGGCCATGGCTTGATCGATCATATGAACGAAAAGATCGAGATCTAGGCATCATCATTTCCCATAGTCACAAGTCAACGGGAATGGAACATCATCTTACATACATCTTGGAGGGGGGGGGAAAAAAAAGATAAGAAGAGAAAAGACTGTACCGGGCGTGCATTGAACTTGCATGATTCGGTTCACATTACTCGCTTCAAAGAGAAGCAAGGGGCTCCACCCATCGGACGCTTCCGAGGTTGGTTTTGGGCCGTTAGCTTGGTGAACAGATTTACTAACGCGACATATGCTTATGCGGTAGTTGGTACGTTGGATACAAGACCACCCAGCAATTGATTTTTTCTCTTCTCACTTGTTCCCCTGTACATGTACCTGCTCGTATCGATGCGATGTCTTATATTTTGTGGTTCGCACAAAATATATGTTTCGGCCCGGGATATAAAATCCAGCTTCAAGCTAGCAGCTAGCTAGCCAGTAGCTAGTTGGGGGTGACAACTAAAAACAGGCGACATGCCCGACATGTAATGTTCCACCCCGCTTGCAAGATCTTGAAGGTACCTTGAATCTTGACAATGTCCAAGCATGAGCATGCGCATGTGGTTATCCGTCGAACTCTCGTGGCCCAGAACGCTTTCGAACATTTTTAGATGTTGACAGGAGAAAAAACAAGCTATACCCTTGGGCCTGTTCCTCGACCTCCCGGTCTTTCGGAGACGGGTGTGACAGGACATGGATATGGATATTTCACCCGCTGTATACTTGCTATAGGTAGGTATCGATCTATTAAGTATCTTCCTTCGCTTCATGAAGGTCTGGGGCGTACAAACACGCATCGAAATCTCCGGGGTATCCCTTCCTTGCATGTTACGTCGTACATCCATACATACATACCGGTAAGGAAATGTTTCGTAGATACTTCCACCGTTTTTCTTCTTATCCCCTTCCCCCCTGACGGTTCTCTCGCAGGAAACATAGATTAGATCGCGGAGGAATTCTAAAAGCATTTCGGAGGGAAGATTTTGGGAATTCAAAATTTCAAATCTGGGCAGGAGCAGCCGCTAAAATGTCCAATGTAACACAATTGCAAAACGAATTGCAACAAGATGGTCGAACCAGCCTCGAAGGAATAGAGAACAGGATAGAACAGAACAAAAAAAAAAAAAAACCCCCCAGATACTAGGCAGCATTGTTTTTACTTAATCCTCAGCCAAACCCTCACAATACGATGCCAGGATTCCGAGACGCGACGGTGTTTCGCCATTCGTTTGTCAAGGTAATAGCTAGGTGGGTAGTAATCATATGGAGACGCATGCGCACTCGCCGCGAGTAGCATAGTTAACTTAATTAAATCTATAAACTGGACCCGTGCACACGGCTATACATAGGTAAGTACTTACATAATTAGATATTTAGTATAGCATGTATTAAGAGGGGCTGTATTGCGCAATGTAGTCCCGGCCCCGTGAGCACGGAACTCTCCGCTTATGATAACTACCCGCGAGGCTGGATAACCATAGATATATAACCCGAGAGGCCCTGAATATATAAGTCGCATCTAAGTCGCGGAGATACCCTTAGAATCCTACGAACGGGGAAAATTCCGGCAAGGGAACAACCAAAACCTATGGTAGCCTCAAATGTAAGTACCACCCTTGCCGCATACGATGCCGCAGTTATACTAAGGATCTGAAATGAACAAATTGTAGCATCACATTTTCCTATTACGTTTCATCATCTTCCTTTCATTTAAAAACCATCCTGCACATAAGTTAATAAAAGAATAAAAAGACGAATTTAAAATGCCGATGTTACAAAACAATGCCTGTGCCTAGGTATTGACTTTGTGCCGTAAACCAGCCTATTCACTTGACGCCAGAACTCCAAAGCTGTTCGTTTTTGTTCCAGCCCAGTTAAGAAAGGAAAGCCATCCGCTAAAACTTTAGGTGCTAATTCCCAACTGCTTCAATAATTCCTCCCCAAGCGGTGTCGCAGAAGCCGGATTTTGCCCTGTCGTAGTCATCGACACATCAGTTCATGTGAAATCCAACAGGTTATTATAACTGTCTTCAAACATAACTACTACATACCGGTAATGAGCCTTCCGCCCCTTCCAACAGCAACATGTGGAGCCCAAGGCTCTTCTGCTTTTTCGAACTTCCTGCGGCTAGCCTTATCCAAAGCGTCCTCAAGCAAGAACGGCATAGCCTTGGTTAAACCAACTACCTCTTCTTCGTAATTGGAAAATCCAGTGACAGGTTGGTCTTGGAGAAGGTGCTCGCCGTCTATGAGCTTTACGTTTACAAAAGCGGCTGGGCCGTGGCAGACGGCACTATGGGGTTTTTGTTGGAGTTATGTTAGTTTTCTTCTCCTTTCAAGGAAGGGGATCATGGCGCGCGTGAGGCGGAGCGGTCTATTTACCTGACGATCTTGCCTTTTTCGTAAAATTCCTTGATCAAGGCCTGGGATGTCGCATCGATGGCGAGATCGAACATGGCTGAGGTTCAATAACTATTAGTCCAAATAAACTTATATAGCACATCTTAATTACTTACGTCCGTGTCCACCAACGTAGAAAAGCTATAACAAGATCGCCACGTTAACTCTGATGACTAAGCTTGATTTGAAAACGAAGGTGTGGATATAACTGACAGCGTCAAATAAATTTGCCTTTCCTAAAAACTTGAACAGCATTTCCGTCCTTGTCCAGAGTTCCTCCTTTTCGGCCAGAAACTTTTGCGAAATCGGGTCATTCTTGAATGCTTCAACAGAGCTAGGATCAAGTGGCGATGGACCACCCCTCGGTGATGCGATTGTAAAAGTAGCGTATGGCTAACGGACGTAATAATATATTAACGTCTTGTCAGCGTTCCTTCTTCTGGGACAGTATGTGTCTTCGTGTCATTTATATCTATCGGTGAAGGGCGGAAGTACCTCAAGCACGTAGTATGGGTGCGCGAATTCGGGCTGTATAGGTTCGGTCGAGTCAGTCATGGAAATCCAAAGTACCCCTCAATTGGAACCCCGCAGTGACCGAGCAAACCACATACAAGATACCATCCCGTTTTCTTTCCCGTATTTCCCAAGTGCTCGTGGGAAGAAAGTACGACCAACACTTTTACCGTGCTAGGTTTTGTTGTAGTTTCCGTCGTAGTTTCCGTCGGAGCAGCAGCAGCTGTGACCGCCGCGGTTGTAGCAGAAGTGGCCATTGTTGTCGGAGTCTTCTCTTTCTCTCTCTTCTTCTTCTTCTTTTTTTTTTGGTCAGCACCGCACTTTAGCTTTCCCCTCTGTGATGTAGAAAAATTAAAGTTGAATTGGATCGGATTAAATTGACTCCTCACTGAGGGATTATAAATTTTTTATAAGTAGTAGAATTTTTAGCCTCCGCCCTCGGGTTCAAATTTGGATTATAGCGCAGGGCTAGGATATGTTGTCATGCAGTTGTGTTCCCCGCAGTAGAATGCACTGTTAGCTGGCGCTTGTGGCATAGCCGTTGAGATTCATACGTCATTCATTAATATTAGGGTCGTTAGTTCTAGTCAAACTAAATCATTCCACTGGATTCTACCTAGGTACTTAGCCGTGAGGGCTTTAAATTTTAAGGCATTAAATTGTATCATCTATCGTGGAGATAAGCTTGCATGAGTGTTTGATATTCGCAGTGGCCAACCTTTTTTTTTCTTTCTTTCTTCAATTAATGTGGGTATCTTGAGGCTAGGGAACAAAATCGCCCAGCATATATTTCATGAATTCATTAAACTAAAAAATATATCATGTACCGGCTGTTTGACAAAAAAAAAAAACTCCATGCTTATGCATAGGCCCCCAAGACTCCGCTGTCGAAATGTCGGAAATATGTGAATAAAGGAAATACTTACTAGGGTTTATAGGTACATTACCGTTATGCCGTGGTGTCGTGCTTATCTTTCTGTATCTTCGTCCTCCTCCCCGTCATCTATGGTGATTAACCCCGCCATGTGCAGACTCGAATTAATTGACTCAAAGTCGTCTTCTGAAAATAGCCACTCCCGTTGTGCTAGACCGCATGCCTCAAGAATATCGTTCCGGTCAAGGTATACAACCGACCAATCATCAAATACCATCCATAGCCCTTGCTCGGGGACCCTGTTCCTGAATTCGAACCAACGTAGGAATGCATGCCCGTGACGATGGTCGCATGCTTCAGTCGGACGACCGAGATAACGCTCAAGTGACTTGACCGTTTCACATGAGGTTGAGGCTATATCTTCGTCTCTGGGCTCGGATGTATAACCTCTGATCGTAGGCCTTTTCTCATTCAAATCCCATATAAAGGTCCGACCGGCTCGTATGGCGGCAAAAAATCTGCCGTCTGGTGTGACAGAAAAGTCATGCCAAAAGTCTAGCACCTGATTTGGGGTAGAACACCACCATCCAGCTCTTTCTTTGAACTTGCTCCATTTGTTTCCCTTCGGGGCATGCTGTTGCCCAGACTGCCCGTTGGTGTCCGTATCCCAATAAAAATCATCCAGGACTATGGACGGCTCGTTATCAGACTCTTGACTGAGGTCCCATACCCAATTGCAATAGTCGTGGCTTCCAGTTATAATTTTGGCTAGCGGACGCTCCGGGCTTCCGGGAGAATCATATTCCAGTAGGGTAAGTTTATCATCATGGACCCGGGTTGCTCGATGAACCGCCTTCGTGTCGTCATACAATGCGCCTAGTTTCTCGAGTCGGATCTGCTTGTACTCGTCCCCCATATCGGTGTGCCGAAAGTCCCATCTGAACGCCGGGAGGTTGAAACAACGAACTACATTTTGCGTTTGAAGGTCGATGATATATAGTTGTCGTTTATCATTAACAATACGCTTGAAAACAGAGGCGCTGTTCCAACGTAGGAGTATTGCTGCATATGATTTTGAGAGGGCAATTTGGCAGACGGCGGGTTCGAGCGTCCTCCCATCCTCTGTTGTTTGGGCGGGCGTTCTGAAATCATGAGACCAAAGGAGCTCACTGCGATAATTGTCTACATAGGGATTGTGGTTAATTGAACCCGTGGTAGATATTGCTTTGATACAGTAGACCATGCTATCTTCTTCCGGATCAAGAAAAGGCGCTGTTGGGTCCGCAAAGTTCTGCTTAAACAGAGTAAAACAAAGATACCCACCCCACGAAGCACACCTTGCTATTCTTGCCTTTTCGTCCCCAAGTACCTCAGGTACGCACGACAGATCCCAACGTAGCACATCCTGAAAGGTTCGATCGAGGCGATTACTCTGGGGGCGTGGGGAACTGGCCACAGAACTCAAGCCCCTTGCTCCGATTTTGACAATACCGAATCGGTCGTTTTTAACTTCGAGAATATCTGCTGGAAATAAGCCCCGACGGCTCCGAATGAGGTCTGGTCTGAGGGTCTCGCCTCGAGTAAAGAAACCCCTCCCGTCAACTGAGGCGTATGATTTGCCCCCGTTTAGGCCCATTGCGAGCGTGTATCGCCCGGTAGCAGCATCCCACGAAATGTCAAAAAGATCAGGTCCAGGTTGCCGACATAGCATAATGAGACTCCGGTGTTGGTACGAAGACTCATGGCTTCTGCTCACCTCAGCCTGGTAATCTCTCCATGTAATAACAGGGTTGCAACCAGCCTTTGTTCCAAAGCTCTCCACCCCCCTTCGTCTAGTATCGATGTAATGAACGGTACAAGTCAAAAAGTTTCTCCATGATGTTTGGTTTATAGGCAGGAAACCCTGGATGAGATCCAGGCTATCGGGTAAAACTTTGGGGTAGTAGGTCAAATGGTAATAGAGCCTTGCAGCTGGCCGCCAAAATCGTGCATCCCACTCCTTCAACCTAACAAGCTTTCTCAGTTTCTGGCAAGTACTTGCTAGCGAATTGAGCATCCTACTAGGGTAGAAGGCTTCCTCTCTATTTTGAGGTGTCTCATAGCGGTTGTCCCGATTATCCATGTTTAAAATAGCAATAATGTCAAAGATACTATCTTCACGGTGAGGTGTCGTGTCAAGAGTCCATCGACGAGCCGGTGGCGCTTGTGCAAAAGCAGTTTTTGATAAGAAATTCTGTTCTCCGGATGGGGGCGATTCGATAACAAAGACGACAATGTTTGCCAGTAGCTCTGAAGGTAAGTCCAGAAGGTTGACTCTTTGGCTAGGCGTGTGCATCTTGGTAAGATGCAGAGAATTTTTTGTTATTTTTATGCGAGAGAAGGGATGTCTGGATTCTAAATCAGGATAGCAGGACTGGATGTACGTTCTTTTCCGCTTAGTGACCGGATTGAATCTTTCTGGAGATGAAAGTGTATGTCTTCGTGATAGCCCAATTGACGTCGTATATAAAGCCTGCTTAGGCTTGATAATGTTGTATGCATCCATCGGTCCAGTTTGCGAAGTGGCTTCGAGATCTCTGACCGCCATAGGTCCTGGCAAAGACGCTATCCCATTTGTATCTTGGCAATCATCACGGGGGCATGTATTCGATGAGGGGTGACCTCTCGTGATATATTGAAAGTTCGAGAACCTCGACAGACGAGCTTGCTGGGGCATTTCTCCATCCATGGTTCAATAACCGACGTTCTACTATTCATAGTACTTAGTAAGCCCTTAGTAGTCGCTCATCCGGGCCGACGGGAACAGCCATGTGGTTTAGCATACGCTCTGTTAGGTTGTGTAGTAATCACCCAAATCAATAATCTAGGACTTGGACCTGCCCCAGCGGGGGGGTTATTGGGAACCGGAAGAATTCGAATTGGGACTAGGACTCATGAGAGGGTTTTATGTGGTGGCATATGCAACCCCGCTCCCGCGATCAGAACGAACGCTCAGCTAAAGTTGAGGCCGCCACTGTCCGAGATACGAGGATTTGGGGGTTACCCAGGTCCGGACGGACAGGGGTTTGAACTTCGGATGCTGAAACCGGGAATTAATCAGTGAATTTTTGGTTTGGGAAAAGAGGCTGAATAGATGGAATCCATGGTTCAGTGCTGGATAAACGCCTACGGAGGAATTTGTATTATAATATGCCCTTTACATAATATAAAAATGGAGGATCTGTGCAGCAGCTGAATAGGCAAAATCGAAAAGATAGCTGTTGCAGCACTGATGCTTTTAATTTTCTCGGCAATTGGTTAGGCTCGCCTTGGCATGCATCATCATGGCCTGGTCGTCCGCCCTAGAATCATTTTGGAGCTACATGGAATTGATTGATATTGTTCTTAGGACCATGTTGATTGGTGATACTTCTGCACCCGAGGTTCAAAATATACCCGCGAAGCTTATTCGCGGACCGGATTGTCTAACTGTGGCATATCTAACAAGTCATCCTCATTAATCATGTTATGAGGGCCTTAAACCCATCAACGCCGGCACCACATCCCAGCAAGAACGCCATTATACAAATGAAATATTGGACGAAGAGTGGGGTTCATGCAAGACCCCAGTCTTCAAGCCTTTCGCCGGCAGAAACCGCCCATTGGATCCGCCTTTGTCTTGATACTTTTAGAACAATCAACGCCTCTTTGATCTGGTGTCTTGAGAAACCCCACATGCGTCGGGTCTCACCTGCGACCCGTCTTTCGCCTAAGATCTCTCGTCTCATATGCTCCTCAAAGGCATCGATGATATTTGAGTCCTGCTCTGATAAAACCAAGTGTCCTTCATTATTCCTCGGGAAGGTTTCCAGGATCCTTCGCCTTCTTTCCATAGATTCCTCGGCTGACTCCTCCGGGTGCAATTTAGCCATCGAACGTTTGCTTCTTTTTACTAATTTGGTATTAGGATACGACAGGTTTGTTAAAACTGCCCAATAACGATCAACCCATGCTTTGCGAACAACCAAGGGCATAAGAGTCCCGTCGTCTAGTTTTCCAGCATGAAGCCGGAATGGCTCGATGATAACCTCATTCTCGAGCAATCTGTGAGTAGATTCTTGTTGGGGAGCATCCGGTTCAGGCCGCTGGTCTATGGAGCCTGAATTGAGGGAAAAACTTCCGCCCATAACATCATCGTGCCACCGCACAGACCTCCCTTCTTCGTCGAATACATTCGATGGCATCTGTTGCGCCACTGGGGTCTCTCTCGGAGGGGGTCTAGCAGCTGCGGCCCGGGTGTTCGGGGTGGAGTTTTTAGTAGTCACTTTCTGTTTACCTGCCGATTTTGTTGGCGGGAGAAGGTGTTCCGGAAGGATATTCCCAAAGCCTTCTTCTGCAGGTTCGATAATACCGGACCTTGACTTTTTCGCCGGGGTTTGCCTTCTCCTGTCTATAGATTGGACAGGTTTCTTATTTGCAAAATATACAGTGGACTCGTCATAGGTCCCAGGCACGATTTTATCGGGCCCAGTTTGCAGAAATCTTCTGAAACTAGATGCTTCGTCTCTAGGTTCGGGGTGTGGGAGTTCATTTGCTTTGGCGGCATTGTTCGTAAGCTCGCGGAATCTTTCAATCACTTTGGAGGTCTTAGAAGATGATTCTGCTGGATCGTCGGCTGCTAGATTCGGCATGAGTCGCAAACTCCTTCGCCTTCGAGGCCCAGGCTTTAGAGAAAGAGAATCGGGTTCTTCCACGACACCACTTTGAACAGCTTCGTTTTCAACGGCTATGGTGTGCAAGGATCTCTGGGAGCCCCTCGAAAAAAGTCCTTCATCTTGGCGAGCGCGCGACTCTAAAGCGGGATCTAACAGTGGAATCGGCCCCTCGTCATGGTTATCTTCTATCTCTGGTGTTGACCGCGGAGTAGTTAAGCCCACAGGGGCTTCCATCGATGTTGTGTGTCGGGGTGCTATCATTGAGAAACCTTCGCTCGCCATGATCGAAAGATCATTTTGATCATCTAAGGGGTGCTCAATAGTCGTTACGTCTCGGTCTAGTGTCTGTGGAATTGGTGAGCTTGGTGGTGACGGCATATGGAATGTGTCTTCGATGGACTTTTGTGGGTGAGATGGTTCGATGTCTGTGCCGTTCTAGCACCGGGTTAGCATGTCTATCCCAATGCTTCGGCATGTTCATCCTTACCTGGTTTATATTGTCCTTTTGGACATCCACGGCACTTTTATCCTCACGATTAACCACCCCCGCCGCCACCTCGGTCATATTGTTTATGGATTTCCTGGGCCGACCACGTCCTCTCTTGGGTGTCGCCCCGATTGATAGTTGCGTAGTATCTGGTTCCAGTATCGACAGATCGATCTCTTTCGGTTTTTTACGAGCCGGAGTTGCTTTCCTCTTAGGCGGCTTCTGCTTCGGCTCGGATCCTTTTAAGGGTACGATGACGGTATTCAGGGTTTTCGAAACTTCCGACAGGGGCCTCTTCGGCGTAACTGGAGGTCGAATCGGTGATAAATCAGCTGCGAATATCCCACTGATATTGTCGAGACCTAGCGAGTCCTCGCTCATGGCGGTATCTTCTCTCGCCTTGCGGGGAGGTATCGCAGGTTTTGGGATAGGTTTCGAGACGAGTCGCGATCTTGAAGCTTTCGGCTTTCGGGTCTGTTTCGTCAGAGATTCTTCCGCAGCGAGATCGAGAAACATATCGTTATCTGGTTGGGCTTCTACTGTCACTTTAAGTCTCCAGGGACTGGAGTTGGACAGAGAAAGATTGGTGGAAGAAACCATCTTTGAGGGGCTAGATGGTGCAGCCATTGCGGAGGTAGGTGTGGGGAAAGCGTCGCAAATATTCAGAGTGATATTTGGCGACACTAATCAAGCCAGAAGTATTTGAGACCAGATGGTCGGTATGACGTTTCCAAAGGATGAGGTCTGCCGAAGGGTTGGTGGTGAAGCCGGAGGTTGCTTTGTGGATGGTATCGAAAGCAGGGACGGGGATGCTCTTTGTGGTGTTGTAAGATTTGTTATGTTCTTTTTGGTGGTTGCCCGAGCGACACTTAGGCATCCGCTGTCCATACTGTTGCCCAGCCAGACATAGTGCCGCCTCTGGTACCAACGAGACCAGCGCCGCCCACAGTTCACAGTGCTTAATATAACAGTACTTGCCCTTTGCCCAGGTGCATGAAGGCTTCATAGTACATCTATAAATACTTCTTAAGTACATAGTAGGTAAGCAAGTACTTAGTAGTAATTACCTAGGTACTTAAGTACTTGAGTATTTACCTACCTAACTTACTGTTACCTACCCTGCAGTACACTGGCTGCAATCTAACATTCGAATCCATGATCGATTCATTCACCAGCCACCGGCATCTAACAAGCATAGGAAGAGGCGGTTAACGTTCTGCTAGCATCAACGCAACAAGTGTAATTATAATCGAATGCAATGTAATCATGCTACCTAGAGCTACCTGGCATAGGCCTAGGATCCGCTGCAGTCGGTTCTGCATCTTAAAGCTTTTAGGGTCGCCTTCGCTCCAAACCTTGGCCTACATGCATCCCCGCATCCACCCATCCTTTTACTTGAGCTGACCCTTGCTGCCTTTGTCGGGAAACTAGAAGTGTGGGGCTTCTGGCAAAATCGCACACTTGTAGGGCTCGCCGATGACGAATTTCGGGGTCTCAGCTCGGACTCTTGATGACATCGATCTTGAGCTCTTTAGCGGACGACCTGACGTGAATATGTAGACCGCTAGCCGGAGCATCCTTTAATAAACCAGTGAAGAATGCTGGATTATACCATCAATTATCAGAAAGTGCAGCGGTCCCATGCAATGCCTGCCATTGCTACGCTACGAAACTCCGGAAGTTCGCTCTTTGTGCAATGCCTCAAGTGTGCCGTGTCTGAATTGCGAAGCTCTTAGAGCCAAGCTTGACCACTTAGCCACTTACGAACGAGGGATTGTCAGCTTATGCATACCACACAAATAATGTTACAGTGAACCGCATACGGTGCTAGCCTCGAGACCAACATATGGTTCATGTTAGCCCTTTCGCTACCTACGCTCGAGGTTACTAGGGGTGATGCATGCTAATCATGCAGGCAAGGTGCGGGTTCAGCCAGAGCTTTGACCAGCCTAGACTGGTTATTGGAGCCGTTCGTGTATCACAAGTTGAGATGAGTGTACATGTCCCCGCTATTTAAGACCGTAGAAGATCCTGTCGTTTTATGATGATATGAGGTAGTCGAATTAATTCATAAAGATTCTACAGGCGCTGCAGGCTATATTATCCACATTCCATCCATCGATTTACAGCAATCCAGCTTTAATATGGCGGACGTTCAAACCCCGACTACTTTGAAACGAGGTGAATGGAAGCACCCCGAAATCACAGATTCGCGAGGGCCCTGCCCTATCATCAACTCCCTCGCAAATCATGGGTTTATCGCAAGAGATGGCCGCAATATTACTGCTGACGAGATCATGAAAGCATTTCAAGAAGAGCTCGGATTGGGTCTAGACGTGGCATTTGGCCTTACAAAACCACCATTTACACTTCATACTCAAGAAGATGAAAGTGAAGGGAGTACAGAAAGGGTAGAAACACCACCGGGTTACTTCCACGGATTCTTTAACAAACTCCCCGGACTTCCGACCATAAATTCCGAATCTAGAATCGGTTTGAGGAACCCAGGCCAAGTCAACGAAAAGGGCGAGCCAGTGCTCAATCTCGATCAGTTAAAACGCCACGGTGCTGTAGAGCATGATGTATCGCTCGTCCGAAGAGACTTTGCACAGGGAGACAATACAACCATTCAACCGGACCTCCTGCATGATCTCCTCGCTTCTGCTTCTGATAGCGGGAACGGGGGAAAGATATTTACTATCCAGGATTTCGCCCAATTTCGAAATAGACGCCTAGAGCAGCAAAAGAGAGAGAATCCGAAAGTCAACTTCGGCCTCCGCGAGGCGATTCTAGCCTTCGGAGAGGTTGCCCTTGTCATGTCCGTCTGGGGTGCGAAGTCTGTCACGGAGTATGACAGAGTCCCGTTCGAGTATATTAAGGCGATATTTGAAGAGGAAAGATTCCCATATCGAGAGGGATGGGTAAAACGGAACGTCCCACTTACGCTGCCAGAGCTTATTGCGAACTCAACTTATCTCCAAGCCTCCGCTTTGTATGACTATACCATCGGTAGATTTTGGAATCGCTAGGTTCCTGATTGCGCCCAGTATAAGTTATCGACAAGGTTATTAGGTTTTTTTTTTTGGAACGGCTACTCCAATTGTACTCTGGTCTCATACTCCTAGATTGGAGGCCTGCATACTCCATAGATCCATAGAGGGCCATAGTACCGCAGATCACACAACACATGTACTTTCAAAAATACAACACCTGTAGTGGCATTGTTCCTCTAAAAACTTTAGTGCAGTGCGATAAGCCCAAATTAATTTATATAACATCTGGCCTTTCGATATTCTCATCTCCCCATATACTTTTAGAAACATCTCTCGCTTTTGCATTCCCAACAAAGTTAACATCATAGAGAGCCTCAAGATCTTGCACCGCTTCGCTCGCTGTCATATCAGCCAACGCTATGCGTTTCAATAGATTTCGTCGGTAATTTGAGTATTCTCCCTCAATCCAATTTACATACTCCCCTTGGCTATCGCAGCCCAATAAATTAGTTGTATCAATTGTAATATCCGGCCCCCGTGACAATAAGAAGTTGTATGGGGGCATACCATACCAAACATCAGACGCTCTCGGAGGTAGTACTCGGAATCCCATGACTCCAATTCCACCACAGTCGGGCTTGTACATAAACATCTCCCAATCTGGGTCTACATCTCCTATAAGTTCTTGCTCCAACCCTTCTATGGCTTCATATAGAAATTCAGGGCCATTGGGAGGTAAAGGGTCATCTAGTCTCAAGTTTGATAGATCAATAGCATTATCGGTGTCTCACCCTTCTGTGTCGATAAAACCGGGTCTACCAGTACCGGTACCCTCGAAGACCGACCCAATATCCCAACTAGGAAGAGAATTTACCTCCATTGATTTTTGGGGATGATAAGCTGGGAAAACTTCTCGGAAGGATGGGATTCTTTGGGGCCACGGGTACCCTAGGCCCTCCAGGTCAAATTCTTGATATTGGCAATCGTCCTCAGTACGCCTATCCTCGCATAGCCTTAGTTGCATATCCGCTACCTCTGGTAAGATAACTATAGTGGGTACCGCAGAGCAATTTGTACTATCTGTGTAGAATGCCAAGGCGGTTGCGGACCGTGTGTATGGATGAGTAACGCCAGAAGTAATGTCATGTGAAGCCTGATCAATATCAATTTGGACAATCCTTTCCACATCGGCTCAGTAGGAATATCACTACCGAAAAAAATCTAGATGATCCTGTTCGGATCCGCCGGGTCCTCTCAATGCCATGATCCAATCTTCTAGCCCGAAAATTCTTCCTGTTCTTCTATTAATAATAGTCAAACACGTAGTTTGTGTCCTCGTGAAGTTTACGAAAGGAGTTGAGCTTCCGAGTAAACAATATGAACGGATAGAAGGAGGGTCAAAAACATACAGCATACACCAACGGCGAACCTGGGACCCAGGGGGTGGGAAGCAGTCAAATTGTATCAGAATATCCGAAATATACGAGGCGGACCAAACATACGAATTCCATAATCACTGGCAGTATTCAATTCCCGAGGTAGTTAATTATAGCTATTTAAATTTTGATAAGTTTATCATTCCAACGCTACAATGCCGCAAAGCCGACAAACACCCGAATTTAAATCGACAAATTCCAATTTCAATCTCTGAATAACTAACTGACTGATTACGAATTCGGTGCCTTATACACCTTAATGCTGTTAATGGACCAATACGCATCTTTAAATGCCTCAGGCATAGACCCCACATATTCAGTACACTCCATTTGACAGCCATACTCCTCGTTATAAACTGATGGTGCACCCGCCCAGTCACCGCAAAGGGAAATATTGATAATTAGCTTGTGGTTCTTGAAGTGCGAGTTGATATCACATTTCGTTGAGGGAAAGTCTGCTGTTGCGATACCCCATTCGGACGGCTCTGGTTTCCCGATACTGATACTTGAAGGAATGCGATTTCTGGGAAAAAACCACATCCGAATACCTGCGGTTCTCCATTCCATAGCGTAGACCCCTCCCTGGTTTTTGTTCAATTCTTCGCCGTATGAATCTGGCGCCCCACGTACAGCACAGCCCATGTTGTAGTTAGTGCTATTCAAACAGTTATTAGACAGCACCTTCCCCGTCTGCTTTCTTTTGACGCTCATCTCGCATCCATTTGTTGTGTGTAGAGTAAACTGAGTTCCTTTATTACCCTGGTTCACTGATTCAATAATATCTATCTCGCCGTGGCTCGGCCAGATATCTAAAGGATCAGTTAGACTTGGGATATCGATGTTTTACTCAGCATTAAATTCAAGTATAAGGGTATAGAACTTACCTAGATCTGTATCGGACATCCATATGGCGGGCCAAGTACCACACCCATATGACACGTGCCCGATATCAAAGATAAACAAGCCGTGTGTATACCGCTGTTTCGATAGAATCTTAATGGTAGGGCGTCCGGCGGCACCGGTGTGGTCTCTCGGTAATACTCTTATGATGGCTTCATTAGAAGTAGCATACGTCAAGTTAGACCATTCTGCACCATCTTTTGTCACATAACTATCATTTTTTTTATCAGTTTGCCGTTAGCTTGCTTTTGGGTGCCGATGTCGGGTTCTTTTTCTCTCTCTCTCTTACTTCGTAAACCCGTGGGTCGCCTCAGTACCATTCCCATAGTCGAATCTGTCTAATTTTAGCAAATGCATTATTTTTGTATGATAGCTAGACCCAAGTGTACATACGAGTCAAAAAATCTTTCTCCGCTGTCTAAATCTATTTTATTAGTTCAAGTTTTCCCTAATAATAAAATCCACGACAGGAGAGCGTCTAACAAATATCTACCAACGAGTATTCAAGTCTCTGATAAGACGGATATTGATTCGCCATTACCACTGTTAACGGAACCACAACAGCGGCAACAATGACACTAATGCCCAGAAGTGCGCCCGTCCACCTCTTACGGCCCCAAGCCCGGGGGTTCCATGCCGACGGCGAACACGAACTCTTGTGGGTTTCGAAAGTTTCATTATACTCCTTTTCTGTCATGAATGGTATGCCTGCCGGGCCGAAATCTACTGACATAACGGTAAATCCGGGCTTTGCTGGTAAGGTACTGAGACTTCGGAGAACCTTGGTATATGGCTATTGTTTCTGTGGAAAATATGGATTTTTGCTGAAAGATGACTTTAGGTGTGAGATGAATGAGAGTATAGCATTTGGATCCTCGGGATTTGAGCTGCCATCTCTGTTATGAGGTGGTAGTAACATGCACACTCTGAGCGCATAGTTCGGATTGGATTGTGGCAGATTTTCGATTAATATATATATATATTGCGCTGCCAGTGCTCAGGATCTACATGGGAGTGAATATTTGAAAGCAATCTGGTAGGCCACGCTACAAGCCCGAGATTTCAATTGCAGGAGAACATCTATGAACAAAACCAGTCAATCCATCAAATCTATAAAATTTCGCCTTAAGGCCTTATTATGACTCCGATGTGGGCCCTGTCGAGGAGTTCGATCGAATTATAATATTAATTAAGTTCGAGGTAAGGTAACTAGATAATCGATAAATTTAAAGCTAAGACAAAAAACCAAAAAAAATACACATATATTTACCTTCTGGCTTCTTATCCCACTCCCAAAATGTCAAGTATTATAATTAACGGATACTTTAAACCTCATGGGATGTACTAGCTATAGCTATAGCTGTACACTGGCTGCTTCCCCCATGATGTATGATGTTTTATCTCGCAGATACGCGGGCGCTTGAGACAACGCGCGGACGGACCCGTCCGTGTTGCATTTTTACTAGCCCAAGCCGAATTTGGGGTGCCATCCCAACGTAGGTACAATCTAGACTGCTGTCCGAATTTTAATTCATTAATCATTGCAATGCAGTGGGGGTCGATGTTATATCGATGTAAGAGCGCTCGAGCATATGGGGGACCCCAAAGTTTCCATAACCTGGGTCGGAAACTAACTTTAAATACGACGGCGGCCCTCATCTTCAGTAAACCAGTATAGTTCCTCGCGGGGATATTTACTATCAGACATTTAAACGTTATATTATAAACTCAGCTCGTTGACACCAAGGCGACACACGCATATTCAGTCCACACAAATTTATTGAACTTACACAGGATGTTGTACATAAACGGCACAATCGTTACGATTAACGAAAATAGAGATATCATCAAAGAAGGCGCAATTTGTGTTCAAGGAAACTCAATTGTTGATATCGGAAAAGTTGCCCTTCTTACCGAAAAGTACCCAGAGGAAGAAGTTACCGATCTCACTGGGCGGGTCATATTCCCGGGCCTAATATCAACTCACATGCATATAGCCCAGACACTTTTACGAGGAGCAGCAGATGATCTCGAGTTAATTGGATGGCTTTGTGATCGTATCTGGGTCCTCCAAGGCAACTTCAGTGCTGAGGACGGAGAAGTTGCTGCTAGGCTTTCGATTGCTGAGATGTTGAAATCCGGAACAACATGTTTTCTAGAGAGCATGGTATTTCCTTCCCAAAACCCGTCTTTTCAGCTGTAACTTTTGTCTGAATTTCCGGCTGACCTTCTAGTAAATTACGTGCTTGACTTTATAGTTCGCGGATAGATATGGATTCGATGGCCTTGCAAAAACTGTTGAGGAAAGCGGGATCCGAGGATGTCTTGGCAAGATCGTAATGGATGTCGGGAAATATGCAACAGAAGAGAAGAAAATGATGCATCCTGGCCTCGTTGAAACCCGTGAGCAGAGCCTCTTGGGAGCAATTGAGATGTACGAGAAGTGGGACAGCAAGGCGGATGGCCGAATTAAGGTTTGGTTCGGCGCAAGGACTCCACCTGGGTATGTTTAGTTACACTGCTATTTAGTGCTTGATACATAACTTAACTAACTCTATAGATGTCCCAACATAGTGTGTCCGACGATCTTCTTAAAGAGATGTCCGAAGCCTCTAAATCCAAGGGTATCCCGATCACAATGCACTGTGCCGAAGTTCGGGCGGATCGAGAATTCTACGCTTCTGTCGGTCACACACCAATGACGTACTGTCAATCAGTCGGCCTCTTGGGCGAAAAAACCGTTCTCGTTCACATGGTCCACCTGGACGACAATGATATCCAACTTCTTCGCGAAACAGGGACCCACGTGGCACATTGTCCTACGTCCAACTCCAAGCTTGCCTCCGGATTTGCTCGGGTTCCGGAATTGCTCGACGCTAAGGTTAATGTGGGTTTAGGGACCGATGGTGCCCCTTGTAACAACTCGAATGACATGCTTCAAGAAATGAAACTTGCGGCTATCATTCATAAGGCTACACACTATGACCCAACGGTTGTACCAGCGGAGACCGTTATGGAGATGGCGACAATCAATGGGGCAAAAGCTCTAGGGTTAGACAAAGAGATTGGGTCGCTTGAAGTTGGTAAAAAAGCAGATTTCGTGGCTATAGATCTCAGGCAGCTGCATCTGACCCCTTCCTTCGATCCGATTAGTACAATTGTGTATACAGCTACGGGGCGAGATGTCGAGATGGTCGTCGTGGACGGGAAGGTTTTGGTCAAAGACGGGAAACTGATGACGATGGATGAAAGAAAGATCATACAACAAGCGACAAAGCATGCCCAGCAGATAGTAGAAAGAGCCGGATTGAAGCAGGTTATCAAAGGCCGGTGGCCAACTTTGTAAAATGCAACAAATAAACGTGTTGTCGAAATGGTTGTCGACACAGCCCCGATATTGATATAGCTATAGCGTGGCAAAAAGTACATTTGAATTCAAGTAATTAAGTTCACAATCGAATACTGATTTGGTCCCCGAAATGAAGCATGTTAGCGGTTGGCAGGATAAAAGAATATCAGGATTTCCATCTCTGTACAAACCCCTTGCATATTTTCGTGCTACAATGATGGGTACATCACAGATCGTATATATATCTCACGGCACTCAGTGTCTACGTGTATATAAACTAGCTATCAATCGGTGTGCAACTTAACTATTTGCTAATCACGATGCGCATGGCGTCGCCAGTACTCAATCCGGAGGCCGAAAATCTATATAAATGGTTCGACTTCTATCGCCTAGAGATATCATTCGATCTTGATATTCTAGCTATCGTGGACCTCGATTTCGTACTTCCTAAGATATAACGTTAACAAAATATTACAATTCATCAAAATTCAACTGACAAGGTTGTCATCTAACAACTTTTCTTTCATTCGAAGCAATATAAAGACGTATACCAAGTCAAAATGGCCTCGAAAATTGCAGGCGCTATAGCAGGGAAGAATGCATTTACTGTAGGTTCCGCATTGGAAGTTCAATCCTTATTTCAGCTATTGGGGGCATACCTGGCTAATAAACCCGCTTGTTCAGGGTAATGGGCCGGTCTCAAACGTTTGGTGAATATACATTCAAACACATATCAGTAATTACTGGAAAAACTGACGGTTACATGTCATGTTGGCTGCTCATAGTGCGTGGCTCCATGGCATCCATGTATATGTGAATGACCCCTCTAAATGGATATCGGCGCATCACTTCTGTTCACCGCTTGGGGAAGGTATATTCCGATCGATATCCCCGTAGTCACAGTAACCAAGCACCGTTTAGGCTGACGCGACCTTTCTTTTGTGCATATCTAGATATGCGGCAATGCCTTATTTTCGATTCCCATGAACAGGGCGCCCGGCTCATTGGAAGTATTTCTCTTGAATCATCCATTCCTAGAAACCCCTGGGGGCCGCACTAATTTATTCTACTTAATAGTTGAGTACCTAATTACCGAGAAAATATTTTCAACTCTCCCAGAGAGCGAAAAGAAACTCTGGCATACTCATAACTATGAAGTAAAGTCAGGAATATTGGCTATGCCACAGCCGTCAATTTCACCCATACCCGCAGCGGCTTGGGATGTTCTTGAAGATGCGGAGATGAAAGAGCTCATCAAGATGTATGGGAAAACGTATCACCTGTGGCAGGTGGATAAACATGATGTTCCAATGGGAGAGCCGCAGCTCATGTCGACATATACAAAGGAGGACCAGGTTCCATCGGGTCTGAGAACAGCACTTGAGAAGAGGGATAAGGAACTAGGAATTAGTACTGCGGAAAAGAAGGAGCGAAGGCAAGGGATCAAAAAAGCAGATACAGACAAATGCGATGAGGTTGATCAAGCCTGGAAGAAGGCTTGATACACGTTAAATAGTTTACTATTATACATGCCCAAGTTGCTAGTTTGCGGGTCCTTTTTTTGGTTTTTAATTAGTAGTAACAAATGCAATACGTATCCCAATATTGTTACAATACCCCTCCCTATTAGCCAAAACCGCCAACGCCAATATGTAATAACAGATAGGGCACTATCGTTTCCCCGCCGCCCTTTCACTCTCTCGCATAGCAGCTCTTGCAGCCCTACTTCCTCCGAGCTTCGGACCTCTCGGGCGCTTCGGATCATCCTTCTTCTTGTTGTTATTTGTTCTGCCCCTTCTTCTCGCATTGAGCGCGTCCATGAATTCCCGTCTAAATTGCTCTGCAATCCTGTCGTCTGCGGCATAATCATCCTCTTCTGTTTGTGCCTTATTGGTTGCAGGATCTGGCTCTTCATAGATATCCACTAAGAGATCGTTAGCAAAGCAAAAAGTTAAGGTAGATGGGAAACAAGCTTACATCTCGACTCTTTCAAAACCTCCTCGACCAATTTATCTCTTTCGATATCCATACTATTTCTTCTTCTCTTGCCTCGTTTCTTCTTCTTTGGATCCTCCGGCTCCGGCTCCTTGAACGCCTCGCCAGCTTCGATACGCCTCTTTGCTTCCTCAGTCCTCTCAACATTCTTGCGTGTGCTCTCAGCACCGAGATCAATCTCTTGTAATTTGCCTAGGGTTGCACCACGAAAATCTGGCCTGATAGGCCACTTCCCAATTCTTCGCTCGGATATTTTTGTGGATGTGAGCGGGGCGGGATAAACTCGTTTAATGTCGGTGTCGCTATCATCGCTTGTGGGGATAGGTTGTGATGCATCGGTCATCCTACGCTTGACGAGTTCTGATTCGATATACTTCATCCTGACAATGTGGTTAGCAATCAAGAGCTTCTAACTGCAATCGGTATTGGGTGGCAAGCCCTTACATGTGCTCATTAACGTCGACAATAGCGCCGGTTTGGCCTGTGAAGCGGTTGACGACAGCATTGACCTCTTTATCGACGGCGTCTTTCTCTGCCATCGCCTCTTCTTCCTCAGCGGTTGGTGTCTTAGCCCTCTTGTCTACTGTGAAGTCTAATCCTATTTTCTTGGATTTTGCTTGCTTTCGTAGGCGCTTGATTTCAGCGACAGATATCGACGACCCGTCTTCTTCCATAATATCGTCTTCTTTCGACAGCTCTGCGATTATAGCATCCCCGCCATCCCTTTCAGTCGGCTGTGGTGTATCTGAACCTTTCACCTCAGCTGTAGTGTCCTTCCCTTCGTCACGATTCCTGATCTGGCGGCTGGGCCGGTTTTTTCTTGCTTTGAAGGTATGCGCAAAGGGATCTGCCGGCGGCTGAGCAGAGTCCAGCTCCATGATGATATTTGTAGTATATACGCGACCTAGGGACACGTCCGACAAATAAATCCTGAAGTATGTTTTGGGATGATGCCGGGTTCTGCTGGCGATTGCGGTGCAGTTGATGGATGACGAAGGAAGAAAGTCTGGGGGCGAAAGCGAGAAAGTTGCAGATGCGACAAACATTTATGACCCAAAGGTTTCTGTTACGAGACCAACCTTCCCTGCACCAACAATCCCTTCCCAAACCACCTATATGCGCATGTCTTCGTCTCGGCAAGGAAGTAGCCATCATTACACAACGCCGGGTCAGCCAAAATGAAGCGGCAAAGTACCGATGCCTACGAGCCTAACGGCATCGGCGACTCGGGCCGCGGAAAGAAGCGTAAGATTGGTGATGAGACCCTTCCTTTGGGAGTCAATCTGTATACACGAGACAGCATTCCTTGGGACCTTCTTCAGTACGTCGCCCTAAAACGCGCCATTGTAGTAACCGATAGCTAACGTGATCCTTTACTTAGTTATTGGCATCAGAGGTACTCGCTATTTTCACTGTGGGACGATGGAATTTGGATCACGGACGAAGGTTTCTACAGCGTTACTCCCGAATCTGTCGCCAGAAAAATTGCCCGACATATACTACCGCCGGACCTAGCGAAGCCCCAGATTATCCTAGATGCATTTTGTGGAGTTGGAGGAAACGCGATACAGTTTGCACTTTCGCCTCAATGCGAGAGAGTGATTGCTCTTGATCACGACGAGGCAACAATTGAATGCGCAAAACACAATGCAAGAATATACGGCGTAGAAGACAAGATCGAGTTTATAAAATCGGATTTTTTTGAGTTTGCAGAAAATTGGAAAGGGGATGTCGAACTTGGTGCAGTGTTTTTGAGCCCTCCCTGGGGAGGACCGAGTTACAAATATGAAGAAGTGTTCAACCTGGAAGATATGACCTATGGAGGGTGAGTCTTGATCCCGGATATGTCAGACAAGAACAATGCTAATGTACATCGCAGCGCGGAGATCTACGCTGCAGCCCGAAAGATTTCACCGGATCTTGTCCTCTATCTACCTAGGAACGGCGACTTGAATCAGATAGCAAAATATGATCCTGAAGCCAAAACAATCAGAGTAGTTCACTACTGCTACAAATCGAGAAGCAAAGCTATATGCGCATATTTTGGTAAAACGGGCGTTGGCTTACCGTAACGACTATCTAAGGAGAGATGAAGACTCGCGCTACCAAAACCCTAAGACCACAACTTATTTTGCTCCGATATAACCTCACCATGCATTACCACCTTTTTTTTTCACAGTGACCTACTCCGAATTATAGGCAGAAACGGATAGTAGTGATAGATTTGGTAGAGAAAAAGGACTACCATCTATTCTACGGTTGACAAAATGTTCCTCGAGGGCATCCCCTTCATGCAATAACAACGCAAAAAAGCCCATCTCCATCAACCGGCCTAATTGATTTCACTACCAGTTCCGTCTTAGGGTTTTGCAGTTGAGGTCTTGAATTTCGTAGTGGATACAAGATTTCCACTTGGTATCCGACCGGCGTGATTGGTGCCGCACCCTGAAGAATGTTGTTTTCCATTATTACTGCACACTGCATGTGCGGATACTAGGATCTTTGGCCCTGTACTAGCTTATGGGATCGAAGCTCCCTGTAAAAGGAATACCATCTAGCTAGTGGGCCTGGGTTAACTTGAGGGTGCGATGGATAGAATCTAGATAGCAAGCCTGTAAGTTACGATTCTTAAAGACTTGATGGCAAGTTGAATCGCTCACTGTGCTTTTCTATTATGACAGGCTTCGAGTAAGGCAGTTATTATTGTTCTGAGGGGTTGCATGCTGAAACCAAATCGTCCCACGCTCGTGATGTATGCCAAAACTAGAAGTTAGATGCACTATCTTATGTTCTGGGGGGGGTAATTGAATATTGTTTTCTAGGCGGTTCCCTTCTCAGACAGGGGACTTACCGTGGGTCTCCAACCTAGCTACCCTAATATATCTTTCCCTAGATGGCGCCCCAGCCACTAGATCTAAACAACATATTGGCCGTATTAACAGTGATGACTACCCACATGTGTAAATTCGAGTCACTAAAGCTATTGTCAGCTGCGTATATTGATGGTAACGGCGTATACAGATCTATGAGCCTTAGTGTGCTAATTTGGGCGCAACCTAATATATACCCGCCTATCACTTGATAGTTTTAGAAACATCTACTACAACATCAAAATTTACTTCGAGGCTGATGAATAGCCAGGGACGGGCTCTTACATATCATGTTATCTTATCGTGCAATGTTAATGCCACTTGATTGAAGATATAATATATAATATCATATCAATACATAGATAAGTACTTACCTATATAAGTATATATGCGTGTGTAGATGCTTGAGTAGCCAAGCTGAGAGGCAAATAATTTTTTTTATTAATCCGGGGGTTTAAGAGGATAGAGAAGGTAAAGGGAGAAGAAAAAAAAGGATCTTGTACAAACTCCTAAAAAGCCGACACCTCGTGAAAGAACTGGAGACCTGCTAGCCCAGTCCTGGATAATATATAATATACGAGACCTTCTCCGGGCTCCCAATCCAGGTTGCATGTTGCATTTTGAAGTGTTGTTGTGTTGTTGCCTGAACCACTGCCCACTTTTATCGATAGCCGTTTACAGACAGCTTGAGAGGTGTGCCACCACAAAAATTTCGAACCGCGTAAACCTCAACCCCACTACTCTCCAACAGACCCCAGCTTCATCTATCACTGCTCCCTGAATCCCAATATTCAATATCCAGAACTATCAGAATTCCACACGCGTATCTACCACATCAGGTCACCCAGCAGAGTATACAGAATAGCACCTGGAAGCTAGCTGCCCAAGATGCAAGCTCCGGTTATTATGCTCAGTAAGCTTCGAAAGCCCTCGGAATATATGAGATACGAACGATCTAAGTATCTAACCGCTGAACTACATAGATACCGGTGCCGGTGAACGGCAAACCGGCAGGAAAGCACAGCTATCAAATATTACCGCGGCGAAAACGTTAGATAAACCTCATCCGTCCGCACACCTCAATCCTCATTAGCTAACTACGGGCTCTTTGAATCCCAGCGTCGCGGATATTATCCGATCATGCCTCGGTCCTAAAGCCATGTTGAAGATGTTGTTGGATCCTATGGGCGGTATTGTTTTGACAAACGACGGCCACGCAATATTACGAGAAATCGAGGTTGCCCATCCAGCTGCAAAGAGCATGATCGAGCTAAGTAGGACGCAGGTATGGCACATATGCAAGCCCAGATAACGTATGTTGGCTGAATATTGTCTGAAACTAGGACGAGGAAGTTGGTGATGGAACGACAACGGTCATTATCCTTGGTAAATACCAACCTGCTCGACAAGGAAATGGGTTTTGCATAAGCTAACAAGGGAGAATAATAGCCGGCGAGATTCTAGCTCAGGCCCTTCCCCACCTCGAACGCCATATCCACCCCGTTACCATTATTCAAGCTTTCAAGCGGGCTCTGTCAGATGCTCTCGAAGTTATCGAAAAGATCTCGATTCCTGTCGATGTCACCTCAGACGAGGAAATGATGAAGCTGATTTCTTCATCTATCGGCACGAAATTTGTCTCTCGATGGAGCGATCTGATGTGCGGCCTAGCACTCAAAGCCGTGCGTGTAGTAGCCGCAGAAGTTGGTGGTGGAAATAAAGAGGTCGACATTAAGAGATACGCTAGGGTGGAGAAGATCCCCGGCGGCCAAATCGAGGATAGTAGGGTTTTAGACGGTGTTATGCTCAACAAAGACATCACACATCCAAAGATGAGGAGAAGGATAGAGAACCCAAGGGTCATCTTGTTGGATTGCCCGTTGGAATACAAGAAGGGTGAATCGCAGACAAACATTGAAATTTCCAAGGAGGAGGATTGGAATAAGATCCTAGAGATTGAAGAGCAGCAAGTAAAATCTCTGTGCGAACACATCCTAGCTCTAAAGCCGGATTTGGTCATCACAGAAAAGGGCGTGTCAGGTACGATCAAAGGGGGGGGGTCTCACAAAGGTCATATGACTGAGCTGACGTTATACTAGACCTCGCCCAACATTACTTGCTCAAGGGCAATGTCACTGCATTGAGACGGGTTCGCAAATCTGACAACAACAGAATAGCGAGAGCAACCGGTGCTACAATTGTGAATAGGGTTGAAGACCTCCAGGAATCCGATGTTGGAAATAAGTGTGGGCTTTTCGAGATTGAGAAGATTGGTGACGAGTACGTAGTTGGATCTCCGAATAAGAGAGAGTCGGTTGATTACTAACAGTGTGGCAGATATTTCTCCTTTATTACCAAGTGCGAGGACCCCAAGGCTTGCACAATCTTATTACGAGGGCCATCGAAGGATATTTTGAACGAGATTGAAAGAAATCTGCAGGATGCCATGTCGGTTGCTCGTAATGTCTTTTTCCACCCGAGGTTATCTCCTGGTGGTGGTGCTACCGAAATGGCGGTTGCTGTGAAGCTCCAAGAGCTCGCTAAGCAGGTAGAAGGTGTTCAACAGTGGCCCTATAAAGCGGTTGCCGATGCTATGGAGGTCATCCCTAGGACACTTATCCAAAACTGCGGTGCTAGTCCAGTTAGAGTGTTGACCCAACTCCGGGCCAAGCATGCTGAGGGCGGATACACCTGGGGCATTAATGGTGACACCGGAAAGATTGTTGATATGCACGAGTACGGCGTGTGGGAACCAGAAGCAGTCAAGCTTCAGAGTTTGAAGACTGCCATTGAGGTACTACCCCCTTGCAATCTCTTATTTGGAAACTGTAATACTAACTTTAATCAAGTCTGCCTGCCTGCTGTTGAGGGTCGACGAAATCTGTGGTGCGAAAAGCGGGAAGCAAGGAGGTGGAGGTGGTGCCGAAGAATAGATGATGTTTCTGGGCTAAGATTAGAATCAATTAGACCTGTTGACCGTTTACCTCCAAAAGCATCTGTATACCCAAGGGTAGTCAAGGTTACTAGTAATACAAGAAGTGGAAAAAAAAAAGAATGATAGCCCAGGCTCCAGATATCGTGATCGCTGAATGCAGAAACAGAACATCTGAAAGACAAATACCAAAACTTAATACTATGCATATCAGTCATCATCGAATATAACAATAGACCTGTTGCCGCTTGACGGGGCAACTGCAGCCGATGTGCCATTCGATGGTTGTATATTCTTGACAAGCTTAATCTGAGGCCCCACTTCATTATCCGTAGGACCAGCGGCGCCATCCGCACCAGCATCATCGACTTCGTTATCAGTGCTTTCAAACTGTGGGGTCCCTGTTCTCTCGCTTTCCTTCTTCTTCTCTTGCGCCAGCTTCTTTTTCTGCCTCTTCGCTCTATTCTTGGCTGTTTTAGCATCATCCTTTTTCTTCCACTCTTCAGTCTTAGTATCGAATTCCTCCTTGTCCTGTTCTCTTTTTAGCTCGTCATCCATCATCTTTAAACGTTCGTATTCCCTCCTTCGGCTAGCCTTGTAGACGTGAAATTCACCTGACCCGGCACCTGCACTCGAACCCTGGACATTGGCCACGATTTCGGGCGGTGGTGCGAGTTTCTTCTCCCGCGATTTAGCAGTTGGTACAAAGCGGTCAGGGTTCTTCATCAGACCAGCAAGTTGTGCGGCCTGGGCTGAGGACGGCGAGAGAGCGCGTTTCTTATTTGGTCGATGCGACTGTGGGTCCATCGACGTGGGGATTGATTCAGGGATGTTTTCTGACATGATGGGCCGGAATCGAAGAGGTCAAAGCGGCCGCGTGCCCAGGCCGTCTGCAGGTGAGTAGAAGCGAATGGGAATTTGCCGTCGACGAGGATGATGGGTGTGGTTGCAATCGGTGGGCGGATGATGGATGGTAGTGGTGATGAATATAGAGATGCGTACGGTACGGAGTACGAGTTGGGAACCGCTCAATGCAATGCAGGGCGACGCCAAGACTAGGCCGAATGTCCAACGTCGGACAAACAACACACGCAACACATTTATTATAGCTTAGAACGCCGCGCTGGATTGCTCTAACTAAGCCGCTGACGCTGCATGTCAGATGCCCTCCTGAAACGAGCCTCGTCCACGTCCACCAACAACCGTCAAATTTAGTATCCGACAAGGCTCTATTTAAAAGTACACCCACCCTCCTATATGCCGTGCTATTATACAGTATGTAATGTACTGTACATGTGTACGTGTAATTGTCACCGCCGCTGTTTCAGACCTACCCAGGGCTCTGCGGTCAGCTTTATTTTTTTATTTTTTTTATTCTTGCGGCAGGTACACATCCAATATGTATGCATTGCACCCGGAAACCCGCTGAAACGCTGAAACGACCGATATCGATATCGAATGCCTAATTAGCTATCTTCATCAGAATTATGTATGAACTTACATACCGATATCGTGGGGAACGGCCTAGCCTTTGCAATTATCCGATGAACCCTAAAGAGACAAAAAGGAAAAACAAAACGAAAGGAAGGAAGAAGAAAGAAAGAAAGGAAAGGGCTCAAGGGGGGCTACCCAAGAAAATACATATGCGGCTTTCCCCTGGGCTGTGAAAGGGGAACGATTACTAGTATTATACTTATAAAAGGCCCTCTGTGGGCCCTCCATTCTACCTTTTTTTTATATAGTCTGCCAACCGCATGTTGAGCTTTGATCATCATCCATCCCACTCAGTTTAACATTTTGAGCCCCTCTAAACGTTCTCAATTTATTTGAAGACCGAATAAATCAATACCTATCCATATATAACCGGATTCTTGATACCTCGGAGGACTTTGAAAATGCGCTTCTCAAACATCGTCACTGCTGTCGCTGCTATCGTTGCCGCTGCCCCTTCTGTGGCAGGCGAGCCAGAAGCAAGTGCGGCAGTAGGATTGGAACATGGCATCGAGGTATGATTATTCCCAACTTAATATGGCGCCATGAATTCGACACCTTACTGACTTGTACTCATATTTGTATATAGGCACGAGCCACCAAGTCCCTGGGTGTCTTTTACTGTGTTGGAGCGATCTGGACGACCAAATGCTGGCATCGAGTGAATCTCAAAGCCGGAACGTTCTATGAAGTCGGGCCTAGCTATAACGACAAAATATTGTCGTTCGGCCCGGACAAAGGTACCAGGTGTACTCTTTGCATGTAAGTAATGAATTGTACTGTCAACTAAAAAAAAAAAGATTATACATATAAAATGGAAAAGAAAAGAATATAATTCAAGTTTTAAAAAAAGGAAGAGAGAAAGAAAAACTAACGAATGCCTGTGTCTAGAAACGGAGACTGTAGCTTGGGAAATGGAGGCGGTTTCTCTGAGGTTATTCACTACCCCGGAATCCGTGATATGAATGACTGGTGGGGGAGGTTCTGGGACTACGACCACTCTTGGAGCGGAGTTTATGTTAGCCAGAACTTCTGGAACGGCAGAATCAGTGGGTTTCTCTGTTATCCGGAGTAACAGAATTAAGATGCATGCAGTGCATATGAAGTGTATACTGGGGCTGGTCTGATCTAGCCTCGAATCCAACGTGCACCGCGATGCATAAGACTTATTCGTAATGTACCAAAATTGGAAGCGTCTTAGAGACAGGGAATTGCAGGATCAATCGAGTTTCACAGGGCTTTATCTTTTCTTTTCTTTTCTTCCCTTGTCTCCCTCTTTTTTTTTTTTTTTTTTTTTTTTTACTTTTTTATATAAAAAAACGAGATACCTTGAATTGTAATGAGTATTTTCTTTGTATATATATAATACACAATAATACCTACTTCAAAACTTACCTACTTGCTTCTTAAGTACTTATTTACAAGATGGCCTGCTTACTTGAGCGCTTGAGTAAATAGCTACTCTAACATTATAATTAGCAGAAGCTCTCCCATAAATTTGCGTTGGTGTGGTATTTTGCGGCCCCAAGGACAGCTAAGCTATCAATACCGCCAGCGTTAACTATCTCCAATGCAATGCAATTCAATGTAACAACCTCCACTCTCACTCCACCAACCTCACCATCATCACCAACCCGGTGATTGATGCCGTCGAGCATGACATATACATACAATGGCCGACCCCCTCCTCGACTTCCTCTCCGACGGTCTGCCTCCATCGCTAACCGAACGAGGTAGCGACAGTGCCGCAGCAGCATCAACCTACCTTTCCCGTCTAACCTCACTCTCATTCAATGACATTGTAAACAACGAACCCGCAGCCCTAAAATCCTCCCATCACTCCATCAACCTGTCCCTTCAATCCCTCGCTTCCCGGTCCTACCAAAGTTTCATAACTTCCTCTGAACAACTATCCACCATTCCAACCGCTCTCAACAAACTCAATGATTCAATCGAATCCCTAAAATCACACCTCCCGGCGCTGGACGCCCACCTCAGCGAATTTTCGAAGAAATACCATAAATCATCACCTGTGCTTCAAGAACGTACTCGAAAACATACCTTAGCAAGAACTTTCCCCAAACTGCTCGATATTCTAGAGTTGCCCACTCTTCTGCAATCCGCAATATCTTCATCGAACCCCTCGTTGGCCCTCGATATTCATTCCCACGTTCGTAGACTATACCAGTTGTACCCGAATACACCGATAATTGCTTCCGTAACTCGTGAATGCGATGCTCTCCTCCAAGTGCTAAATACACAACTTCTAACAACCCTACGCGGACCACTCAAGCTCCCAGCAGCTATAAAAACGATTGGATACCTGAAACGGACATCGCCGAACATAGCTCCGGGGGAGGAAGTCTGGGGTTCCATATTCCTCGTTGCACGATTGTCATTCTTGAATAGTCTCTTCCAAGCGTTGGATCCGCTCCGGGAACTCGCAGATGTGGAAAGGGAAGAATGGGCGAAGTCGCAGACCGCCGCGAATGGCGATAGCAATCGGAAATCCAAGTCAACAGGTCACCAAACCGAGAGATATCTAAAACGTTGGATCGAGGTATTCCGTGAGCAGAGTTTTGCGATAGTAACTATGTACCGAGCTGTTTTCCCGCCATCTGGAAGTACGACTACAAATCTTGCTTCGGCTTATCTTGCCCCCCAAACACCTGTTACGCCAAATATTAGAAGAAGCAGTGTGGTTAGCGCAGATGGAGATATTGGCGATGGGATTGATACGCCCAGTCCGCTAGTTACGTTCGTTCCTCATTTGGTGACTATGCTAACGTCGACTCTGAGGAACTACCTGCCGGTCGTATCAGACAAATCGGCGAGGGAGTCATTGTTGACGCAGATGTTATATGCGGCGGGAAGTTTAGGAAGGTTAGGTGGGGACTTTGGTATGATTCTTGCGACAGGGTTATTAGGAGTTGATGGTGCCGGAAGTGAGGACTCCGTGGAAGGAAATACAGAGGGGGGCGAGTGGGTTGAGGTTATGCAAAAGCATAGAGTTTTAGCGGAAAGGCTAGAGGAATTGGCAGCTGGGAAAGGAATCAGGTCGCCATCAGCCAGTCCTCTCTTATCGTAATTATAGAAGTGTTAGGGGTCGAGACATAGCTGCCACCGAAAGGAAGGCAGTCATTAATTCAACCAACCACAAGCGCTCACTCCCTCCATGTATGGACACCCCAGGGTAATCGCTCTGGAAAAGAGAATAGTATATCAATGTTAAGATATATGGGCATACTCGTTTATCTAGTCTTCGCGATGGATCTTGCACGCGCAGAATAATATAGTTCATAGTTATTATAATTACTAAGTAGCCTAGCAGTGCCATCCACCAATAATTCCCTATACAATCCTTCGCCTCCCACAACGGATAGTGTTATTCCGATAATATCATATCAAACGCCTTTTGATGCTAAGCAACTGCCAAAAAGAAAATGCGCCTTGCCCGTTCCTTTGTTCCTAGCCAATGATCTGAAAGGCCTCCCCCGATAGTATTCTATGCTGTAAAATAGAGGGTAAAATATCATCTAATCGACATTAGATAATACTGTTAAAGTCGGGAGGAACCTGCCATCCATGGGTTCTACAGGCGCGAATGAATGCATCCTTGGCTTCATGTGGGCTGTAGGAGCTATTACCGCCTGCTTCAAGTCGAGCAGGGTTTGGTTCCACCGAGCACAAAGCCAACTATTGCACCAAGTATGTCAGCAAGATATCTTCTTCAAAGGTTGCCATATCCAGACACATACCCTAATTTGTAAGAAGACAGATTCCAAACTGGAAACCGCAGACCAACCGGAGTTTGTCAAAAGTTCCATACACAAAGCGCCACCCGCCGTGACATGCCCACCGCCTCCCCTCTGGAATGGGAGAAATCTTGGCCCAATAATCCTGAAAAACGGAGGGGTCATTGGAAAGTCTTTTCCAAACCGGACTTCCATCACAATGCTATTGACTTTGTGTTTGACCATGTCTTTTGCAAGGGGTAGATTCGGGTCAAATGAGTGAAACTCTACAATCCACTGATAGACATTTTCGATAGAGTCACGATTAATATACCAACCAAGTTCTTCAAGCTCGTGACATTCTTGAATTTTTACGAGTGCCCTAAGTTCTTGGTTGATGCGTTTGGTCGCCAATGGTGAGGCATAGGAGGGTTCGGCGAGAAGCTGAATGGATCCGATGTCCAAATTTCCGGGGATGAAGGCGTTTGGATTCTTGGTTTTGGCAATTTGCTTCTCTTTGCCTTTCAGAGATGTATTTTGGCTCCCAAGCATCGCCTTTTCATCAATGCTTAAGATATCTCGGTCCTCTTGGTCGGTGGCACAAGACGAATAACCATCATCATCTTGACCCAAGAGACCTGTCGACCCTAATCCTCGTTTAACTATACCTTTAATCTTAGTGCCTATCCTGGACTTTTTGGCGGGAGATGGCTTTGGCTGTGAAACTGTTTGATTATTCCCGCTTCTCGTTCTAACGGTAGATGCAGTCTCTGGGATAACGAGAGCCTTTTGATTGATGCCCCTTGGGGTCATTCCCGGGTCCTGTGGAAGAGTTCTGAGTGGAATCGGGGCTGCTTGAACTGATGGGTTGTGGCTCAGTGCCGTCGGCGGCCTTCCAGTTTGAACGAATAGATATCGAGTTTGGATCCAATCCACTTTGTCCACGACAAGATGTGGGCTCTAAATAAGGCGTTAGCATATGATGGTCAACAGAATCAGTATTGAGTGGAGGGGAGATACCTTGCTAACGAACTCGTTTGGAAGATTAACGACCTCATTGAGGCACATCGCACTATTAATACATAGGTGACTTTTAGACCACCATTTTTGATTGTTCGAGCCGATGCCATTGGCACTATAATTCCGATAACTGTTAGTGTAGCCGAGACTAACACTGGCGTCCAGGCTGTGGTAGACACCATGTCCATACGCACGACCGTGAGCTAAATTTACAGTTATTATTAGTGACGTGTTATCAAAATATTCTTATTAAATGATAAGTATTACCTGTTTCTCGGAAATGCAACCCTTCTCTGATAATCGAATGCCAGTTCGGAAGGGGTGATCCATGGAATGCAAATATGGTTGGGACTATCTCGAGGTTAGTATAATGGCAGCGAGGGGGCCACTCAGAACTGGGAACTCACATGCGAGTGCATTGGTTTCAACAGTCGACCGGACTTCGTTCACAAATCGCTGTTCTTTGTCGGGTGCGCCCATAGCAAACCTGAACTGGATCCATCCATCCATTCCATGGACACGTTCCTCTCCTAGGATGATCTTCTTCTTCTCCTTGGTTTCTTCCATTGCAGAAGAAGCCACATCCGGGGGAACATCACCTTGTTTGTAATCCATCGGGTCATCCGGTGTTTGGTCGATCTGAACGATACAACTACGATTACTTGCGACAATCCATCGGAGCAAGAGTAAAGCGCTTGGGCTAATTTTGTTCCTCCAAGTCTTCAAGCTTACCTCCTCTCCGACTTTCGTATTCATGATCAGCCACTCCCTCATCTCGTTGACCGAAGGCAATGTCTCAAGCATCTGAACAATAGAATTTCTCTTAACCCCATCAGACAATTCGTCAAAATTCCGGTCGTAGATCGTGAATGAAACTTGAATCTTCATATCCCCGATGATACCAACATCTTTACCGGAATCCGCATAAAATATGGAATGCGGATTGCTAGCTGCGATAGCCAGTCTGACCTTGGGAAAGTAATCTCCATCAACAACTCTGCAATGAAGCGATTCGGACCCGGATAACGATGTCATAATAATCCAGTCCCCTGTATTAAGTCTCGCCGAATTTCCCTCCATGACATCCACAGATAGTTCTTGTTGAGATCGATCGAAGTTACCAGTGCCAGAGGAAAACCCAGGCATTGGTACAACCAAACTACAAAAATATTATTTAGCCCCAATCCCAAATTTCAGGGGGTAGAGAGTGCATACTTGAGCCCGGTTGGAAACTCGGAGAGTTTTCCATGAGAAGCGGATACCCAACAGAAGCTTATAAGTAGATCTATGACGCTTGGTTGATCCAGTATTTCGTATTCCATGCTTGGGCCAAACCCAAGAGCCATATACTGGTACAAGCATAAGGGCTTGCTACAAACATAGGGTTTTAAGGCCTCGAAATTGGCATCAATCTTGTTATGACAGACAAGACAAAACTCGGTACAGCGGACGAAATGGCGTAGCATGTATTGCATGGCGACTAACGGAAAGGGAATATCGTCATGGGATTTGCAGTTGCTCTGTAAAATATCCGCTTGGACTAAAGATGCTAGATTAACGATGCCCTCGTCATCTTTTTTATAGTATATGTCATCGATGATGTCGGACCTCTCTCGGCCTTGGAAATCTATACACCCGTGGGCCGTTAGGGCTACCACAATAGTTGTTTTGGATTTTTTTTAACATACCTTCATAGAACATTTCTGATCCATCCCAGCCAAATCCATATGAAACTCGGTATAGCGTCAGGGCAAGTAGCCTCTCATTTAACAGCTCCGAAACAGGTCGAGAGATAAAAGTGCCCTCGAAAATCGGCGAGTTTGCGTCTGCTTGGGAATCGCTTAGTCCATGGACATCTAGTTTCCCTCCCTCTGACTTGAAAACGTGAAGATTGCCATCTTGATCCTCCTTGAACTTCTTGACCTTAGTAAAAGCCGCAATTGCCTCCTGCAAACTCGGCTTGTATCGCGACGAAGTTCCCACATAGACCTGGACCCATTTTTTAGCGGTATAGCTGTCTTTGGCCATGGCCGAGAGAGGTTTGTACCCAGATGGATAGTGCATCAATAATACAAGATACTTGTCGGGGTTCAACCGCCAGGCCGTCATAGCCTCGTCGCTGATACCAAGCTTCGAGATTCTGATAGAGATAGCAAGATATCCAGATCCACCCGGTAGGTTGCCCAGAACTCCAACCTTGAATCCGGCACTTTTGACAGCACGAAGGTCTACGCAGAACTCTTTGATACATTCACACTGCAGGGGGTCTGTTGATCCTGCGACCTGTGAGTCCCCGATGGCGAGCCCATTTTCTGAAGCAGTAGTGGACCACCCGGCTATTGAACCATCCTCTTCAGAATCTCCAAAATCCCCTTCGTCATAGTACTCATCAGTCTGGTCAGTCTGGTCTTCTTCGTCCTCATCAATATCCATAGAATCATCGTCGTATTCGGGATCATATTCAGTAGAGTGTTGTCGTTTAATCCCGCGTTTTGAGCAGATGGCGGTTGCCGTTATACTGATAATGTCAGCTATCTTTTTGGCTCGAGCATTGATGTTTTCAATGGCTTTGGATATTGACTCTGGAACGTTTTCCGCCGTGGCATAAAGGAAGCATTCGTGTTCCGACGGGTAGTCACTGAGTTCTAGCCATATGTGCATCGGTGTTAGACTCAAGCAAACGGAAACCGAAATGCATCAAATACAGCAAATATCTAACCTGGTATTAGGACGGTGATTTCGATTGGTAGTATGCCATCTGCAACCTTAAAAGTGAAGCTTCCATCATCTTCACCTTTTTCGATACCTTTTAAAAGAGAAGAAAACAAAAGTCAATATACTTGTTCCGGTAGAACATACTAGTTATTTTTTTGCAATCAATAACTCACATGAGACAGATGGATGAGGAGAATGTGACTGGACTTGTTGCAAGTCGGCGACGAAGGCCTTTCTTGGCATAGTGACGGATAAACGCTAACCGTGTAGCTAACCGTATAACCTCGTTTACGATGACTAGACCAGATCCCAAATATGGAACGTTAGTTGAAAGCTACTAATTTGATAGGTTGACTCTCGATTTATTTTATTTGTTGTCGTCCCATACGAGAGCCGTGTGGACTGGTTTGGTGATCTCGATAGGATATACATACATTCCTATGTTTTCTGGATGGTATTTTATCTAGGCCTAGGGCTAGTTAGGCTTTCAGTGAGGCAGTTGAGAACGAAATGGGTGATTAATTGCGCTCGCGTTGCACGTTGGTATTCGGTTATGGAAGTGGAGAAGCTATTAGTTAGCTTGCGAAGGAAAGAAAATTAAAAGACTGTAGAAAATTATGGAGTATTCGGGATCAAGGCCCGGATAGAAATGGAGGATTTCGTGATGACGATGATGAGGAAGGGAAACGATGGATTTAAAGTGTCTGGGTGATGGTGATGATGGTGATGATGATTGTGGTGGTTGATATGGATGTTGATGTTACAAAGTGCAAGCAGCCAGCCGCTATCATTAGTGCATGTGTACGTAGTGACGGATGTCAGGGCGGCTCTTTGTTCGAAAGTCCACTGCCTTTCAGCTTCAGGAATATAGTATATTATAGAATGGAAGATATATCGATATTAGGATATGGGGATATCGATGGAGAGACTTCGAAGGGGAAGAAGTAAGTTAGAGGGCGGAGGGTAGGATAGAAGGTATATTAAATAAAATAAAATCCTTTGACAGATGCTTGGTCAATCAGCCTTGAGCTCGCATGCTGTGCACTGTTGACAGATCGAAGTACTAATTAATATAATACGATTGATTGCTATTTTATGAATCAGTCAGTCAGTCCGTACGTAAGTACAGTCATTCGCGCAAACACCAAACACGATATCCCGCATTTTGCAGGGGTTCCCGCAGCAGTAGATATAAAATAGGATTGATTGATTGATAACTTGGTTGGTTATAAGTAGGTACCAAGTACTTAAGTACCTACTTACTAGGTAGTTAGCGACTGCTATAATATGCACTTGCTTTGATCCTTGACTAGTTAGCTAGCGATGTTGGTCAGTCGAGGCACTTACATTGCATTGACCCCCTAACTAGCTGACTACCTAGGTAGCTACCTGGGTGCTAGGTAGAGGGCCTTGGCAGCCGTCGCCTCAGAGTTTGAGCCTCACCTCACTACCAGTCTTGCCTGGTTACTAGATCCGATCGCCTCGAATTCACGTTATAGTACCATCCACCTAGTCTACTATACTATCGATATCACCATGGCGGACCACCACCACAACCTCCTCTCCGATCCTGTCCTCCAACCCTTCCTTTCCGACTCCTTCTCCCCAACTTCTTACCTCAATTCTACATTACCTCCACTCTCAGCTACTGCAGTCATATCCTCTTCTTCTCCCACGGTTTCCCTCCAGAAGCTCCACACAACAGCTACCACTCTTCTCTCCAACCTCGACGCTCACCTGAACCGTCTACAATCCACCCTCTCAACTCTCACCGATGAAATCCTCCGTGCCACTCCCAGGCTATCCTACGAACTTCAAGTCCTCCGGAGCGATGTGATATCCTTGGCTGATACGTTATCTTCAACTCGGACCCGTCAATTGACAGAATGTATGGCCGATATATCTTTGGAGGAATCACCCAACACCCCTCTAGAAGGAACCGGGGACAAAGAAAGAAGAAAATCCGAAGTTTCAAATACCCAGGGGAAACCTCAGGTCCTTAAACGACTCGAAACTCTCACACTGGTCCGCCGCCATCTCGAGGATGTAATCAAAGTCTTCGGAGAAGCGATGGAATGGACCCTTACGGACGTCCAAAAAACTTCAATCCCACTACCAACAACTACGACATCTTCCTTGGGTGCCTACATCCCCCCGTCTCGGTCACCATCGCCGGCAGTAATGGATGGTCGTAAGCGGTCTGGCCAGAGTAGCAACAACCCTGCGACTGGATCCGACAAATTTACTGATGAAATATCATATTTTCTCTTGAACGGGGAAGTCGACAAAGCCACACAAAAGGTCGAGGATTTAGCCAAACTATGCGAGGTTTGGAAGAATACTAGTGAATACGATGCTCGTTTGCGATTCGTAGAGAATCTAAGATGGCAGGTTATGGAGGCTACCAAGGCTGAAGAGCCAAGTGTTGTGGAAAAGAAGGACAATGACAGAGGAGTCTACACTATAAACCTTCCCGAGGTCTCGTTACCGAAGGATGGGTACCTAGGTTTTATAAACCAGTTCAAGCAGATGAGAGATAGTATCGGTCAGTCTGGTCTGTGAACGGTTATAATATCTTTAGGGTTGTAGGTAGCTAGCTACTCTAAGCAGCGCCGGGGTCGAAGCTTGTAAATTTCGGGCAGGGATCATTCGTCTGTATGTAGTATATATTAGAAATATGATACCAAATTTACTCATCGTGATCATAGTCAGTCATATCACCGATTCCCCTTTCCCTCTTAGCTTCCACACTCCATTTCTGCCTCCATTCCTCGCTCTTTCTCGCGGCAAACCTGCGATTTATGACCTCGACGGTCTCCATCCTCCCTCTTTTAACTATTTCAACATACTTTCCAAAACTCGTCTGCATTGGCGAGCCATCCACAATCCAAGTACTATCTCTCACCTTTTTCTTATTGCTGCTGTTACTATTATCATTACCGGTCATCGCTAAGTCCTCATTTCTTTCTACCGTTTCTCGTTTGCGACGTGCCTCCTGTTGGCCATATACCATCGCTAATAATCCACCACTCAACATCGCATCCATATTCGAGTTGTGCCATAACTCCCATAACGACCCAATGACATCCTCCCGACTACTTGGTTTCGCCCTATTGAGTTCCGGGTAGACCCACTTGACTTCGTTCTCATCGAATAGACAATCCCACAATACCAACGGTCTATCATCTGCCATGTTGTAAAAGGGCTTTGTTGGCATATTCTGAACGTCCAATAGTTCCTTTACAACATCTGGCTTCTCGAGTTTCTGCCCGACCAGAAATAATATGGCGACCATATGCCTGACCTGATGCCACAGAAAAGCCGAACCAGTGAGTTTAAAGTAATACATCTCTGGTCGTCTTTCTAGCATTCTTTGGGAAGTTTCACACGGTTCTAGGGAAAAAGCCGGTGTAACCCCGCCCACTTTCACGATATCCGCTTCTTCCACCCGCCTTTTGAAGTTCGTAATCTGCTTGCTAGCATCAATTTTGCATAGATTCCGAAAGTCGTGTGGGCCCTCATAGTACTTTGCCGCGGTTTTCATCGCATCGATGTCGAGTACCCTTGGCGGCTCACCGGGGTTATGTGGTGCCGGCGGGTTCGTGAAAAAATAGTGATATGTCCTCGCCTGGCAGTTGAATCTTGCTGAGAAGTTTTCGGGGGGGTTAGGGCACCATGCTAGGACTCTTATTGTTGAGGGCAAAAGACGGTTTAGTATTGTGACATAGGGCAGCTCATCCTTGTCTTCAAAGTCTAGCGTCTCGTCGTCATTTTCAGCTGGTTCGATGGGACCTTTGGGTGTCGAACTGTCATCTATATCTTCCACCAGGGCGTTTTCTCCTAGTATTTCTTCTTTTTTAGATTTTGGTCGATTACTCCGCACCCTAACGCCAACCACCTGTCCAAAGGCGCTAACACCTCTATCGGTTCTTCCACATTTGGTGTATTCCCAGGAATCCAAATCTATCCACTTCCCAATATCCTCGATACCCGTATTACTTCCACTAGTAAACACCTGAGTGGTATCTATGGAGCCATCGGGATGATAGTAAGTCTTAGGAGGCACTAATCTTGCTTTGAGTAGTGCTTCGAAGAGTTTTTCTTCAACTGTAGGCAATGGAGTGTCACTTCCAAAATGGTATTCCAGGCCCTGATACGGCCCACCGATATATGCAAACTTTAGAGCTATCAGACGGCTTGTGTACCGTCTGAAATCAAAATCTGGTTTCGCAGTTGACTTTGGTAGGATCGTTAATGACTCTTGTCTATCAACAAAGCCCGTTAGTTTTCTTTCTCTTCACATCTAATACGCATGTAATTTGTTACATATCAGGTCATACTTTACACACTCACTTGATCTCCGAGTTCAGAAGATTGGTTTCTAATGAAGACTCAAGATGGCGAATACGGGATATCAGGGCTTCTTGGGTCCATTGTGTGTAATCTGTATCACCGCTCTGTGGTAGCTGCACATGTGGAGGGGTAATAGTCTGTCCCTCCATTGTGGACGGGTTTGCGGATAAACTTCGGGAAAATAGAAGGATCTTTGGTTTAAATTTGTTAGAGGATATGATGCGTACTGCGGCCCTGCGAGCGGGAACAGCAAACATTCAAAGAGCTTAAGTTCGTGAGAGAAAAAATAAAATAAAAAAAGGATGGTTGTGGGATGACAGTGGTATGTACTTAAGTACTTACATAAGTACATGCAACATTTGTGAGTGGTTGTGAGTCAAGTTTTATCCCGGGGCCCAGGGACCACACCAGGGCCATCCCGGGCCACGACGGCCGGCAACTCCACTCCCGACCCGGCCATCCACCTCACTCAGTCAGTGAGCGCAGCCTCGCATGCAGCACGGTCAATGAAAGAGAGGGAGATAATTAGACCTCCGACATGTACATCTCTCATCCCCAATTCTAATCCTTCTCACCTCTTCTCACCCTAACAATACCAGAAAATCTGCTTTTGCAAACGCAAGAAGATAGTTATATATACTAGTACTTTGCATATACCTACATACCTATTTAATCGTACATCTACCTACTATCCTCTTCGACTTGAACTAGGAAGCCCAGCATGGCTGCGGCCACAACCGTAGCACCAGTCGAGTTCAATCCAACGCGACAGGGTAAATTCAAGGTCCTCATCGGCGATAGTCTAAAACCGGGCGCTGAAGACGGACAATCGCCGAATGTTTATTCGAGCTTCAGATGTCAGTGCTTATCCCAGTTACTTTAGCTACACTTAGTTGGCATCCGAGTGAGCGACTGAGTACCCAGGCAAGCTAACATTCACCCGCATTTCTAGACAACACGGCGCCGCCCTCCGGACCCTCGAAACTGTCACAAACCGACAGTGGTCAATTCAACCTTCTATACGAGGTATATTACGTCCACCTACCTCCTAGTTACCCCTTCCCCAAGCACCTTAAGTCCTTGGTTGCCACAACAAGTATCTAACTTTTGATTACTAGGACGACAGAGAAACATCCTACACCGGCGCCCAACGACCGGGCCGAAAGCTCGAATGCATCCTGGTGTACAACCCCAAGGACAATACTTTCACCCTCGAACGCACCTCTTCCATATTCACCTTCAACCAGTCCCACCCTTTCTCCGAGGCACCATCGATACCTGCAGCAACCTACGAGGATGAAGTAACAGCTGCAGTCGGAAATAGCGATGATGAAGACGCCCAATTGGCTGATGCCGAAAACCCTTTCGATGTCAGACACTTCACTAGTAGAGTGCTGCCGAACTCTGATGAAGATGAGGATGAACGGGAGGATCAGAAAGAAGAGGACACAGATGTTGAAATGGAGGACGTAGACCCTCAAGCTGCAGTCACCGAGCCCGAACAGGAACAGGAAACAGCGGTAACCCCTGGCCAGTCGGCTTCGACGCCTATACCAGCTTCATCTGCGACACCAACACCGAATCCATCCCTTGGAATGATAAAACGGAAAGCAAAGGCGGTCAACCCTTTCATGAAACCCAACCGGAAACCGAAAGCGCCTGCGGCATCCAACAACGGCAGGTCACCTCTTCTTCACCCGGACATGGCATCACATGGCAAAGAAGCTTCGATGTCACCTCAACCCCGCCTTCCCTCGCCAATGCACGTCGACCGCAAACCTGCAGCAAGGAAAGGTCGAGTTCAACAGAAAGAAGAATCATCGGAATCGGATGCCGACTCCAGTGACGAAGAAGATAATCGCAGGAGGCCGCCACCACCGGTTAATAAGCATATTCAATCAGTCGCCATGTCCCGAGAACCATCGTTTTCAGGTTCCATTCTTTCGAATAACGCCCCAGATGAACTTGAATTCCCGGATCCGAAGAGCGAGGACAAGGGCGATGGGGAGGACGACGATTTTGATCTCGATAAAGCTATGGCTGAGGAATTCGACTTTATGGAGGATGATGATGAAGGCGAAGGCGAAGGCGGCGGCGGCGGCGAACTTACTATCGAAGGAGAGGATGACAATCGCTCAGGAATCGGCTTGGGGATTGGCAATATCAACAGTACGGCGGTCCCAGTAAGCTTGAGTAGTATGATGGGCGGCAGGAGAAGAGACGAGAGTGAGGAGGAGAGCAGTGAAGAAGAGTAGCACTAGTACTATGTCTACACCTGGCCCACATTAAAAATCTGCGAAACCGTAAAGATGGGCGACGAGGTGAATATCCTTTTCGGAGTATCAATCTGGTCCTTACCTGGCGTCTTTTTCTACTAGAGCAAAGCAACAAGTATATGCGATACCCTTCAGATGTTTTCCTTTTGATCTTAGCTTTCTCTTTTTCTACCTCTCCCTCCTATTTTACTTTTCTCACGAATCTCTTTCAGCATGCATATCACGACGATTAGCCCATTGGCACAGTGTTTAATGAATTTTAGCTTTGAAGAATATATATTGGTTTATTTTCGTTTTTATAAAAGTACATGTCAAATATCTTTTCCGAAGAATAGACAATCGGCCGTAAGGAAATGTATTATCACTGAAAACTTTAAGCCTCTAAGCTTGCGCTCAAACCTCTACTTTTGGTCTGAATAGGATAAAATAAAGTGAATCCGAAAAAAAAAAAAAAAAAGCGCGGATATTGGAAAGCAGACTAACTGCCACCAAACTGGAAAAGGGGGGGAAGAAAAAAAAGTCGAATTATGTGAAGTTGTACAATAGGCTAATAGAGTAGAAAGAGCTACGGAAATAGATGTCTGGGAATAGTTGCATTCACGTTTGGAGGCGGAAGGGGGCCTTCTTATCGCATCCCAGCTTGATCTCGACCGTGAAGCAAAAGATACGCGTTCTGAGCCACTGCATCCCGTTGGTAGAACCCTGCCCTCCTGCTCTCCTCGCTGTCCACTCCCTTTTCTCCCAGTATAACCTCTAAATCTCGTTTTTGGCTGCTGACCCATTGTTGGATAAAAGCTGCAGGATCCATACCAAGGCTGGTCCAGAAATCCCTTTTGGCTTTTGAGTGGTTGATTGCCTGGACCAACACGGCAATATTGTCGTCTTCCATGCTTAAGTTCCGGTGGAGCGGACTGGTCATCTGGGAGTTAATCACCTTGAGCATACGAAGTCTCAAAGGCTCGTCCTCAGTAATAATAATATCGTGGATAACGGGAGAAGTCGATGCGGTGTCCACTTTGATCATGTATTTGATGGTAATTGGTTCAATAGGCTTCAAATGGGGAGAGATCAATTCTGGAATCTGTGGAACCTGAATTCTGTCCATTTTGAAAGCCTGGAGGAAATATAGATTAATGTACGGGCTCAATTTCCGCAAATATGTAAATTGTAACATACCTTTTTCAATTTCTCATCACATGTAATATTTCTTCTTTCGTCTCGGTCTTGGAGGCCATTCAAGTAGGCGTATTCCCAAATACCAAGCATAATTCCAGCCCGAGAGTCCTCGGTAGTATCAAGAATGGACTGCAATTCCGGGCTAAGCTGAAATCGCTCGGGCTGCTCATCCCTGACTAGTTGAATTGTGCATGGTGCGCTAACTTCTAACTTTCTCTCAAACTCAAATCCATCGAATTCAGCGGGTGGTGTAGAAGCAGCCGCTCCCGGCTTGGCAGGTGCGGGGGGTGGCGGCTTTTGCCATTCGGCAATGCTGTTCTCGCCAAAGCCTGGGTCCATATTGGATCGAAGGATCTCGACGCGAATGCTTTTGAAGATTTGCGAAAGTTTCTTGGGTATCTTTGATTCTTCTTTCTTTGGATCCTTGCCCGCATCCGCAGCGGCTTTCGAACCTTCTGCTTCGGGGTTTTCTGGCGCGCTTTCCGATGGGCTTGAGCCATCTTCGAGATCGAGCAGGCGGCCTTCAATCTTCATGCGGAACGACGGAACAAGGTCTGTACTAAAGTCGAACGAAGTTTCATCGAGACTTGCAGTGCCCTGCCATGGCTGATTGAAAGCGGTATTCGAAATGAACAACCTGAAGACTCGGTGGTTCTGTTGGTAGGTTAGCACGTAATTCTAATGCAGCTTCAAATGCTCAAGTATGATTACCTTTGTGGATTTTGCGACAGAATCCTGCACATCCAATCTCTTCCGCATGATAGCGGCGTCTAGCCTGCGTTCCATGCCTCGAATATCATTGTAGGAAGTTGTCAGAGGGGCGATTTCTTCAATTGCCGAGGATATGGTCTTATCTGTCGGCTTTCGAGCTCGGCGCTTGGCTTGCTCTAGCTCGAGAGCTCGAGCTTGGGCGACCTGCTGCTGCATTTGTGCTTGCGACATTGGTTGATGGCCGGATTGTTGGTGGGTAACCATCGGTCCAGGACCTCTTCTGTTCTGTTGGACGTGTATGGCGCCTTGGGCTGGAACTCGAGTGGGAGTCTGAATCTGTTGATGGGGGTACTGAGGACCCATTCTCCCTGGATAATTTATAGGAGTCGCCATGGTATTCATGATTTTGCTTGGATGTGGTTCTGCTCAGCCCAGTGCCCGACTGCCTGACTACCTGTCTTCTCTTGTCCTCGGCAACCGGAAAAATTCAAGGTAGCTCAGAGGTCAGAAGATAGGAAAAAGAAAGTCACCCTTCTGGAATGTTTCTCTCGGTTATGTGTCGAAACTTCCTTCTGTTGTTCTGGAAGGTGTCCTAATTTAACTCTGACCAGAATCGATGAAGGGTAGACCGTGGAAACCCCAGAGAAGCTTGTGCGTAGTAGTGTATGCTATTTTTCCGAAGCAAGCATTAGCACGTACAAAAATCGATGGTCACTTAATATGAAGATCAATTATGGTTGGGGTACAAAGGTTAAGGCCGGGAATGGCGAATCAGGACTTACCTTAAAGAGGATGCTGTGTAATTAACCAGCAAAAAACTTCACAGTCATGAGATTCGGAGTGAATTCGGCTTGCAGGTCAAAAGGACTAGGCGTCTAATGCAGGTCTCGAAAATCAGGTGCAAGGAAGAGAGATTTAGAGATCAATGCGGCAATGATGATGACGACCCTAAGGGATTGTAAGATGCGGGTAAGAAGGGCGTTCTAGGATCGAGCTTGTCCTAAAACCAGTGCCGACGGTTGACGATAAAGGCGTGATTCAAGGAGGCAAGGTCCGGGTAGCTAGAGAGGAAAGCCGTGACAGGAAAGCCGAGGCGACTCAAAGAGCGATAGCGTTGATGATTATGTACGAGGGGATGGATGGAAGTGGAGTGAAGGTGGCGGATGATAGCGATGGGGGACAATTGAATGGCGATGCGTGCTGCTGTGTGCTGTGTGTAATGACATGAAGGGGCGTTTGATAACACACGAAAATATTATCGGGCAAGCGTGTTTGGTTGGTTCGCGCCAAAGCCGTTTCATTTCCAGGCCAGCTGTTTCTGCACAACTTAATCCCCGCCGCCATACTAACCAAGTTCACTTTATCCATCACCATCATCATCATCACCATCATCATAGGTACTTAATTATTACCATTCATCATGCACCATCACCATTATCGTCAGTCAGGTCACATATATACCCGCTTAACCAAGTAGGTATTAAGTAAGTACCTAAGTACTTAACTTAGATACATACATACATACATACATACATACATACTATATACCAACTTACTCATGCAAGCAAATCGTATACGGAAGGCAACTAAGTAAGAATGTCATATTTCCCCACTCTGACGGTCCGAAAGCTTAACCAATTTCAATCTCAGCTTTCATGCCCTTGCTTCGTTCTCATCGGATATCAGGCATATTCCCAGCAATACATTACGGCAAATGCAACTAGATATTATATGTTGAAATCTTCCAAAATTGAAGCCTCTCAATTGCAATTGCATCCATCCGCTCCTGATAATCCCGAATGATACCTACCAAATAAGGTACATATGTATACTACTTATTTACATACCCGCGTGTGTAAGTAAATACATGTAAGTACTCCGCATGTAAGTACATATAATCCATATATACAAGTCAGTTCGTTCCCGTCCAGATGGTCCGGTTTCAGGTTTCAGAATGTTTGCACCAGACAAGGGCAAAACCCGGCGCCGATTAGCTAGTTACTGTCAAGAGCCCAGGTTCCAGGTACCCTTATGGATACATATCCTCATGATAAATGATTGTTTTGAACATGGCTCACTCAGGCCTGACCTTGTCCATCTATATAGCTCGGGCTATTAAGATCATTCCTCGGTTCTTCTACCCTGTCGTGAATCAATAAATGCACAACGGGCATCACAAGCTCTCTCCTTCTTTCTCTCTTTCTTTCTTTTTTTTTTCCTACTACGGATCAATATTGCTACTCTTAGGCAGGAAACCCGTGGTTTAGACACTTCAATCCCGGTCCTTAGGTTTTGGTTGACATTACGGCTAAAGCCTGCATGGTCATTACAAAGTAGCTTACCAGGATTAATTGAGGAAGGAGATGTGGACCTGATACGCCATTAAGTGTCTGGAATTTATACTACGTATGGGCTTGCTCCTTCGCCGCGCATGGTTACATGGATCAGATATCATCTTTCTCACAAGCTGACTGAGATGTGAGGAAAGAACATATGGGAATGAATATGTCAGAGGTGAGAAATTTTCGTATGCGTTCACAAGGCCACGTGGATCAGCCCAAACATCATTTATCTCTCAGTCCCACGCCGCGCAATCGTTTCTGGTGCGAAGCCAGCCAGCTTTGCAGATTTTCTAAGTATTCAATTCTTGAGAAACAGGTATCAATTAATATGTACCCATCCTTTAACGCCTCCACTGTATATACGCCACAAGAAGATGTCGAACCACGGGTCCCACCCACGCTAATACAGAAAATAAAATAAAAGAGAACAAAAAAAAATCAATAAATTGTCCTCCACTTCCCATTATTGCTGTTCCTGCAGCGCCTTAATTAAAATTTCATCAAGTGAAGTAAGAGTCTTTTTCAACAATACAACCGCACCCTCGGTTAATTTGGGGATGCCGTCGATTTCTGTTGATGTCAGAGCGGAGATTTCTGCGGCGGAGCCCGGATGAGCAGACCGTGCGCTCTCACAACCGGCGACAATATCTTTGCCCTTCCGCACAATCTCACCTAGAAGGGTCATCCCTCCATCGGATTTTGGATCGTACAGCCAAGTAAGGATATCCTCTAAACCGAGCACAGGTTTCTCGAGAACGCGTTTCACAAAACCTCGCGATAGAATGTAGGCTCTTTCGGAGTAGAGATTGGCGTTGACTGTAGCCTCCTCTGCGCCCAGGTAGACATTAAAACCTGCTTCATCTATTTGATCCATTGATTAGCGCCTTGTCTCCCAGGTATGATAAGGTCAAAACGAAGCGTGAAATTCAAGTTTCTCCATATTATATCAGACGAAAGAAAATAAAGGTAGCAGTGTTTTTTCCTCAGCGAGATTGACGTCTCCAAGGAAGTGGACAAGAAATGCCACAACCAGATAAGCCAAAATACTCGAGCCAAATGCACTCTTGTCATCATAGAAGAATATACGATAGTGAAATATGATATAAATTAAAGGGTAATGGGTACTTACTGTAGTATGGCTCTTTGACAAGCACCAGCCCCATCAAGCTCACCAAAACTTGTAGAATACTCGACCCTGAGCTGGACCAATTCTCGGACCTTTTTTCACCATGCCATGTACCTAGCAACGACAAGCATATCTTGCCGTCCTCATAGAGGTTGGGATTGACCCTCCCGATTCCGTTCGTCCATGAATGAAAATATCCGGTGGGAGGCGTGGACGGAAAAGTTGGGCCTAGGTGGAAATCGAAAACGAAGGGAGCGAGCTCGTATGGTGTATTCCTAGGTCCGACGATCAGCACGCGGAGCAGATCGAGCCGTGATTCCCAGGTCCGGACAAATATACCCTCAGGAAGGGTTGTTTGCAATATTTTGTGCTCCTTGTTTATGCGCCTTAGGAAGGCCAATGACTGCTCTAAAGCCGGCTGGGCTACGAAGGCATGGTCTGAAGGAATTGCAGCCTCCAGGATACTGAATCGAGGCGGAGATGCGGAAGCAGCCTTGTTCAAAGACGTGTTTTTGATGGTGGCGCTAATAGTTGATCCTTCTGCTTGCGGGTTGGGGGTATCCGTTGGAGAGTTCAGATCCGCACCATCAACAAGATGGTCAACCTCCATTTCCTCAATATCACTAGCGTTCTCTTCATCGGTGAGCCAATCGGCTTCGTTCCCTGCTTCCATAGGCTCTCCTCCTTCATAGAAGATTTGCTCGGAGATCCAGTCATCCGCCCCCATACTCGTATCGCTTCCGCTATTCTCGCTATCACTGGATCCCATGTTAACAGAATCATCGGTGCCGTCTTCATCCTCATCGTCGAAGTCTTCGCCATCAAAAACAACGGTCAAACGTTCTATGGGAACTCTGATGGTTCTTATATCATCTAAAGCTCCAAGCCGAACGGTTACCAAGCCATCAAGACCTTTGTCAACCACTTCGCCGAACCAGTCAAGAGCTGTATTGGTGACAGGGGCGGCGGGGGGAGGTGGCTGTTGTCCAATATCGCTTCTTAGACCGAGAGGGAATTGGTGCAACATCCGAGAAAGTGTGTGCAGCTGCGGATTCGTGGTGTTTATAAGGGAAGCCGACAGATTTGCGATGAGCCCAGTATCGACAATACCACGAAGGGCCTCGCTGATAGCACTAATGTTGGATTGTTGGCCAGTTTGGGACGTGCGAGCTGCGGCGGTTGCGTCGGCTGAAGACGTAGACTGGCTCGATGACGAAGCATTGGACGGGCCAACAGTTGGATCCTCTACCACTTGCTCTGGGGCGACCAGGACGAAATCGCCCCGGCATATGGATAACGCCGGATGTGCAGCAACTTCATACATGCTAACCTCCTCTGTCGTCGCCTCTTCTAATTGTCCGGTACTCGACCCGGGGATGATCATCTCCCCGGCTAGTTCAACTTTAGGGGACCTGAACCAACGAACCCGAGCGATACGTCTTGCTGCATCAACCGACTGTATAACGCCAAGCCTTTCTGGAGAGACGAACACCAATGGCGGATCTACTTCGTCCACGCCTAGGTGGTTGTTGTTGCTGTTGTTGTTGCTGGGAACGCTAATAAGTTGCTCTTGGGTACTTGGAGGAGCAGTCAAAGTCTGTGGCGCGCTCCCCGTCTCGGGTTTCGTGATCACAAAATCTCCAGGCCAGAGTTCGTGCTCATCACTGCTATCACAGCGGATGAGATCTACGGATCTTTCTCGTGTGATGGTGAGATCTTGCCATTGGATTGTAGCCCAAGAGGACCTAGCGATAACCATGAACTCATTCACATCATAACCCAGCGTTGCAGAACGTGGAACCCTTTCAACCATTCCATAGCCGTTTGAATTGGAGCTATTGTATTTTTCAATGGCAGCGTCCAAGTCTTTGAATCTGACACGGTCGTATCTTTCGAGGTTTATAGTCTTCAAATCGGCTCCCCCGTCCGATTGACGATTAAATTTCTTCAACTGGAACCAGGCTTCCTCCCCATCTGATACCCATGGCTCAGGAGGCTCAATGGGCACAAATCGGGTTCGAACCATCATGTTCTGGCAGATCCATTCGATGCAAAGGGATATCGTTCGGACCTCAACAACCTTGCCAACAGGCTCGATATTTGGGTCATACGCCCCAAACCGCCACTTTCCCCTGCGAAGGTTGCCCTTACTAGTTTCCACAATCTGCCCAATCTCAAAATCAAAGGGCTCATCCTGATCGGGTTCCCGGGGAAGAAAACGGTCGAGAAGCGCATATACATCCGCCCCAAGGCCGCCCATAAGTGTCATATTAGCGGCAGGAGGGGTTCCTGTCCCAGTCTCTGCTGAAACTGGATTAGGAAACCCATGGGGTTTCGTTCTCTTGAGTTTGAGCTGGCCAGGAACTTCAACGGCAACAACACTGTTATTACTAAGGCAAATGGTGACTGTTTCGATGAGCTCCACAACCTCCCCAAGCCAGCAATTTTTCCAAATAAGGTAGTCTCCAATCTCCCACTCGCGAGAAAAGACGATGTCTTCCGATGCAACATCCTTAACGATCCTTTTGGGATCACATGGAGTTTCATCGTTTTCAACAGTAGTAAAACTGTGTGCAACATCGTAGGTGCCTCCTAAGTCGAGGACCGTGCCACTTTGGAGGTCCTTTGGGGATTTCTTGACAATCGCGCCGTATGACAGTGGCCGGTCGACCAAATGCAGCGCTGATTCGTGCGCAATCAAGTTTGTATAAGCTGACGCAGCGAGAATGACATGGTGGCGTGTTAGCTAATTGAAAATATCCTATTAGCAGTGCGTCGAACAGTGTAGACCAGCGAATATTCATTACCTCATTGTCTTTAAGATATTTGTTCAACACTTGAGGCGTAGCGCTGGGGTGGCAGTGAAGGTCGGCATCATCAAGCTGAGAACTGTCTACGCCAATCTTGAGCAATATGATGTATCAAGTCAGCTTTCACAATCACGGTACGTATTGTGTGTGCGCCTCACCTGAATCAAGTGGTGAGACTACGGGTAAATACCTCATGCCATGTTTTCTACTTGCCAATCCATGAATCAGCCCAATCCTTTACCGACTACTTGAAGGCTACAAGCCATTACAGGTTGTCAAAAAGAGGTAAAAAAGGGTGCCGCTAATAGCATGGTCGGCTTACTAGTACACGATAAGTATACAAAGTATCATTACTCTCACGGACGACATCGCCTTGACAAAGCTGTAGGAGAGAATTGCGTTAGAAAGCTGCGCTTTTGGTCGTGCATATTTATCAAGAGGCCTTCGGATTTATGCTTACAGTAGTCCATGTCTGTGGATCTTGTGGCGCCGTTGATCCGGACATGAGGAGCAGCAGGCCCAGCCCCTCTTCGGGACTTTAATATTCTCCCGTAGACCCTGCGACAGGGAAAATTGTAGTCAGGCGGTATTGACTCGAAGCCAGGTGCAAGGAAGCTGCTTAGTTTCACGCTGTGAAGTGGTATATGAAGGGAAGAAGAATGAATGTAGATGTTGGTGAATAGTGGGAGATTCATAAAGGAAAAAAAAATTACGAGCTTGATATAGTCGCATTTATCACGTGATCGGTGGGGCATCACTCAAGAACAACACCACACAACATCAGCCTTGGCCATTTTTTTTTGCTGGTGAACCTTCAAACACGACGCTGTCAAAACAAAGTTAGATTAGGGCTTGATCATGACCGGGATATTTGTAAACATCAGGCCGCCTTTTATCGGCTTGGCGCGATCAAATTAATCGTGAATGCAAATGCAAATGCCGCCTGCAAATATATAATATATTCAGTATATAATATTTTATTATTATGTACTTTTGTTGTTGTATGCTGAGTGCTACGTACGCATACTACGTTACGTATGTGATGGTTTCGATTCTGGCGCGATCGCGATCGCGTGTCCGCCATGACTAGCTCAACTAAGGCTAACAATACAAAGCCAGACAAAGCCGGCCGTAAGTCAGTCGACAAATCACATCTTACGTACGTATACTTCACGATCGTATTATAATCATAGCTACTAGTACTGGTACCCGGTATAGTAGCACCAATCATAAGCCCCAACGCAGCTTGAAACCAAACAGGCATATGTATAAGTACTTCGTACTAGGTCTGGTTTGATGTCAACATGAGGTAGTCTCGAAACTCGATTCAAATTGATATGGGAAATATCATTAGATCATTAGATCCAAAAATGTAGATCGCCCGTTCCTTGTGAACCTCTCTTACGTAGCCAATCCGGAACCAGACCGAATATTTAAAGTTATAATGACGGTGGTAGCTTAGAGAAATATACATCAACATGACATCGATTTGACGTTCACTTTACAGGGCCTTCGAAATCGAGTGTAAAATTAGTATATATAAGTCCAATTTCGATTCAACTACACTATATCTTCATTACCATTACAGAATATTATACACCTCGTCCATATACAGAAAGTTCAATTCATCCAGTCAATCAAATTTACAAAAGCCTTTCATTTAAGAAACATTTGTGCTCTAAATCGAGATATTGTTCCAATGTCTTACCAAACACCTGAACAGACCCCATCAGCTCGCTTCGGGGGCGGAGATAATCCCAGTATTCCCAAGAAAGCTGCTGAAATCACCGGCGTAGGTTATTATTACCTTTATTCCCGAGAATTTCAAACCTAGTGGTGCCGTGGTATAGCCATCTAACATGAAGTTTTAACTGTAGGATACGAATCGTGACATCACTCAAAGCTACAGGGATCCAGATATCACTCAAAAAAAGAAGGAACCACTCTTATCTTCAGAGGGTGGCATCGGCAAACAATTCAACCCTGAGGGTAATATCGGGCAAATCGGAAACAAAATTGGCGGGCCTTTCAGCGAAGATGGGATGATTGGAAGTCAATTCGATGCAAGCAAGGAAGGCATCGCGGGCAAAGTTGAAAGGGCCGTTGGAGGGCCCCGAAAGGATACCTAAAGGATAACTAAATCAGGTATCTAATTACATACTTACTTACTTAAGTAAGTACTTAGCTATAGCTGTAGGTAGAGATGTATGTAGTTACAGAACGGTTCCCCAGAAACTTTAGGTTTATAAATTTATAAGGATTTAAAGACGCCTCGTTTACAAATAAAATACCTTGACCAGTATCACTTTAAACCACTAATTGAGAAGATATAAACCACCGGTTACGAGCATACGTACGTAATCTTAATTGGCTTAATTAAGATACGTATACGAATTCGAGTTTCTGGTATGCATACGGTACCGGTTCGTACATGATATCGATATTAATGTTGGATTATTATATCAGTCCTGCGTTGTTTTGGGGTTCTGGCTGCCTGGACCACCAATTGCCTTTCGACCTTCGTAATTCATATATTTGATTGAAGTACCAAGTAGGTAGTATAGTGATATATTTGATATACATGATTAAGGGGACTAAATCTAGTCAGTTCTAGACGTTGCATTTTCTGTGCGGTCAATGTATCTGCCAGAACTAAATAATGGGGTGCTGAAACTAACTAGACATTAAAGCGCTATGGGTAATACTAGTCTAGTTGTTAGGCGGGTGTAGTCTCATAGAGATGATATATGTACAAAACACCTGGTAGTTGGGTTACCTAGGTTGGGACATAGAAGCCTGTCTTCGCTACTGAAAAAGCTTCTTTGAAGTCGATGGAACTCACTTGTATACTCTTGTAAAGTGAACAAGTCTAAAACCAATCAATACAAAGGGGAGTACGCGACATAAGACAAAAGGAAGTATAAGGAACGTAATCAATATTATATCACCTCTGGGACTAAATGGGGGGTTAGAAGATGAGGGGTTGTGGCTGGGAAGAAGGGGAGAAGGAGAAAAGAAGAAGTATATGTGCAAAATCTTCCAAAGCGGAGCAAACCAAAAACCCGTCGTTAAAGAAAAATAAAAGGAAACCAGCAAATGTTCCGAGAAATCGCTAACATACGACAGATCGTTGGAGGGTAGGAAAATATGGAAACAAAGGGAAACGCTTCTGTACATTAATACAAATCGTGCATTATACTGAGCATGATAAAGAAACAAAAAAGAGGGGAAAGGGTAGCCGTTGGACTGGACTCAACGAGATAATATGTTTATCGGAGAGCTTGGCCGTATCTTTCAGTCTATAATCTTGGTTCGATATCGTAGCGAGCGAGGGGAGGACATGCTTTTCTATCATGAGAAGCGATCAAACTAAAAGACGGCGGCGAGCCCATTCTTACTATTTCTCTTACTGAATCTTTTCGAAGGCCTTTTTTCCTCGTCGGAGAGTTTAGTATGTCGGGAACTACTACTCTTGTCCAAAGTCAAGGTGCCGTTCAAAGTATTCGCTGGGCTGTTCCCACGAGAGTGGCTTTGATCATCGTTGCTGGCCTGTGCGGAAGCTAGATCCCTGGAGTTTTCGATTGCAACGAGCCACTCACTCGCAGGATCTTTAGGATCCTCAAAAGTAAAGCACTTGTCTTTCTGTAGTAAAAAATTAATAAAGCTAGTCAAAATTTAGCTTGGTAAGCCTAAAAAAAACTTACCGTGTCGACCACAAAGGCCGATCCAGGCTTTTGACCCGTCGACGGAGGTGCAATCCTAGTCACAACCCCTAAGCCAAGCAAGTCTATTTCTGTCTTAACTTTACTTGCATCACTCCCCGCAGCTCCAATTCCTGCAATTATAACTCTCCCACCTGTTGTCACAATGACGAGTCTCTGTCGTTTTTTAACCTGGTTACCGTGGAAAAACCTTGAGAACTTCTTTGGGGTCTGCTCCGCAAAGGCGCCGGCGGATCCGTGGGTACCGAAAGATTGTGGAGCGGGGGCGGATGTTACTGTCATGTTTCCAACTTTTAGGATCCTCTCATTTGTTTTTGTCAAAACGGGAGACCATTGAAGGTCCAACTGAGTTGGAGGAGGTAGTTCTGTAATCACCTTGGGGGGAACAGGTCGTGAAGATGCCGATGATTGAGATTGATTAGTGCTGGGGTTTCCTGAGGACCGAGCGAAGGAGGATGTTGATTGCGCCGAGTCCAGCTTTATGAGTTTGGGCTGTTCCGTCGGTGGGGTGTATGACTTCAAACGTGGGGCCTTCTGCTTCCACAGTTGTTTCCCCCAAACGATTCCTTCAAAGAAAGGGTGCGATTTGATATTTTCGATCGTTAGGCGCTTTGTGGGGTCTAAGACGAGAAGCCGTTCGACGAGGTCACGGGCTACCCCTGGAAATCCTGGAGGGAATTGATACTCGAGGTTAACAATTTTTTGGAAAGTTTGGTACTCGTTGCCAGCCTTAAAAGGAGGTCGTCCGGCAAGAAGTTGGAAGACTATGCAGCCGAAAGCCCACAGGTCGGATCCTTTGCAGGCTGACTTGTCCGTCAGCAACTCTGGCGATACGTACTCCGCCGTACCAACAAACGAGTTCGCCCTTTCATGGTCGGGTATTCCGATATTATTAGCAAAGTCCTGTTCCTGACGGTCAAGCTGGGTTTTTCCGTCAGTGTTGCTCGTTCGGTTTTGGGAAGGGAGATCTAGAATTTTAGCAGTTCCGAAGTCTGTTATTTTTACGTGCATCTTGTCGTCCAAGAGTACGTTCTCAGGCTTCAGGTCCCTATGGATAACACCCTTGGAGTGCATGTACTCGATTGCATCCAGGATTTGAGCTCCATAAAATCGAGTACACTCTTCGTCAAATGAGCCAAGCTAGAATGTTCTCTAAGCGTTAGTATATATGTTTTTGTTTTTTTTAAAAAAAAAAAAGAGGGAGGAGGGGGGGAAAGGCAAACAGTTTCCCATGAGTTATTACCTTTTTAACAAATCCAAGCAGTTCACCCCCAGTAGCAAGGTCAAGGACAAAGTACAGGCTTCGTTCATCTTGGAATGTATAATACAACCTTACGATTCCCGGGTGGTCTCCAAGCCTGTTCAAGGTATTCTTCTCGATGTTGACATATTTAACCTTTTTCTCTTTGATGATGTGCCTCTTGTCGAGGACTTTTATGGCGTACTCGGTCAATGTTTGACGGTCTGTGGCTGCAAGAACAGTGCTGTAACTGCCCTCGCCAAGTGTCCTCCCAAAATTGAAATCCTGAACGCCTTTTTTTACAATACGGTGGGTTTGGTTGCCGTTACTATCGACATGCCGTTGGATACTAACAGCGGCGCCCCTATCTTTCCATTCCTCGCTGCTCATTGGGGGGGCATTTTCAACATATGCTGATTGGCTCTGCCTGTGGGACCGACTACTCCCGATGTGGGGTGAAACCCCACCCGCTGTGGAATTTCGAACGGACCGTTCGCGATACAGCCCGTCGCCGGTACCGCCGACGACCGAATTGCGCATACTCGGCTGTCCAGGGATTATGGCAGATTCACCGCGGGCCTGACGTTGGGCGGTGTAATCCGAATAACCCCGGTGCATTTCGGACGGCCGTTGTTGGCTCTCCCCCCTACCATATGCCGAGCCTGAGAAAGCGGAATGTGACTCGGGATCTCGGTAAGAGAGGTGCGAAGGACCGTCCCCGGTCGCATCGCCTATGGCATCAAGTCGGGTGGAGGATACGGCCGGCTCCATATCCTGTGTCTGATCCCGCTCGGTGCCCCTTACTTGCTGTGGCGCCTGAACAGGTGTGTCTGGAGGGGTAAAGTCGGGGTTGTTCGCAATACGCAGCCCGCCAAGAGCCTGTCCCAAGTTGATATCTTCCATTTGATCAGTCTATCAAGCTTCACCAGACTCTGTTTCACAAAAACCCCACAGTCGAAGAGGCGGTGATTGGCTAGTCGTGTGTTTTGATGTCGGATAGGGTGTCAAGGGTAATGTTGCCGATACCGTGTGGTTTGAGATGCGAGTTGAATCGCCCAATCGGCCTAGTTTGGGAGGAGAAGTTAGAACAAATACTTGAATACGTATGTAAGTAGATACTCAAGCACATATGTACTTAAGTACTTAGGTATAAAGTAGTAAATATCTTGGTAAGCGACAGAGCAGGCGGGAGGGTGCATGTTGAACCCGACGGACATACATCTAATTTGCTAGGGTTGTATTGGAGCAGTGAGTCCTCGGTACTGACTACTAAGGGATACAGCTGCAGGTTGGACGAAAGGATAGGAATCGATGGTAGGTATTGTAGTTGCCGTCAATGATTCTTCCATAAGAGAGCTACCGAGCAGGACAGCAGTTATGGTTTTTCCCTTATTTTATTTTATTTTCCTTTTTTTCTTTTCTTTTATCTCTTTCTCTTTCTCCCTCCCTCTCTCTTTCTCTCTCTCTCTTTTTTTTTGGATGGGATCTCCTATTAGGTATATTATAAACACCTCCTAAATTCCGGGCTTGTTTCAAGGGCGTCGAAGGGTAGGCAGGAATTCGACGTCCCCGACGGTTGTGGGACAGGACCGAGTTCAGGACAGTGCAGGTGCAGGACAGTGCAGGACAGTGCAGTGCAGCACGGTAATGCCAATGCTATTCTGTACGTCGGAGAAGACGAAGAAGAAGGCGACGGCGGCGACGATGACAAAGAAGAAGAGGAAGAAGCTGCTTTAGGATGTCTATAATATGTGTTAACGGGCAAAAAACGGGCGACAGCAGCAGAAGCAGCAGCAGGTGGCGGAGTGGGACGCAGTTCGAGGAGGTTGATGGGATTGATGGGATGGACGGATGAGAAAGAGGAGGACTTGCACTTGTTTGACGATGTTTGAGCAGGTGCTTCTGGCAGCGGCCAGGGATCAGATCTGTCGCGTTTTTCTTTAATTTTAATTTTTTTTATATCATGTCGGTTTAATTTGCTGGGCGAGAAAGAATCAAAGAGAAAAGGAAATGAATTCAAATGAAATGAAAAGATCAATTTTATTTTATATATTTGAGTATTATTTTAACTTTTGTTATGAATGAAGCTGGTGATAGAAAGGGAGGGACAGGAGGAGAGAGAGAGAGAGAGAGAGAGAGACAGAGAGAGAAAGAAAGAGAGAGACAGAGACAGAGAGAGACAGAGAGACAGAGAGACAGAGACAGAGACAGGAGAGCTGTCAAATGAGGCTGATCTGATCTGATCTGATCTGGTCAAGAAACCCACTCGGTCTTTTGCTCTATCTTCTTACTTATCTATCTATCTACTTAATATCTATCAATATTATGTGTATACTTGATATAATAGCTACTACTTAAGGGTAAGTACTGGTTAAATTAGATTGTTCTCTAAAACTTACTTAGTATGGCAGGTAGTAGTTTATATTAGTATCCAATTCAAGCTTCAACAAATACTACCTATGAAACATTGAATAGTATATACGCTACACTGCACTGTAAATTAAATGCATGACGCTATAAATACATGACGACGACGACGACGACGACGACGACAACGACAACGACAACGACGGACCTTGGATAGCCTCAATTGCAACCTTCCTCTGTCTCTCTCCTTCTCATACTCTTATAATAGAATATACCTAGAAAGCTACTTACTTACTTAGTACTATATTTAGTACTACGGGTTATGTTATGTTATAATTATAATTATACCTGTACCGTACAGATCTCGTCTATCTAATCAATCAGAATCGAATCCACCCGGCTCGGCAATACTTACCAGCACCACCTGCAGCTGTCGCGTTCACTTTTCACCTACCAAACACCATATTATAATTGCTATTTCCTTACTTACTATAGCTACTACTTACTCACTTACTACTTAAGTACTTCTTATATACCCCCCACAGACAGAGGAGATATCATATCGATAATAGGTACTTACTTAAGTAGATACCTACTTACTTAGGACTACTAGGCCGGTCCCTACATTATCTATCGGGTCTGGACCCCCCCCCCCTCGAGCTCGAACTCGATCGATCTTATCGATTATCGTCGCATATTGCGTCAGCTGTACCACAAGACAGACAGTTCTTCACTTCACTTCACTTCACTTCATACATCCTTCAGGATTCCCCATCGATGCCACTTTACCTTCAATAATGTACTGTCGACTCCGGTGGCTTTCCCCAACCACAAACTAATCATCAATATATCCATTGCATCGTTCAACCTCAGATGCGGGTTCTTCCAGGACGAGTCAAGTCGGATCCCCGATCGCTGGCAGCCGCTGAGTGGGAAGGAGACCACTACATCGTACGTTAAATTAGCATCCGAGATTCTTCCAATAACGACGATGCTACCATCTGTATATCAGTAACTCACCATCTTCTGTCATCCTTGTCGTTATCGTCATTGTTCTTAAATCTAGGCCTATGTCTCAGGGAAAGCTTTGGTTATATCCAGCAACACTCGAGACCTCATCCAAACTTTATATCATGACGAACATCTCCAAGTTTTAGCATTCGACGAGGGCACTGGCAAGGTACCTACCTACTTCATTCATTCTGTTTTCCACTCTTCCTCCTTATTTCTTCTTCCCTATGATCTCTAAACCCCCACAATTTTATTAGATCGCCGTCGCCTTGCCCAGTTGTATCCACGTTTACTCTCCCTCCACCACTTTCAGTAAAACAGCAAAAGTATGTGCGCCTATTCAACCCTATACTTCTCCTGGGAAGGACTGGCTGAGTTGAGGAATTTTTATTCCAGTAGTGGGAGTCTTACGTCCGAATTACCCTTGAAAATCACGACGGCACCGTACATTCGTTATCATGGGGCGCGAACTCGGAGCTATTGGTCGCCGCTGCCGGCCTTCATCTATGGGATGTAAGGACCACCGATGCCCGAGAAATATGGCACAAGGAGCTGGCAAACCCGGTAGATCTGGCATCATTCTCATACGATGCTACTTTCATCGCCTCAACCAGCACATGGAACCGCTTCGTCAAATTGTGGAGAAGGCAGGCGTATGCTCTCGGAGAAGCCGAATTCGATTTCTCCTACCTTCCTCACCCTCACGTCGTCACATCGCTAGTCTGGAAGAAGCCCTTCCATCGAGAAATTGCTGCCGAAAATATTCTCTATACCTTTGCTGCCGATGGGGTTTTCCGAGTCTGGTCGCCTCTTGATCCTCACGAAGTCTATCCGTTTCAACTGTGCACCCTCCTCGACCTTGGAAGCCCCACATATCAACCCGCTTTGGCCCAGCCTCCCCAAGCAGCCCATGGATTCGAACTAGACGCTGTAATCTCCCTCATAGATACGAAGGTCTTTACAGTCGCGACTGAGCAAGCAGTCCTTCATATCGAACAAGATGCAGAATCTAAACAACAACTGCAAAATCTAGTCGACATTGCGAAGAGAAGCTCTGAAGTGCTCCTGATGTTCCATAGTTCCGGTTATCTATCGGCATGGGGCATAGAAAACAGCGGAAGCAAGTCCAAGCGGTCTGTTAATGTTTTCAGTATTGTCCATCAGGTTGAGCTTGATTGGAAATTTGCAACAGATTGTGGTGGGCCGAGAAGTATTTTGACCCTCGCTAGTCAAAAAGCTGCTGCTGGTACGTCAAAATTCACGATTAAGGTTGCTGGGACATATTGGTTGACAAAAAAAAAAAAAAAAAGGCTTAGAGTTGGCTGTTCAGTTTTCCAATGGCGAAATCGGTTGGTTCGACGTTAGCATCGAAGATCTACTTGACCCGACATCCAGCATCTGCCAGCTTAAAGACAGAATAAGTTGGTCTGGGCATTTGGAACCCATTAACCATTTAAAGCGTACGGCAAGAGGTAATTCTTTGCTTTCCTCGTCAAAGGAATGGGAACATGTTCTCTGGCGGCGAACTCTCCAGGACGATATGCCATATCTGGAGAGGCAATCTCTGATCAATATATCTGGGGAAGGAAGAGTTCTCAAAACTCTGATACTACCAAATGGTATGACCCAACCACCCCCTTTAAATATATGCCCTGCCTACACCGTCTTGTTAATAATCTCGATCTGTAGGGTGGTACGTTGTAACTCTTCATCCGGACTCGGTTTGTCTGTGGGATTGCCGGAATGCATCTGCTGTGGAATTATCTAGGTGTCCCATCGAACTCTCAGCAAAACCTTTCTCCTTAATCCTCCTCCCAGAATATGAAACTTTGGAAACTGTCTATCATGTGTTTGTGATCGACAAGTCTCTTCACGGTACGGTTTTTGCAGTAAAGATTCCTCGGCTCCGTCGAAGGAGCAGTATATCGTCAGTCAGATCTCGGCCGGAGCACTCCTATGGCACCATCACAGAACACTCTACTTTCAATTTACCCGCGGATGATGACATAGCTATGTTGGTCCCGGTAGATCCAGTGGGATGGAACTTCACAGTGTCCGATAACCTTGATTCGTTCAACCGTGATGTTGCTGTATCTATAACATCAAAAGGCCTAGTACAATCATGGACAGCGAGAATGAACCCTAACTCGAAAGAGGTCCAATGGTTGCAAACATCTTCACTGGAAACACTTCTTACCGAGCCATCACTTATTGGGGGCAGTAGCATGCATAAAGTTGCAGTTATTGATAATCAAAAAACCTTGCTTACCATCTGGGATACCAGAAACGCTCAACTGGAGCACAAATTCGGGTTTGATGAAGGAGAATACGTTCGAGACCTCGATTGGACTTGTACACCTGACTCCCAAAGTATCCTTGCTGTGGGCTTCGCCCACAAAGTTATTCTTTTTTCACAACTTCGGTATGACTACCTGAACGCGGGCCCCGCCTGGGCTCCATTCCGTGAATTTAACACTATTAGGTATGCCCATTAAATCATATATTCATTGAATATTGCATAATTTTAACTAATCTTCCCCAGCGTGACTCCACATCACATTGGGGATTCTATCTGGCTCTCTGATGGCGCTTTAGTCATCGGTTGTGGGAATCAGTTGTTCATTCACCCGAAGAATATTAGACCTGAAGACGCCGATGATCCGTCCGTTCAGAGTCTTTGGACTCCAGCTGGACACGATTCGCGGATGGAAACAATATTCGACTTAGTTTCCCGATTGAATGGTCCCCTTCCACCTTACCATCCTCAGTTCCTGCAACAGTGCGTTCTCGCTGGGAAGATGAAATTAGCCAAGCAAATTGTCGTAGAACTCGCATATAACACTAAAGACAAGGACATGGCGCAAGAAATCGAAAGTACTTTAGGCATTTCTCCCGAAGATTTTCACAATATTGACGAGGTAATGCTTTCAAAATGATATATCTTCTAGCGCTTACTAATGCTTCGATAGAATGATCTCAACGACGACGGCCCGAGGCTCGTGAACGGATTCTCTCGGCCTGATTTTGACCAAATTCTTTGTTCGGAACTTGTTTCCCAGCTCAAGGAAGTCTCGATACCTTACCTTTCCAGGAAAGAACAAATGTCACTGGCCGGAATTGTCGAGTCCATGTCCGAGGAATGGCTCCATAGGCAGTCCTTAGATGAGTGGGGAGTAAGATACTTGCTCTTCTTCAAGCACTATGCCCTTCAAAAATCCAATTTCTATTCCCGTCCGTCCGGTGTCTCCTTTAGGGAAATCTCCTGGGCCTTCCAAAGTGAGACCCAGGAAATACTGGTGGATTTGGTTACAAAAACATACCAGAACAAAATGCAATGGAGCCAGGCACGGGATGCAGGATTCTTTATGTGGCTGAAAGACCCTACTTCCCTAAAAGTACACTTTGAGACCCTGGCGAGAAACCAGTACATGAGTAAGGAAGAACGGGACCCTGTGGATTGTTCTCTATATTATCTCGCCCTTCGCAAGAAGACAGTTCTCGTCGGATTGTGGAGGATAGCCCATTGGAACAAGGAACAAGGTGCAACTATGAAACTTTTGAGCAACAACTTTGAGGACCCCAAATGGAAAACGATTGCAGCGAAGAATGCTTATGCATTGCTTGGGAAACAACGGTTCGAATACGCAGCCGCGTTCTTCCTTTTAGCGGATCGGCCAAAGGATGCTGTCAACGTCTGTTTCACACAAATGAACGACGTTCAACTCGCCATTGCAATTGCGAGGGTTTATGATGGGGATGAAGGACCAGTCCTGAGGGAATTGCTTGAGGAAAAAGTCCTTCCGCTTGCTGCTAGAGATGGTAATAAATGGCTCGCATCGTGGGCTTTTTGGTTGCTAGATCACAAGGACCTTGCAGTCCGTTCGCTCATGATGCCAATAAATTCCCTGATCACGAAGACAGAATCACCCGGTGTAGGAAAGATCTTCTTAGCTGATGATCCCGCTCTCGTGATACTTTACAAATTGATCCGCGATAAGACGTTGAAGAGCTTGAGGGGTGCTGAGAAGATACCGAAAGGCGCAGAATTCGAATTTGTCCTTCATTGTGCAAGGCTCTACGATCGAATGGGCTGTGACGTCCTCGCCTTGGACCTGGGTATGATTTCTTTCCTCCCTCCTCCCTCACTTTTGTAGTTGGACTAACAACCCCCGTAGTGAAAAACTGGACGTTCTTGGACACTAGTCTCAAGACTAGTGGCCTCCTCGACGTGAGAATGAAATTGAGCAAGAGGAGGAGCTCATACATCGTAAACGATATGGTACACGACTTTAAAATCGAGGATCATCTACCAAAGCAACCCGAGAAAAGCAACCTTGTCAAGCCACCCGCAGTCGCATTTTCTGAGCCTACTATGGACAGTTTTAGCCATTTCGATTTTTAAGCAGCACTTTGGCATAGTTTGAGAATTCCTGGTCAAAATACTTTTTAGGCCACCGGCTTCATCTGTAAATTCTTACTCTTTCGATCTTCATATCAATATCGTTCCTAGTTTTCCTGCTCGAAAATCACCCCATGTCTTGGATTCGGGATTACAAAAGTATGGTGTAAATTGTTCATTCTCCAAAGAAACCGTAGTATTGCTCTATACAGCAAGTCCGCCTCGCCCATCCGGCGCCCACATCTCTAGGACCATAGCCTACGTGACCGCTTATGTTACCGGGTGCCTAGTTCGAATTCCGAAGCTTGGTTTATAATTTACGCTCTTGCTGATAGAGCTGTGCAGTTTATTTTGTTAGGTACTCAGTAGGGATACTTTAGATGGCTTTCTCCGCCCTCCGATATTAACCCCAAATCAATTTGCTTCTCGTTTTCTTGGTCAAGAAAATTCAGCAAGATAGACTTATACTTTTCACTCCCTTTATATTTTGCTACATCATCACCCCATGACCTGATAGCAGAAGCCAACCGACCCGGCACGTACGGTTCTTTGGCGACTTCTGTGACTGGATGGAAGTATGTTCGGATAGTGAAAACTACACCGCCACTTCGTGGAAGTCTATCCCGGAACCAAGTTAACGTTAGGAACATGATGCATTTTCAAATGGTTGGAATGTATCGAGACATACCGTCGGAGAGTCTGTCTTTCAGATCTAAACCAATGGTTTTCAACTACTTTGTCCTTCTCTGCAGTAAACCATCCCACGTGGGGAGAATCTTCAGGCCCTATACTGTGGGACCAGGCTAACCCGTCGTCCACTTGCATAAAATACTGCGGAAACTGTAAATTCTTGAAATCCCTGATAGACAGATTTAAACTTACGTTGTGCCTGATCACCATGTCATCTGGCATAACTCTCTTAAAAAAATTGACCATTCCCCTTTCCAACTTCTCACGAAACTGCGGTACATCGCCACTGGTGTCTGCTCATATACGTGTAATTAGCTTTCACAGTTTTGATTCCGAAGACTTGAAAGCCATGTGGTATAAAGTATAAAACTTAAGAGTGACCTACGAATATCCGAAAGGTTCATGTTGAACTTCTCCTCAAGTTTCCAAAAACCAGGTAGAATTATACTCCCCGATTTCAGATAAGACAGTCCGTCGGAACCTTCAACCATAATAGCAATATCGTCTTGGATCAGTCTCCCAATTGTTCTCATCGGTTCCTCGAGTAATGGACGCTGTGTGATATTAAACGATTCATTGGTGATAATGTTATCGACTCCCACACCGGTTTTCGTAAACATCGACGGATAACGTTTCGGTAAATAATCGCATCTACAAGTATAATTAGCAGGGCACTTTTCTAATATATTGAATTTTCCAAAAAAAAAAAAAAAAGAAGGAAAGAAAATTTGAATATACAGCAACTCTAGTAATTCGATAGCAGCATCTAGGGCCTCTGGCGCTGTTTTGCAGAGGCTGTCTCCACGGGACTCTATTCTTTCTTTCTTAATGGCATGAAATTTAAGATACTCGTTATCTAATTCTATCCAATCGTCGAGATTGCCTTTTCGGAGGCCCTATACGGGAAGAGAGGCTTTAGTACAGTATTATCGAATTTGGTTGAATTCAAACTGACCATAGTGACAAAATATGTCGGACCGTATTTGAACGGACGATCTATTAAAAAGAAAAAGATAAAAAAATTCACAATGTAAGCCAGTTCCAGTTCCAGTTCCAACTTGGAGGCTTGATATATAGCCTCCAACATTGATGTACGTGTACTAGACTTCACATACAGGGCAATGGCTTTGTAGTCTTCACATCCCAGTCAGGGTACGGCGGCGGGTCCGGCGCCTTGAAGTCCATCGGTATCCATTCTAGATTACCCCGCCATCGATTAGATTCCATAGACCAGCTCCTTGGACTTTTTTATTTCATTTTATTTTATATTCATTTTTTTTGGATTATGAAGGTCGAAGGGTTGTTAATTGTATACGAACGTACGTCCAGGGCTTCGTTTGCTTAAGCTTGCAGGTAGCGCTAGCTGTGTCGGAGGCGATGAAGGGTTCGGGGAGACATCCCGCACCGGACCAGATCTCGACGAATATGTTCTGACAAGAATTGTGGCTAGTAGAATAGCAATAACGAGGCATAGAAGAATCGGATCCTCTTCGAACATGGCGGCTGTTGAGCTCATTTTGGCGATGCAAAAACGCTGGAAGTTAACTTTACGATTGTCCAACCTACTTAAAAGTGGTGATATTATTATATATTATATTATTACATGTACAAGCTTCATATTATATACATCTATGTGTTTACGGACACTTTGTGGTATATCTGCCAGACCAATCGGCTATCGTCGCTTTAAATTTAACCTGCAGCTGTCTCTATCGGGGAAGTACAGACATCATATATGGTATAGCTTAACCTCAATGTCAATTACAATGGAATCCTAGTATATACTATGTACGTATAGCTATGATCATGATCATGCAGAGCTTTAGCGTTATATTACACCCTTCGCTCAATGTGAATTGGCATTGGCATTGGCATTGGCACTCCGCTTGCAATGAACATCATGGGATGCATTGTGGGCACCAATGTTAATATTCGTTTTCTGTGCAAACAGTTATAATTATCAAACCTCCCGATTTAACTTATAAAAATTCTATAGACTTCCATCACATCTACACCTTATCTTCACATCTCCATCTTATCTTCACATCCTCTCCCTTCAGAAATCGCGTCGCGTGCAAAATATCAATCAATACATCGATATCGTAAAAAAAACAAAAGTATTCATTCAAGCAGAACGAACATCCACATATTGAGATATCTCAATGGCGGGAACCAGAACGCGAAAGGTTGATGGTGCTCCTGCTACACAATTTCCCGAAGGACGAGCTGGGAAGCGATCCAGGAAGGATTCACCTGGGCAGCCTCCAGGCCTTGAAGGTCAATGCGCCATCCCGTTGAATTCTGGCCCTATTGAGGCGACACCAGCCCACAAGTTCATACAGAGAATGACTTGCCAATCGCTCAAGAAAAATGGCGCGAATATTATCCAGTGTTAGTCGGACTCTCTCTATTATTTCTCAAATTACTGTTACATAGTTTTTAGAGGAAGTGTTAACAAAATTTTGACGATGGCTAGGCCAAAGTTGCATTGAGCGACGTAACGATTCCGGAGGCTGTCGTTTCGCGGGATTCCGAGCCTTCAAGCTTCTCAATCCTGCCGATGATATTGTAGCTGATGTCACTCCATCAGAGGACTCCAAGTTGGATACCAACCGTCCCAGCAAGAAACGCAAATTGAATGGTCATCCTCCACTGCCTCCAGGCTTGGATTACCACAATTACGCGCTGGTCGGTGACAGAAAACGTCATGCCGTCGCAAAGCAGGATGAGAACTGTCTCTTCTCCACTTCTGCTCCCTTGGGGAAGTCCCCAAAACCCTTATCAGACACGGACGCATACATCATGTCCAAAATCACTCCAGCGCTCTGTAAAGCTCTGAAGCGAGAATTACAACATGAAGAACAATCAAAGCATCCAATAATTCGGATCACAGAAGACCCAGCCCAAAGAAGCTTGTGTGATTCCTGCGCTACAACCCTTTTCATCGTCAGCTACGTCTGTCACGTTTGCGGGAGGGAGTATTGCCCCGACTGTTACGATGACTGGACCGAAAGCGGGAACATAAGGTTTGAAACTTGTTCTCGCAACAAGATGCACACAAAGGAGCAGCTGTTGGTTGCAGTTCGGGCCTGCGAGGGGGAGTTGAAGGCGATCGTAGGGGAAATACAATTGTTTCTGGATGGATCAAAACATCCAGAACAATCGCAAATAGGGGGTTTGGACCGTGGTAGCTACCCAGTTCGTGCTCTCCAAGACGATATGTTCGCCCCCGTTTTTGAGTTTACCGCAGAACTCTTCGACGAGGGGGCGTTCAAGGATATCTGGAGTATGCACGGACGTCCAATCATCATTAAAGACTGCCTCGACAGGTTCAACCTTCCATGGGACCCTGAGTATTTCATTAATAACCATGGTCACGAAGACTGTACACTTGTCCAAACTTGCCCACCATTCAAAAACTATGTCACCAAAGTAGCCAGATTCTTCGAGCAATTCGGAAAACCACATGTTACTGGAACTTCAAATCCCAAGGGAGCACCATCTAGTAGCTTCACCGATGAAACATTGAAGTTGAAGGACTGGCCACCAGCCGATAACTTCGCGGACGTCTTTCCCGACCTCATGGTCGATTTCGAGCTTGCACTCCCCGAAGCTGTCGCACAACATGTCAAACATAACGGCGTTTACAACCTCGCCAGTCGATTTCCGGAAGGGTACAACAAACCAGACCTTGGTCCGAAAATGTACAATGCCTTCCCCGCTACTGTTCAGATGGACGGTCGAATAGGTGGCACCACAAACCTTCATCGTGATATCACCGATGCCATCAACTTCATGATGTACGCAACCTCCGTCGATGATGATTTCGACGCCCCCGGTGCGATCTGGGATATATTCCCTATCGGCGCTACGAAGATTATTCGTGACTATCTTGACAAGCAATTCCCTGGTCAACCGACAGACCCTTTTCATCGCCAGAACTGCTATTTATCGCCCGAGGACCTTGAAATCCTCTACACTGAGCACGGCGTCCAGTCTTACAGGATCCTCCAACGCCCTGGCGATGCGGTAATGATCCCTGCAGGGTGCGCACACCAGGTCAGGAACCTTAAGGATTGCATCAAAGTTGCAGTAGATTTCCTAAGTCCCGAGAACGCAGAGATTTGTGAGTATTTACTCCAGGAAAATAGGGCAATTGCACAGAGGGCAAATAGTTCGGTAGCCTTGGCTACTAAAAAGGGAAAGGAGTCGAAGAAGATGAGTAGGGTTAAAAAGGAAGACGTCCTGCAGCTGTGGAAGTGTTTGATGTATTATTACGAGGGGGTTAGAGGACAACTCTGGGCCGTTGATCCTGAAGATTTAGAGAAGGCGAAGAAGGATCGCACGACTAAAAGTGATAGGTTGGATATGGGGAACGTAGCTGGTACGAATACTCCCACAGCCGAGAGTACCCTCTCGGGTGGAGAGAAAACCGACGAAGATGTCCTTGACATCAATCCTCTAGAAACTGGCTCACGAAAGGAAAATAAACCTGATGAAATCATTGTCATCACATAGACTACACTCATACAGCGAGATCTGGGTCTTAGGCGTCCACGGTTGGATTTACATATCGGCGTATATTTGGAGGTTTAAGGAGTTAATTTGGGTATTGTTGCCTGGGTCCATGAAAGTGTTTTAGCGCGTATTCAAAGAATAAAAGAATTGAAGGCTTTATCATTCAATATAATACAGGCTGATGAACAGATACATTCGTGAACTCGTGCATAAGTACCACACAAGTCAGCTCGTTAAAATATCGTCAACCGCACGTTGCGTTCAGGGAGACAGCAAACAAACACCACCAACAAAGGGCACCCCAAAACTCCCGCTAAAAAAACACGAACTAGTACTGGAAATATATAGCTGTGAGGTGTTACGTTATCAAAAATATAGCATAGAGGAACCAAAAATCAGAGGTTAGAAAACCATATCCAACAATCACCGCCCCGGCGAATCGTGTGTCGCAACTGCCGTAGTACTGCCGCCACTCATTTTGAGGTGCGAATCATCAGCCTCGTAGACGTTTGGAAGCTGTTCATTCTCATCCCAATCTATCCTCTTTAAGAGGGCAATAGAAGGCTCATCCTCTTCGTCAACTTCCTTGATCTCCTGTCGTAACCGACTACTAAGCGATTGAGTGAACCGAAGGTCGGCAGGTTTTCCGTACACACTACGTCGGAAAGGCGCAATACTCTTTGAGAACTTGCGAGATGGAGACGACACTGGGGTTGTCGAGACTAGTTTCAGCCTTGTTATAGGGGCTGCCGTATTGCGTGTTTCCAATAAAGCCCGTGCTCGAGCCGCTCTCGCACTAGGGGTTTGAGGTATTCGAGCTACAGTGCTGGGTGGTTGTTGGGTGGCAGCAGTTGAGTTGGAGTTTACCCATTGGCTAACATCTAACATGCTGAGACCTTCAGGGCCAAGGATGGATCTTTCTCCCGCTTCCGATCTTCCGTAGTCCCGGCGGCGGGTGTTAATACGCTGTTCCCGAGCAAGCTGGTCCTCTGCCGCTTCCATTCGCCTATGCTCCTCGATCTGCCTCTCCTCTTCCAAGAAGATCTCCCGGTTCAGCTGATCGTTAATGTTTCGACGGTCGACCCTTTCTTGGGATGCCCAGTACCAAGACCGGATTATAGATTTCCGACGATTGGCATCCGCCCGCTCTCGGAACATGTCGGCCCTAAAAGATTCGAGCTTGCGATGGAATTGTGCGTTCTTCAATTTTTTGAACATGCCACCCAATCTATCTTTCCGAGAAATCTCATTATAGGTTTCCGCAAGATGATATAGGTTACGGACAGATTGAAGTTTCTTCGCCATCGCCTCTAACCCAAATGACATCAACTGGCTCTGCCGAAACTCGGCAGCATGAGACTGGAGCTCTCGGATATCATGCGTCCGTTCCTTCCATTCGACGAGCAGATTTCCAGCTTGAACCTTACAGCCGGACTCAAAAAAGTCATGTGCAGTAACTTTCAAAGCCTCAACGGACTCATGCTTCATTAGCAAGGCGCCGAAAGCCTGCGCCCTGATTCGAAGTGCTCGATTGTGAACAACCTGATTATAGGCATCTTTCCGATGTTGCCGCTTATGCTTGTCCATCGTCTGTTGCCAAACTTTAACCAATTTCTTCGCACCAAGAAAGTAGGCAGCAGACGCAGATACCGTATTCAGCTGATCAACTTTTTCCTTCTCCCCCAGTAGACTTCTGAATGCCGCAGTCAATAGCCGTCTTCTCCTGAATTCATTCGCTTTAGCCTCCGATTCCTGCATTCTGTAGAGCCTCGTCCGAAGGGCCTGGACACCCGCAAGTTTAAGCTTGCTGTGTACCCCCGAGTCTACAAAATCATTTGCGACGGCCTCACAGTCCTTCAGAGTCTGCAAACGACTTCGCCATCCCTGTAACCACTGTCTCCACACGTGGTATTGATAGCATCTATCTGCCAAGGCCGCGCTATATCGATCAAACCATGCACTTAGGTACATTGATTTAACGTAGTTCTCGTGTTCTTTCAGCCTCAACTTAAGCCTCCAAGATCGGAACATCGTTTTAAGCACGTTGATTTTGTTGACATGATCTGCAGCTTTAATCTGCCGTAAACGATTCCTCCACAGCGCGATCAAGGCAGTAGCTTGATTGACATCGTGATTGTCTTGTTGCTGGCGAACTAGTGGGGCGTATCTCGCCTCTCGCCTCCAAGTGAGAACACCCTTGTAGAGCAACATATACCGTCGTTCTTCGTCAGCTTTAGCCGCAATATCCTGAGTCCACACAAGATCACTGTGCCACATGCGAAAATACTTCTTAAGGAGCGAAAAGCAGTATAGATCATCAGCGATTCTCTCGTTTTCCCGAAGTGTCTCGATCCGGCTTTGCAAAAGCTGGACTGCAAACCTTTTGAGACGGAGTTCATTCAACTGCGGAGCTCTTATATTGCAGTATCCATAGAACAAAGTCCAGTAGGCCCGGAACTTGAGGTCGCTGTCGTAGCGCCGTCGGGCAACCTCTTCCATCGCGTGATTCTGGGAAAGCCGCTGCCTCCATTTTCGGACAAAGTTGGCCAGCTGGAACTGTCGAATTTTATCTGTGGTGGACTGTGCATGTGCTTTCCAGGCCCTAAAAACCTTGCGCATCAACATATTACGGTCGATAGTAGCTTTGCGCTGGGCTTTGAATAGTGCCTTCGTCCTCCAGATTTCGACGCAGCGTAGTAGTATAGCTCGCTGCCGCCGTATTGTGACCCTTCTTTCGAGAGATTTCCAATAAACACCCGTGCTCCATACATCCAAAACTTGGGAAGCGAGAACTCGTTGATCCTTACAACAGGCCAAGTCCCACTGTAATTGATGATAATCGGCAACCTTATAGGTGCGCATCCTCCAATGCTTTAATATATCCCCGGCAAAGGTTATCCGTCGACTGTTGAATCTAGCAACGGCCTTCTCAGCTGCTGCGACCAAGCCAGCCTTGCCTCTGATTGGTGGAATGTAAGCTGTCTGCTCAGGGCTTTCAAGCACATCATTTTGATCCTCAAAATCCTCCTGGTTCAAGAAAGATGCCCGAGTAGGGGCGGTCTCCATTTCGTCAGCAGGGCGTAATCCTGCTTCCGAGGTGGTTTCGAAGAGAGATGTCGGGAATGCAAATTCCGCCTTCATCTTCTCAAGTTCTTCCCTCTTGCGCTTCTCCCCGTCAGTTGGTGGGAGTTTCTTTCTTTGAAGAAGGCTCGGGTGTGGACTGCTTCTACCATCTTTGACTCGAATGTTTCCTTTCCTAGATTCCGTATTTCTAGGGGGCAGTGGTAGTTCTTCGTCGCTGTCGTCGTCGTCGTCGTCATAATCATCGTCGGCTTCTTCTTCTTCGGCTTCCACCCCCTCTTCGTCACCTTCGCTGTCATCGTCGTCTAGGTCTCGGACTCGAGGACTAGGGAGTGGTTTGAAGCCATCCCCATATGGGTTTGTTTTGCGACTTCCTTTGAAAGTAATGGTGAACGGACCAACATTCGTGGAAATCTGGCCTGAGGAATAAGATATAGGGTCGTTCATCGGGGAGAGTATAGTTTTGGGAGGAACGTCATAACGCCACATCTAATTGTGTCACGGGATTAGCAAGGTATAGGGCCTTAAAACACAGTTTAAGTGTAGAGCTAATATTGTAATTGGATACTGGAGGCAGGTCGCATACGGAGAGTAGAGTAGCGTATCTGTCGTACCAGGAGGTGCCCTGGACTTCAGCAAGTCGCATAAGAAAACGGAAGCACCTATCATCCAGAGCAGCATCGATTCCTTTCTTCCGGAGAATGGCATCGTAGGCATGAAAGAGCGCATTCCAGGGAGTGGTTTCGGGTATAACGGAGGCGTATGTTACAATTTCACGGAGAAGTTGGATTTCTATACAGACACAAAGGCACAAGAAGGAAGAGTGTCAGAGGTGCAAGACACAGCGACCCCCGAGCAGGGGAGAAGACGATAGCGATGAGGTTGAGGCAGAACACACCTTGGCGGGAGAGTTGAACGCGCGTGGAGAGCGGTCGCTGAACACCGAAGAGTTGGGTCTGGTGGTCGGGAGGCATGGACCACCACTTGTGCCCATCGAGGCAACTGTCGGGACACTGGCGAGTTGTAGTAGTGGAGTGCTTCCTAGGTGCCCATACCAACAACTGACGCTTGCATCATCAGACAATTTCTCTTTCTGTCTCTCTTTCTTTTTTTATCTTTCTATCTCTCTTTCTTTCTTTCTTTCTTTCTTTTTTCTTTCTTTCCACCCTGTCCCTTTTTTCTCTTTTTTTTCTTTTCTTTTTTTGAGGGAGTGGTGATGTTGGGATGGTGGTGGCGACGATGATGATGGTGGTGGTGGTGTCGTGAAGGTGGGAATTGTTGATTGTTGTTTTTGTTTATTGTTGTTGCAGTAACCTGATGCATGGACTGTATCACCCGAACCGCCAATCAACCCGCTAGCTACTCCTGTTACCAGCCACATGTGCGTCTACCACGCAGACAACACATTTCCTGCCACGCACTAATATCGCATGAATATACATGTACTTGGTAGGTAAGCAGCACATCCCTAGATATAACTACTACTAGATACCGAATATTGGAGTGCCTGGATGCTTAAGTAGATTAGGTAGATACTTACCTAGGCAGGCAGGGACATGTTACTTAGGTTGTCCGGTATACATAAAAGTACTTAAGCAGTAATGATAATAAGTACCACGATGCACAAGTATGCATGTAGACGGAGATGTGGATGCAGATGGAGATATAGATATATAAATTATTTACCCAGTCAATCAGTCCATCTACCATTTAGCCCGTCGTTCAGTATTCACGTAACACCCACCAGCTTCAAGAAAGAAGTCCCCACCTCGTAATAGAATCATCGAATGTCAATGCCTCAGGCTTGAACTTCGACCCGAATAATATTCGCGAACATAGTTTAGACGCCCTTCAATCGCTTTCCCATTTCAAAAATATCCCATCATGCTCCGTCTCAGTGGCTCCCAGATCCTCCTTACTAACAGGGACGTCACACGTACGCTGAACCCCAAACGAACCCGTCGGCCTCCAACCTACCTCTACACCAAAGGCAAGCAACCTATCAGAAACCCTCCATACCCGCCTCCATCTATCCCACACATCAATACATCTCGTCCAAGTGTCCCATCTCCATCTACCCTCATTGCGGGACAATCGGACAGAATTCCACCTCAATTGCCAGCACCGGTTCGACCGAATTCTCCCGATTGGTCTACTTCCTCGGATACTGAAATCTCATCTTCAGCTTCGTCCTCTTCATCCTCAGACACCAACATGCCAGAACAATCCGCTCCTACTCCTTCCACGGATGGTGCCGATGATGAAATGGCGACCACCTATCTTCGTGAGGTGCGACCTTTCCGACAGGTCGTTTCGCTTGAAACCATTGATTCGTTTCCATTCCTTCCCTACAGGCCTCCTCCATCGTTGATGTTCGACATCTACGAAGACCCAATCTATCAGATTCAGAATCCGGTCGATGCCTCCCGAACTCTTGATCCCTATGACGACTGGGACCCTCAGCCTTTCCCATACCTCGGTAGTTCCTACTACCAGGAGGCGTACGCCGAAGATTCCTATGCAAACGATGATTTCGAGAACGCTGACGAGAACGCTTGGGCTGGCGAAGACGAAGATGTTGCTGGCGATCAAAATGGAGATGTTGAAGAAGACGAAGATGATGAGGAAGTGATCATCCTTAACGAGGCTTTCTGGGATCCTGATACAATACTTGTCGCCGAAATGCAAGCTACAAACAACGGCGCTCTCAGGATTACGGTAGAGCGAATTGGAACTCCACCTGCTCAGTAGATTCGCTAGGCGGAGCTATTTGAAAACCTCATTCGCTTTCCGGGACTTTTTCCCCTTGGCTCAACCCCATCGCACGGCTGGCTTTCTCTCCTCGCTCATTGCTACTATTATTTTTGATTTCAGTCTCTTCTCACCCTTTTTTTCTTTCTTTCTTTTACTTTTTCTTTCTTTTTTTTCTTTCTTTATACAAGATACCAGGCTAGCGACTCTTTACGGCATTCAAGTCTACTACAGGGAGGATTCGATTCATTGACTATCGTTCTTCTACCTATCCTTTCTATACTATTATCGCGTAGGCCCCGTCTCTCCAGATCTGGCTCTCGTCATCCAGTTCGTGCAGGCTTCCGTTCACTTTCTTATTTCTATCGTTACTCTTCTACTTTTCAAACCTTATATGAGGTTTACTCTACTGGATGCATAGCGGGGCCTTTTTCCACCTTTCTTTCTTTACCACATAGAACCTTATAGATGGTCATTAAGAAAATTATCATTTTATCATTACACAATCCAGGTTATACGTAGAAAACAGCCATTATATACACCATAAACGCCCGGAAGGAAGAAACGGGTGGAAGAAACCAATTCTCAGGACAGAAAACAATTGCCGGAAACGTGCAAAAGGAAGCAGATGACAGTAACGTAAGAATTAAGAATAATGACAATAACCTCTCCATTTCAAGGCTGTCGTCTGCGATAATTAACACTAGGGATTCAATGGGGAGAATCTTTATGAAGGTTCGTTTCTTTCGAATGCACGATCTCATCACCAGAGTCTCGGCAAGCAAACAAGCATCAGGGTCCCAAAATCATGTATCAATTTACATGTTTTCGAGGATCTGCGCCTTATAGGCCTCGCTAAGTGGCCCCTCGGAAGGACCAGCTTCGTCTTGGCTGTAGTCACCGGACTTGAGAGCCGCCGGGCCATTGTTAGCGCCGGGCAAGAAAATTACCTTTGATCCCGATGTCTTAGCGATTTGTTGCATGGCCTCGAGGTATCTGATCTGCATAGCAGCGTTGGAGCTAAGGATATCAGCTGCCTGTCTCATCAACTTGGCGGATTCGACTTCGGCGCGCGCAGCAATGATCTTGGATTCACCAATCCTCTTGCTCTGTGCCGCCATCGACAAACTATCCTGTAACTCGCGGGAAAAGATAATGTCCTTGATGAGCATGGATTCGACACGGACACCCCAGCCGGCAGCGACTTCTTCGATTATTTCACCAATGCTTTGCGCGACTTCCTCGCGACGCTCGATGACATCCTGAAGCACCCTGGCACCGATGACATGACGGAGGGTAGTTTGAGTACGCTCGATGAGAGCCTGTCGGACATTAGAAATTCCGAAAGCAGCTTTGTGAGGGGCGATAATGTGGTAGTAGATGACGCTGGTGAGATGGACGGTGACGTTATCCTTTGTCATGCAAACTTGCTGAGGAACTTCGCAGATCTGGATCTTAACGTCGACCATGATGAGCTTTTCGGAGAGAGGGTTGATGCGAACGAGGCCGGGGTCCTCTGCACGCGAGAATCGACCGAATTTGGTGACCAGCCCGACATTGCCTTGAGAGACTGGTTTGTATGGATTTGGGCAACAGATACAGCAGGGAATAGCACCAAAGGAACCGATGATGACACCGAGACCGTTGACTAGATAGATCGATCTTGTTAAAATCCTTATCAACGTATAAAATTTGGAGGGGAGTTGGGGCGGGGGGTATTGGAAAGCTTTACTCACTCATGCTACCGTACCAGTTGTTTTCACGCTTGTCTTCGACAGCAGGAACCAATTTAGCATAGCTAGGTTGGAGGTCTTCGACACGAGGTGGTTGAACGTCGACAAGCGGGGCCTCGGACCTGATAGAGGATTGTGCTCCGCTATAGGAAGCTGGGGCATTGAGAGTGGCTTTTCCGTTAGTACCAGACATTTTGGCGATAGATGGGATCGATTGATCAAAGTCGTCTTATTGGATATCGATGATAGAAACCGATTAAAATCAATCAGATAGAATTTGATGGTTGCCGATTTGGTCGATTTTTAACTTGAGTGCGACAGTTGCAGGAAGAATTCAAATCAAAAAAAGAAGCGATCCCCTCGTCCTTATATAATTTGAACCGAAGCAAATCGAACCCGCTCAGAATCTCTCTCGGTCGGATTCCCGTCTTCAGCGCCCGCTTCTGTTTGCACTGCACTGTGCTCGCAGCACCGCTCTGCGGACTGACTTCTAGCTGGCTTCCTTCAATTCACGACATTCGGTACATGGACTGGCCACCCCGGTTCTTGGCTCCAAGAATGCGCAGATCGGGCAAAACCAGGATGGCTCGCTCCGACCGTCCAATCCCAGGCGAGTCGAGCGCATGGGTGTGGGGAACACCCATGTCTGACATCACCTTCTGGAGGCCAACATGCAACAGGGCGCAGCAGAAGGACAGACTTTGTTCACCATGGCCATGTACGAGGTCAGGCGCACCCTCCATCATCATCACCATTGCATTGAGGGCTCTCGACGCTCAGTAACGGCCGCCTAGCATTTTGGCCAAGCCCCGGGTGTCGGCAATCCAGATCCCAGTCAAGCATATGTTCGTACAGTCACGTCTGTCTTGGAGTATCGCCGGAAAATATCCCCCCCAAAGCATGCAAAGCAAATAAGCTTCGGGATCGAATCGTAATCGATTTAACTTTGGTTCAACGAGCTCTCGAGATGTCAGGCTCGAGTCAAATGCTTGCCTGGCTTGGGTAATAGTTAAGTAATTAGTTAGTTCACGGTAGTCGTTTAGGCTTCGGTCGGCAGATTGCTGACAAAAGCTTGAACCCGCACGGGCTTGGTACGATACCAGGATGCATTGCATGACGCTAGGCGGAGAAGATGAAGATGAAGTGCCAGTTTCACTTGCAACTTGCGTCTTGGATAATATAAATTCCTTCACACTTCAAAGCCTCCTCCCAATAAATCAATACTATATGCTGGAACGGCAGCCTGCAATCCAGATAATCGCGCACGAGAGCTCAAACTTTCAACTTCAACCGCTAGCTTGACGGATGGTCGGTCAGGCGTGCGGGAACCCATTAGGATATCTGCTGCGCCTCTGCGGATCGGACCTCTCGTATCTTCGTCGATATGCTTTTTTTTGGTCAAGACAGACAGGCAGACAGACAGACAGACAGACAAATAGACAGACCTACTTACATACTTAAGTATGTAAGTAAATTGTTAGCTCGTGAGGACATTGTAAACCCGGGGCGAAGAAAAGACAGAGTTCCGATCTTGCGGAGGCTGAGCTGAGTATGGCATACTTCTACTTACTTCCTTAAAGTAAGTCTGACCAGAGAGAATGATCGATAAGGTATGCCCTTGTTGGTTGTCGAAGTTATCATCATCTTCTTGCATTTGTAAATTTCTATTCCATAGGCCTTATACTTTACTACCTGTTTGAAAGGCAACAATACCATGGATCCATGGAAATAGTGCATTTCCCTCAGCTCAGCTATATATACTATTCGAACAGATGTACGGGCTATTAATATTAAAAATCCCAGGTTTCTCGGACCGGATATTATATATTTTATATCTATATTATATTATATAAGTAAAGTATATAAAGTAAAGTAAAGTCAAGTGGAAAGAAAAAGCACATGTCAGAAACCAAATTTAAAGCCAGGAGACGAACGACATATACGTAAATGTAGGTACCCACTTATATTTACCTTTGTGCCACCTGCCCAATGCAATACCGTCATCCCGCCACTCACTCGGTACCGCGACCAGCCCATATCCACACTTTCACGTGTTAAAACCAAAAGACTTCCTCTTCTTTCAAATCAAATGACAAGCCTGGACAAGCTATCATATTCTTTGTTTGGAACTTTCCTAATTGAAACTAACCGTGTGGGTCGGAGACTCTTAGACCCTGCGATAAACCTTGATGGTTCGCCGGGGTGGTTCCGACCATTATATTAGCTTCGTATTCCGACGACCGAATCCTCGATTGTTCACGGACCGCAGAGTGCGCCGGTGTCACAGGAGAGACCGTGTCCAATGAATAGGAGAGAGGGTTGCGTCCATCGTTTCTTTGTTTCATTTGCTCTCCTTAACATTTTCCCTTTTTTTCTTCTTCCTTGGTAGGTAAGTACTTCAGTAGGTAGTTAGGTAGGTAGGTACCTAAGTGTTTTCAATCTAATTACAAAGAAAATGGCATTCAGTTTTTGATATCTATACCCTGATTGATTGCGCTCATTCCGGCAAACACAAAGGAAAGGAGAGAAAGAGAAGAGAAGAGAAGAGAATAGAATAGAAGAGATCCAGAGAAAAGGAATTAAGATAGAATGAAAGTTAAAAGCCAAACCCAATACCTGATACCCCAATACCAAACGCTACTCGAAGAAAAAAAAAGATACTATTACTACACACGAGCCAAGAGGAGAAATAGAACAAACAGAGAGAAATAACCGATGCCGAAGGTTTACTCGGATGCTGTCTTCTCCTTGACAGTCTCTTTAACCTCCTCCTTTTTTGCTGTCAAATACCCAGCAATCCACCCAATAGTCTGTGTCGACAAGATGAATGTTGTGGAGATCCCGGCCTTAGCAACGGAAACCAAGCTCTTCTGTCCATTGCTAGCCTTGTTATACTCATCGTTGTAGACCTTGAGAGCATAATCCTTCTTCTCGTTGCCAAATGCAAGCGCATCCTGTGCGGTGTGGTAGACTGGGAGGTTGATTATTCTCTCTTTGAGCTTTTCGGTGGGCTCCTTGACAATTGGAACCCGCTCTTCGAGTTGGGCAAGACCGGAGTCGGCGAATTGGTCTGCCTTGGTGACATAAGGGCCGGCATAGATATTGGCTTTGGCGATATAAGGGGAGAAAGGCTTGACAAAGGTGTCGTAGACGGATTGAGAGATCGAGAGCGATCTTTGTCCAACGGGGTGACCTGGGAGGTTGGAGGTATGTTGTTAGAAATCAAGTACCTAGGTTGGTCGAGGGAAGCAATTGATAAATTAAGAACTTACCTTTGAAGTAAGTTACGCCATCACTGACGACGGGAAGAGAGCCAAGATGGCTCAAGAAGACACTGTGGGTCTCGGTTTCGCCGTTGGTGGCCATTGTTGATAGTATATGAATTTTATTAGAGTAGGAGGTAGTATGGATGAGTCTTTAAAACTAGACTAGGTATTTAAGTAAGTAAGTAAGTAAGTAAGTACTTAATCGTGAAGCAGAAGAAGAAGATATTATATAGAATCGAGACACAAATCGATGACGTCGAGTAAGTTTAGTTGGTGTGTTGGAAAGTTACAATTGACCACAATCACAACCACAACCACAACCACAACCACAATCACAATCACAATCACATGCCAGAAACTCACAACCTGACTCAGCAGAAAAGAGAGAAAAAGAAAAGAAAAAGAAAAGGAAGAAGAAAGAAGAGGAAAAAAAACAAAACAAAACAAAACAAAACAAAGAGCGGGTCTATGTGTGTAAGCTCACCTCAGTTCGGTTGGATATGTGAATCGAATGTCGTGGGATGTCGATGTCAGTCAAATATAAGTTACAAAACTCATCAGAACTCACCGAAGCTGAAGTGGGCATCTGCACGCCTTTATACTTTCACCACTCGACACCAACAACATACCGTAAGTACCGATTTAAGTATCTTCTTACATACATACACGCTTCAGGAAAGCTATGATGGAGGGGCGGGAAGGAGAATTTCCACTTCTCTCATCTATCAAAATCTACCTAGTGACTTCCTTCCCTTGCCCCTTCCACTCCTGGGACCCCTGTAAAGTATCACACTGCGCTGGTACCCTCCGATACGTCCCTTTGCTGCACATACCACTGCTAGTTTCTGGTGAATTACCTGGATAATCTCGCACCTCGGATCAAAATTATCGATATGGACATGTACTTATTTAGAAAGTACTTTATTTCGCTCTTGCTTTACCGAACTGACAGTTGCATATGCATTCCTGAAGCCGGCGGCGTGTTTGCGGCGATAAAAAAAAAAGAAAAGGCAAAAAAAGAAAGGAACTAGATTTCGCGAGCGTCGCAAGGCATCTAGCTGGCTCTACGAATCGGATTCGAATGAAGGAGCCACTATCACGATCGTGTCTTTCAAGCACATGCTTGCGATGGATCTCCTATTCTGTCCTGTTAGAGTATCTAATGTTCGTTTATCTCATTGGCTTCGGCCAGGGTGTTTGAGGCTATTTACATATTAATATTTCATATCGAGTCTGGTATCTGTATACACATCCGGATGAGCGAGTACTACGTATACATCCGGAGAGGAAAGGGGAAAAAGAAAAGGAAGATTCCCATGCAGACGCATATGCAGCTACGTTGTTTTCAGAACCTGTTGAATCCTTAGGAATTCGAAACGGAAACGTCAACGTCCCACTTTGGACCCGTATCCACGTTTTTGGCCCAGTTCGATAACATAAGAGGTACTTACATATACCTAGGTGCTTAGTACTTACTTACTTACATTAAGTAAGGGGGTGATGCATACATACATACTTACATAGTGCATCCTATCTGTCACCCGCATCACCGTGCATTTTTTATATTTGATATACTTATATATATATTTATTACTACCAAGAGGAGAGATATGGACGTTTTGTTGGGGGACACTTGAGCTAGCTAGCTGCTAGATAGGTACGTATCGATACAGAGGATGAAAATATCACCACTTCGGATCACAAATGGTCTCATCAGTGCACAGCCGTAAGTGTGTTTTATATTCTTGCTTCGAATTCCTTTCGTACTTTCTTTTTAAACATTAAGGTTGACCCCCTATGCCCTTAGACGTCTCGACCGGACTTGATAGGTTTGATAAGAAGGGAATATCCACGATAATGGTAACGTTGAACAGTGGGTCCCTCGCTCGATCTCTGGTTGGGTGGGCCTAGGAGTTGACGCTAGCCAAAAAAAAAAAAAAAAAAAAAAAAAGAGGTTTGTCTACACAGTAGCTTCTTCTCGTTTTTAATTTTGACATGTGAAAGTCTCGCGCTTTGGAGTTGATAGGAACGTGTATGCTTTTACGTACTATCAAAGAACCTGAGCTGAGGATGTCGACAAAAAATTTTGTCTTTGCCGGTGTATTAGCTACCTAATACCGGTACCTCGATTACCCACTTTGTTGCAGAGAGCTCTTTGTCAGAAATTTCCTGTAAACGTCGGTTGCATTGTACATATGTAATGTATTCGCAAGATTAAGCAATTTTTCAGATTTCGTAATTTTATTGTCGGCTCCTCTCGTACTGCGCCGTTCGTCCTTATCCTTCGCTACCAGTTACATACTCTAAATAAGAGGTAATTAGGTAGATATTTGCAACATCCCTCATCTTCGGCAACATAGCTCCACTCGCTGGGTTCCGGCACCTGCATGTAAATGTAAATGTAAATGTAAATGTAAGTACATATGATACATAGCTCTGGATTCGAGGCTAGCAAAATACTTCTTTTTAATTTTGCGCTATTAACATCTTAATAGAAGATCCTATAATTAGAATGCGTCGTTACTCTGTAGGCTAAACGATCAAATGGTCCCAGCTATTATAAACATTTAGAACCCTCCCCGATATTCGGCTTGCTCTCATACCATCCTATTCATCCATGACAACCACCATCCCTCACCGAGATATATCCTTTAAAATCATATAAAACGAAAACAACTAAAAAAATTTCTATATATACTGGGGGGTGGGGAATAAAAAATAAAAATAATAAAAATAAAAAAATAAATGAAATGAAAATTTATGACATCTTCCGTAGGCAAGAAGAGAAATCATAGAAGAGAATCAACACCAACCGCTTCCCCTCCCGAAATGGCACTAGAAAAAGGACATCACGGTTTCAAGCCCGCGTTTCGAATGGATATGGTTGACCCCAGCCCTGACGACGGCATCGACCTGTCCGGAGATCTCAGCAGTACCGGCATTGCTGTACGAAAAGAAAATAACAAGAACGAAAAATGCGCAGACTCCGAAAACGGCAGCTTTCCGGTAAGCTGGATACTTTGTTCCGTACTCGTTCCACCGGAGGGCGCCTTCCTTAGAAAGTCTGCCGTAGTGCTCCTTGATTTTGTCGGCTGATTAAAGGGAGTGTTGTTAGTACGGGAACCAAAGTGGACTTGAGTAGACAACTTACCTCCAAGTTTATAGTAGACCAACCCTCCCAAAGCGATTGAATAGCCAAAGATCTGGAGTGGCTTGACGGGGTCATGAATCCATGCTACGGAGATAATAACTAGGAGAATATCCTTCAGGACACCACAGAGTGTGAGAACGAGGGATGAGGTTTTTCCGATCTATCGCAGGTTCTTGTTAGCAATGTTCACACAGGCAAATTGAAAAACAGGTGACAAACTTACCAGGAAAACAACGCTGACGTTCAGTGCAAAGGCTACTAGGGCATTAATCACGAGGACAAATGGTCCAACTCGGAAAATATCATCAAGTGTGATAGTGCTGGCTTCCAAGGATAGGAAAATAACAAAATTCATGGCAGCGCAGACAGGAGCAAAGTAGTAGAGAGACACCAATGGGTCCATCTTGTACTCCGGTGAATTGAGGAGCTTCTCAACCATGGCGAGCCTGGTGGCTTCGAAGGCGACACCGAGGGCTTGGAAGATAAACCCAACCATCACAAACTTGATTTCACCGTACGAAGCAATAACGACACCGAGAACTATGATAGAGACATTTCCGAACGTCTTACTAGTCGGCCGGTCCTTTCCAAGGGCCCAGCCCGCCAGAAGGACAGCAACTGGAGTCGTAGCCTGCAGGTAACAGGTTCGGAGTTAGCTAACAACGGCTAGATCTCTAAACAAGCGAAGTCCATGTGACTAACCTTCAGCATTTGAATGAATGAGACGCTGAGGTAGAGGTATGCCTGGTTGCTACAGATCAAGCTCAGGCTGAAGAAGAAACCAATCGGCACAACCGCCCTCAAGTAAACCTTGCCAGTCATTTTGACGGTCTTAAGGCCATCAAGGAGGCTTGATGTTCTCGCGAGAACCTGTGTCATAATTGTTGCAAACACCAGATGCCATGTCGTAAGGAAAATCGCTATTATGAGCAAAGGAATTAATCAGGATGACGGCTTTTGAAAAGGTAGGATGGCGGGGTAGCATGAAATGCGGGGATAAGTAAGGGGCCAGAAGTTGTTGGACGCGCAAAAAGTAGACTTACGGAAGGCTGCGATTCATCGTTAGCGAGAAGTCAATCCGGCAAGGGAGAGGGGGAAACCTACGAAAATTAAGACCCTTTTCTTTGTCTAATATCTTCTTGTTGAAAAGAATGACGCTCCCACTCAAGGCGATCCAGACTCTAGAGGTTCCAGTATTAGAAAAATGATGCTGTAGGCGTGAATTGTAGTTGGTGGGATACATACATGACATAAGCAGCGGAAGGTATCGTCGGCCGTGTGGGGGTAGGGACATTGCTGACAGGGAGAATTGGGTCGTCTCTGTTGTCGCTCATGAGAGGTTCCCTTTTGTCCTCCGTCGTATCATTGCTAGAGGACATTTCGCAAGACTATACAGGGGTGAGGAAAGTGATGGAGATGGAGATGGAGATGGCTGGAGATGGCTGGAAAATATTTGTCGGAGTAGGGATGAGGGAGAAAGGTTCTTATTGAATTTTGATTGATTCGAAGGGGACCTTTTTTTTTTTATTTTATTTTGTTTTATTTTATTTTATTTTATTTTTGGTTGGAGAGTTTTGGCGCAAAGTTTATTGGGGGGCGGACCGGGTAGTCAGTAGGTACCCAGTTACCTGTACCGTGGCTAGAACGCGAAAGCTTGACGGTGACGGTGGAGAAGGTTTAATGGAACAAACCAGAAGTCTGATGGAGAGAAGAAAAGAAGAGGAAGAGGAAGAGGAGGAAGAGGAAGGGGAAGAGGAAGAGGCTATGCAAGTATGTGGGTAGGTAGGTAAGTAGGTAGGTAGGAAGTAATAGGTAGTAAGTAAGAGTAAGTACTAAGTAAGTACTTAGTTACTTGGTTGGCTGGTTGGTTGGTTGGTTGGTTGGCTGGCTGGTTGTTGGATGAAGGCAATTTGCAGAGATGCAAGCGAAATGGAAGATATCAAGACCAATTTTGGGTTGGTGGAAAAGGGGAGGTGGCTCAGTCAAGCCGACAGCATACCTAATCCATATCCATACTTAAGTAAGTAAGTAAGTACCCAGGTAGTCAGTAAGTGTATGTTAGTAACAGGTTGATATAATACCCGAAGTCTATAAAACATTCACACCTTCCTGGATACCTTTACTTAAGTACTTATTTACTTATATCCAGGTGTGCATACAAGTGTGTAGGTAGACTGCATATCGCGGCAACCTTAATCGAGATGGTGTCTCGGGAAATACGAGCTGCTACCTATACCCTCAGCCACTTCACCATCTTTCCAGTCCACCGTATCATATTACGTATACATAGTACAACGTACAGTGAATAAGTACTTATGTATTTACTGAGTAAGTCAGGAATTGTAGATGTAAGTCAATACGGTTTCTAGAACTCATTCTGAAGTCGTCTTGTTTCACCGTCTGGCTAATTTCAGGGGAAGGTCACAACCACCACCACCACAACCACCAACGATAATACAACTTACATACAACCGGAGTACCAATTAAGGCAGCCTGTCGCTGCACGGTTGTGGCAGAGTCCCTCGTCGCCGTAACATTATAGGTTATTCCAGCCGGGCACGGTTTCATCCCGAAAGCTTGACCCCTTCAACTGATCAACCTCTTTTTTTCTTTTTCCTTCTTCTTCTTATTCTTCTTCTTTCTAACCCTGTATGTACATGTACATACTTGACATACTATGTACACAGAGGCACCGGCATACGTGCTAGTAAATAAGTAAGTAAGTACCTAAGCACCTATGTAGTACTAAGTACTTACTAAAGTATGTTTGCTGCAGGGATCTTACGACACAACAGAGATAGCTGTTTTTAGAGCTTGAGCTTTGCTTGGACTCAAACTGGCTGGCTGGTTCTCTCAAACTTTTCCCCCTCATCATCATCATCACAAAATCAGTCCTAAAACCCTTCAATTCACTAGACCCCAATCCTCGTCTATCAATTGTACTTACACCTGCTCTTTCCCGTAAAGCAATTGAATCCTCCCCCGCTCGCTTCTAGCTAAGCTAAGCTAAAGCTCCTTTCACCTGCAGAGCTGTTTTGTCCGTTTTGCAAAGATGCTCTCATCAATCGCCTCTACTATTACCGGCAAGGAGTCTGCTCCAAAGCAAGCACAAACAAACTTGTAGGTCACACCGAAGTTCGTGCGAGAATTATTATTATTATTTTATTTTTTATTTTTATAAAACCATAAAACTCTGCACAGCCAGCTGACTAACTTCGCTCCAGAGAAGTTGATGTCTTGGTGATTGGAGCCGGTCCGACGGGCCTTGGAGCTGCGAAACGGTTAAATCAATTGGTACGTTTCTGTTTCTCCTCTCCACCTGCTCCACCATTCGGTGCTCTGTACCACGGCACCACACTCCAAGGGAAACCCTTTGAACCCGATCTCTCCGATGGGTTATCCTAGAAGAACCCCTCTGCTTACCCCCTCAATGGCCTGATAGAACTCAGCATCTTGGTTGATTGTGGATTCCAATGAGACTCCGGGCGGCTTGGCTTCCACCGATGTGACACCGGAAGGCTTCGTAAGTCTAAACACTGCAATTCTAGCTTGTAGGCACGTTTTAATTGCTAATCCCCCCCTGCTACAGTTGTACGACGTTGGCGGTCACGTTATTTTCTCCCACTACAAGTATTTTGATGATTGCCTGGACGAGGCCCTCCCAAGGGAGTCTGACTGGTACCATCATCAGAGAGTCTCCTACGTGAGATGCAAGAACCTATGGGTCCCGTATCCCTTTCAGAACAATATTTCCCTGTTGCCACAGGACGAGAAAGTTGCTTGCATGAATGGGATGATCGACGCGGCTCTCGAATGCCGCGTCGCTAACATCAAACCCAAGAACTTTGATGAGTGGATCGTCCGAATGATGGGAGAGGGTATTGCTGATTTGTTCATGCGACCCTATAACTTCAAGGTCTGGGCCGTCCCGACGACGAAGATGCAGTGCGAGTGGCTCGGAGAGCGCGTTGCCGCACCGGATCTGAAAACCGTTACAAAGAACATCATCTTGAACAAACCAGCGCCTAACTGGGGCCCAAATGCCACGTTTAGATTCCCTGCAGAGGGCGGAACCGGTGGTATTTGGATCGCGGTAGCTAACACTTTACCAAAAGAGAATACAATTTTTGGTGAGGGCGGTTTCGTGACCGCTGTTGATGCTGAAAAGAAGCTCGTCACCATGAAGAACGGGACCACAGTCAAATATAAGAAACTTATCAATACTATGGCGCTCGATAGCCTTGTTAATCTCATCGGGGACAAGGAACTAATATCTTGGACTAAGGATCTTTTCTACTCTACTACCCATGTCATTGGTGTCGGTATCCGTGGCGAGAGGCCCGAACGGATAGGAGACAAGTGTTGGGTGAGTTTTGTCGCTTCGAGAAATTCAGATTTGCAGCCTAAGGCTAACTTACAGTGGTCAGCTCTACTTCCCTGAAGATGACTGTCCGTTCTACCGTGCAACTATTTTCAGCAACTATTCTCCAAACAACCAACCTCAATCATCGGTAAAGCTGCCGACACTTCAACTTGCGAATGGTTCTCCTGCTACTTCAGATGAAGCCAAGGACGGTCCCTACTGGTCGCTTATGTTCGAGGTGTCCGAGTCAACCATGAAGCCAGTAGATGTCCAGAACCTCCTGAAGGACACAATACAAGGTGCCGTCAATACTGAGCTTATCAAACCAGGGGATGAAATCGTCAGCACATACCATAGGGCTTTTGATCATGGATATCCTACCCCAACCCTCGAACGAAATGGCGCAATCAATCAATTGCTGCCAAAGCTAAAGGATATGGGAATTTGGAGTCGAGGCCGCTTCGGTAGCTGGAAGTACGAGGTTGGAAACCAAGATCACAGCTTCATGCTCGGCGTTGAGGCCGTTGACAACATCCTGAACGGGGCTACCGAGCTCACCTTGAACTACCCAGATTTTGTCAATAGCAGGTATGTTATCATGATTGTAATTTGCTGGCGGAAATCTAAGCTAACCTTTTCCGCCGGGTGAATAGGGCGAACACTGAACGTCGTCTTGTTGATGGCGTCCAAGAGCTGAAGCTCTAGATTTGCATCCAGAGCCGTTCGCTCTTTACAAATTAGAAATCCCTATATAAACATAGAATTAACTTAGTCTCAGAGCCAGAGCTGCCCCTTACCTCATGCTGAACCTAGAGTGTTTTCGATTCTGCACTATACAAGTATTTAGGCCTAGATCTATAGAAATGCGTATGTAATAATATAGCTGGTTTAGGGTGCGGTACTACAAAGGAGTTAATTTTAAATAAACTACTGGTGATTTATATGAATCCATAATTTTCATTATTTGGACTTTCATCGAGGCCTGTCTTCTTGTCCGTGTTCTCGATACCGGCCGATCAACCCCCAAGTGAAGTCATAAAATGACATAGTCGGTTATGGTTCCGTCTTAGATATAATGGGAGAAGAGGAGCAAAGAAGGAGGACGAGGAGGACGAGGAGGAGCGGTGTCTTTGTTCATACAAAGAATATTATATTTCTTGTCAATAAAACAGACCAGCGCCGAAGGAAACCTTTTGAACTATGTCGGTAACACATGAAGAAAAGGAGTATAATGTATCGTGAGACAGGGTGCATCAGAAGAAGAAGGTATATAGGACAATGCGGGAGAGGCTTTTTGAAAGGCTGTGGTGGATTTGGGCCTCATGTAGGCTGATGTTAAAAGGATGAAGCTACAGAAGAATGGGATATTGAGGGATAACGTCGGACCAAAACAAAAAAGAAATTAGAACCGTAGAGCTAGAATTCGGGTTTTGTTGATTAGTCAATTGTTATATCCAAATCGGTCAAATAATGCGGCGTGCTTCAAGTGGGGGGTACATACGAGTGAAGAACCACTTGTTCTTTCCGCTCTGGTATCTTTCCTCAAAGGCTTTCTTCACTGTTTTCTTTGCCTCCTCCCTCTGTGTTGGTTCCTTGAAAGTGTCGGCGGACAGAGTACCCTTGATGGTGTCCATGTCGAGTGTGTATCTTGTGGGCATGATGTGGTTGTAGTTGGTGACCTTAATGAATGGCTTTACTTTCGACCTCTTGGTGATTCTCTTTTTCGACATTCTCTTGGTGACCTTGCTTGGGTATCTCTCGATACCGGCAACCAGGGCGTGGCCGAAAGGATGGGCCTTTGTGCCCTCATCAAGGACCTTTACAATGACGACCTATTTGCAATCCAACCGGCAAAATGTCAATATATTATTCATGGCTTTTCTCGCTTCCTTCACAAGAAACTGCGTCCCCCAAAGGATCTCGAACGGGGGGGGGCTTTTTGTTTTTGCAATCATATATATTCGATCGGGGTTGGAAGTTCCATTTCGCACCTTCTTTCCGGCATATCGTCCCTTGGTGACAATGCCGACACGGCCTGGCTTCAAAACTGTAAAACACCAACATCCATGTCAGAAACCAGATCTTTCGCACATTTCCATCTAATATCAAATTCCTTCGCGATGGTAATTGTCGGAAAAGAGAATACCAAAACATACACTTCATTGTGGATATTTGTCGGTTGTTCGTGAACGAAACGGGGGGAGGTTTATGGTGATGTATCGGGGTGGCGGCGGGTATGTCGGTGATGATGCTGTCGAGTACTGTTGGCGATGCGGTTGAACAAAGCGTCGATATGGTTTGAAATTTGCGGGTTTGACGAGAAAAATAGGGCTAAGCCGCTTTAGTCAAAGAGCAGTCCCAAGTTCCCAAGCCAGCAATTGTCCACAACGCAGGCCAAGACTATGATTGCAGGTCACGGGATCTTCAAGATAAGATCAGATTGAATAACCTCTATGATAAGATAAGATCTGATAAGATCTGACGGACCGGCAAGTTACCCCTGGCAACACAGACGCCACAGAGCAACCAGGTCGTTGGTGGGTCGCTCTGCGCATTCCTCTGTTGTTGTTTTGTTGATAGACAGCTCATCTCGCTATATGATATGTCAGTAATATATTGACAGACTTGCCGACAGCTGTGATACTAAGCGCATAAGGTACATAGGCATGCACATTGCCGCCGCTCCTGCTGGCCCTCTATCCTTCCTTCCTTCTTTCTCATCATCACCCACCATCATCATTGCATTGCATTACCATCGTCTCCATCCATCCATATCCGGGATCTTTTCCCCTCAACCTCTCCCTCCTTATCGCTACCATTACCTCTTTTGACCCACAAGATTCTTCTTGCTTTGGGCCTAAACTACTTCAGTACCTTGCATTCACACATACCGGAACAGCTTAAAAGCGTAGCATATCACAACGTCTAGGTGAGCAAGCAGCCTCAGTAATCCCAGCTATTTTACTAATTCACTGACATAATGATGTGACTTGTGAACCAGTCACACATACTAGATCCTGTTCGTTTTCTCTTAACAAGGATCTCTGTTCATCATCATGCCGGCTGGTTCGGAATTCCCAGAGCTGCGAAAGCCTGCCTCTCAAAACTTCTCATCACCACCGAAGTAAGCCTCATCTTGGGTTGCCTAAATTAACAATTAAAGTTTCTGACAGGTATTCGTACCTTTACGTAGATGGGACTCTTCAAATCTATTGAGAAGACCAGCCCCGCTACCCAAGAATACCGCCCCAGATTTTCACCCTGTAGGAACTTCTCCTACCAAGCAATCACCTACTAAATCGTTCACACCTTCATCAGTCCATCGCCGGCTGAACTCGCTCCAAACACAATCCTCAAGCAATGTTCGGGAACTCTCCAACGTCTTCAACAACCAAATTGGTGGATCCAAGCCCACGAATGGTATCTCTACCAGTCCCTTCAAAAATGAAAGCCCGGTTGCGAAGAAGGAAAGGGAGAGGGATGTCTCGACAGTGTCGATTCCTCCAATGTTCGGTAGCGTCAAACCAAAGGCTGAACCGCCGATGGCTCGAATGCCACCAGCCTATGATGCTCCAGTTACGATTCCGAATACGGCCCCCCCGCCAGTGGCTACACCAGTCGTCCCCCTAACTTCCAACGGTGTCCCTGATCGCTTTTCATCCGCAATCAGCTCTGGGGATTTTCATATCTTGTCAGGGCAGCTCAATAATCTTCTCACAATCTCGAATAGCCTCCAAAAAGAGATGGCAAATCTCAGCAGGAGATCCAAAGACAATGCAATGGATTTGATGTCTCTCAAGGAAGCCACAAACCATAGAGATGAAGACATCAGAAAAAGCTTGAAGGATTTGGCTTCCGGACTTACCAGGCCCGGAGGAAGGCTTGCACTAACATCCACTAATGATACGCTGGATTTTGACAATGCTCTTACACGTTATGGGTCAGCTCCAGATGTTCACCGCAGCTTTGTGAGCGACGCAGAGGAGGTCTTGCGGCAGTCACATGCTAAGCGCAAGTCTATTGGCAAAGATATCCAAGCTACGATGGAAACTCATTCGACCGACCGAATTCTTAGAGAAATGGCTACCAAGGAGAGCCAACGGCGAGTTACTGATCTCCTTGAAAACATTCAAACCGAGGTTCTATCCCAGGGCAAAACTACGTCGTCCAAAATTTCCGAAGTTCTCCGCAATATCCAATCGGCAGGGCTTAGAAGCTCGTCACCTAACGCTGCTGTTCGGTATCCTAGCCATAGCCAAGAGGTTGACAATGATAATAGTCTAATCCTTGGTTTGCTCGAGGTCTTAAAGACTAGCATGGAGGAGCGAATGGATGATCTTCAGAATTCCTTGTCCCTTATCAACAATACACCCCCAAACGGCCTGGGAGATGTTTCAAGTCAGCTAAAACCCGTTGAGGATGCACTTCAAAATCATATCAAGGCCACAGAAGAAGTGAAGGATCTCATCTCCAATCTCCAGCTGACAGGACCTGGATATTCACCATTACCGATAGTCGAAAGTTTGAGTTCTCAGATCCGAGACCTAGCTTTGAGGCTAGAGTCATTGCCTGTGGACTCAAATATAGGAATTCTAAATGAGAAGGGGGCTGTTAGCACCATCGAGCTCAAGGATATGCTTAAAACGCTGATAGAAATGGCTTCCCGAAACGAGGCAGGAACCTACAAGGCTGCCGAGGTATTGAATCAAAAGTTGGGGGAAATCTCAGCGGCTGTATCTCGAGGCCCTGCGGTCCCCTCCAGTCCTCCCGGTGAGTCGTCGGCCACCGTACAAAATGCGGCCCTTGGGCTCGAGCCCACCCTTGCTGGACTAAAGGCCACCCTCGGAGACATGCAGGGTGACATCTGCGCTCAAGAAAAAGTCGTCGAAAAGGCTTTGGAAATAATTCTTCGTGAGCTCAACAAAGTAACTCCTACAATCGAATCGAAGATTGTGAGTGCAGATGAAATTGCCTCGGCAACCCAGATTAACCTTCGAGAAGACTTCGGGAATGTTCAAACAAAAATTGCCACTGTGGAAGGAACAATGCGAGATTCTATGAATGTGATCCAAACGCAACTCCAGGTCATCACAGAAAGTGCAGCCGCCGCTCAAATGTTTACCCCTCGAGGCGAGGTTAGAGAGGGCGAAGCCCCTCCTCCACGCGTTTTTGATGGCTCGGTCGCTGCGGTTAGTGCTATTGGCGCTATGGGGAAGGACCTCAAGCACACCATGGAGAACCTTCAAAGCGATATCAACGGCCGTGAAAGGGTCACTGAAAAGGCAATGGAAATTATCCTACGAGAGATTGCTACTATCAACAAGTCTGTCGGCGGAGTCCCAATGAAGATTGTTGATGGGGTGAGAGACGCTTTAGGCTATGGTGATGGAATGAAGCAAGCTATGCAGGACCTGCAAGCTGACGTTCTCGGACGCGAGAAGCACACTGAGAAGGCCCTCGAAATCATTCTGCGAGAACTCCAGACTGTCGCCGCCAATTTCGATAAGGCTCAATTGGCAATCGCACATTCACAGGAGCAGAAGTCTAGTGTGGTCAACCAAGCCGAAAAGGATATCAAATTCAACCTAGAGACTATTGTCACAAGAAGTAGCAGAATTGCAGACACAACAGCGTCGATCCAGGAAATATTGGAAGCGTTCCAAAAAGCTCAAACGGAGGCAAATGATAAAGTTAGCGACACCACTCAGAGCCTCGCTGGTTCGCTGGAAAGTTCGGTCAAAGCCCCTGTCGAGGAACTTTCCGCCCTTCTCAAAACCGTACAGGAACAATTCAAGTCAACTACTTCAAATACAGCCCAGTCAATCATCGAAGTTGCTAAGTATCTCGATACACTAGGAGATAAAGCTTCCACGAATGCTGAACAAATTGAGAGTGTGAAAACCTCAATTTCATCAGTACAAGAAAATATTCAAAACTTTAATTCATCGAACAAAGAAATGAATGCTACCCTCATCGAAAGGCTAGAGTCTATGCTTGCAGAGCTACAAGAGTCAGGCTCTAAAGCGATTGAAGCAGCAAAGGGTCCTGTGGAGGAAGAACTTGCTCAAGAGAAGGACGCCAACTCCAAGGTGATGGATGAGCTAAAGAGCTTGATTGATTCTTTGAAAGAGGGGTTTGCTCAGTCTGTTGTGACTACGGAGGCCCGGAACTCAGAGCTTTCGAAGCAACTAGATAGCTACTGCCAGAGTGCCCGTGAGGACCAGCAACAAACCCAAAATGACATCAAATCTGTCAAGGAATCCGTTCTATCACTTCAGAGCGACGATGGAACTCTTGCAAAAATTCTCTTGGCAATGAAGGATGTCGCGGAGTATCTAGCAAGGCCCGCGGCAGCGCCGACTGGGAAGATGGAAGGAAATCTTGGGAAAGCCGAAGGGGAAGATGCCGACATGGAGCTGAAAGACAATACAAAACTCGACGAGATCCTCAAATCCATGGTGACGAAGGAAGATCTTAACTTCGCAGAAATCCTCAAATCAATTCCTACCAAGGAGGATTTCAACTTCGCAGAGCTACTTCGGCCCATAGCGACAAAGGAAGATATTCAATTTGCAGAAATCCTCGAAGCAATGCTGAAAAAGGAGGACATCAACTTGGCCACAAAAGGAGATCTCAAGTTCACACAAATAATCGACACCATGGCTACAAAAGAAGACCTCAAATTTTCAGAGATTATTGACACCATGGCGACCAAAGAAGACCTCCAGTTCACAAAAATTATTGAGGCCATGCCAACCAAGAGTGACCTCAAATTTATGGAAATCCTCGACACTATGATGACTAGGGAAGACCCCAAGCTTGCCGAAATCCACTCTTCAATGTTGACAAAAGAAGATCCGAGACTAGACCAAATCCTAGAGTCAATGGCTACGAAAGAAGATCCGAGGTTCGGTAATATCCTTGAGTTGATGCTCAGGAAAGACGACGCAAAATTTATCGAAATTCACTCCTCTATGCTAACGAAAGACGACGTCAAACTTGCCGAAATCCACTCTTCTATGCTAACCAAGGAGGACCCCAAACTAGCGGAAATTCAAATATCAGTGGCTGGGCTTTCTGAGCAAATCAAATCTCTGACCTTAACGGCACCCGCAGGCCAAGAAAACGACAATGCTGTGAATTCCAAATTAGAAACCTTAATCAGCCATTCTAATCACCAGGCCAAGTTGTTTTCTCAGCTAAACTTACTAGATGACATTCAGAAGAAAGTCGAGGGGACTTCCTCCCAGGTGGGAGAGTTCATTACCAACCAAACGACGCTAATCCAGACGCATGCCGCTACAGAACGACACGCAGCCGCAGAAGCCACATTAGCGAAGGAGAAGGCATTGGCGGAGAGGTCCGTTGTTGAGGCGACAACTGCAGCATTGAAGGCAGAAGAATTGAACCTTCAAAATTCTATATGTTCTCTACGGCTCGATAACGACGACTTAAGCAAGCGAAAACATCATTTAGCAGCTGAACTATCAAGTATCGAGACTGCCCTTGCTCTTCGACGTGAGGAACTCGCCCTCCTTGAAGCTAGAGCCGAAACTCTTGAGAGACGAATGTTAGAAGGTGTTATCAATCAATCTCGATCCCTCCTCCTAGCAAAGTCTACAACTACTCCCGGCAAGCCACTTCGTCGCGTTATCAGCCCCCCTGTCTTTGGAACAACGAGATCTGCAAATGGCGCCTCTGGCCGTCGAATTGTAAGTATGAACATCGCAAATTCGGGGGCTATTATGAACAGCCTAGAGCCACAGAATCGGACACCATCCGGCAGTGCCATTTTCTCTGGGACACCGACTACTATACGCCGGACCCAGAGTGTCCGGACGAGTACCCAACCCTCACGCAAAACTAGCTGGTCTACGATTGAGCCCGTCATTCAGGATGAAAGAGGTGGAGAAAATAAGGAGAACGAATCAGCCATAAAGGAGGGGGGATCTCAGCTAGATACTACAGTATTACCTCTAGCGAAGATGGGGTCGGAGACAGGCCTTGCAACATTACAAACCATCGAGGATGATGATACAGATCGCTACGAATCAGCAGATAAGGCTGCGGTTCTTGGAGGCGACGATGTTGTAAAGGGTGAGAAACGGTATCCATCTGGGCTGAGTGCAGCAAGCAGGAGAAGTGATAGCGTAAGCTCGAGGGCTACTCAGGATGAAGAAGTTGATTGAAGGTAATACTCCTGGGTGGAGCTTGTTGGTTAATATTAGGCTGGATTCCATTAAACCTATGCCCCCTTCTTGTTTTTTCGTTTTATTGGTAGTGTTTGTTTTTGCTTTATTCTCACCAGCCTATGTTCTTCAATGATTTGGTTGTGGTTTCGTATGTTTTTCTTGAACTTTGGCGGCGTTTTACTTGGAACGCATGCTGATGGAATCGGTTCTTAAGGGTTGAAACTTGGGCTTTTGGCTTTCTTGTAATTTTTTCTCTCTGGCATAATTCGAGGGCAAACACGGAGTATCGGGGAAGCCTTTTAATGTCTACATAACATATGTGTTTTATCTTATGTGTAAAGGCTGTGTATTCCACGCGGTTGGTAAAGAGTATCTTCGTCGATTGGTGTTTTGCGTAGATCGGCTGGTCTGGTTTCTGCATCCCTTTATCTTGGAGGATTTTGGCGTTTATATACAGTGTTCCTTTTAGTGTATTATGATAGGCTTACGGTGTAAACTATGAATACGTTCGTGGAGATGTTATCCCTCAAAAATCGAAAGCTAGATTGCGTCTAAATTCATGACAGGTCGCTTGTAAGAAAAGCCGAAAAACGGAACCGTGCACACAAAAGGTAGAGTATGATACAGAGGGGGTAAGTAAAGAGTAAAAGGCAGAAAGGGAACGGATTTGTGGCTTTGTTTTGAGCATGAGATGATTGAGGCTAGAACCGATTGACCGTTTTGGATTGCCTCAAGACCGCCTGCCATTTTGCGTACCTCGTTCATTGTCATCTTCGTCTTCATCTTCGTCTTCATCATTATCCCACGGGGAAGGGCCGACGTAGCTCACATGATCATGATCATTTTTTCCAGCGGAGGCGTCTAGGGTATTAAGAAATTCTTCCGGGAGAAATGGTTGGTATTTTCTCTCTCTCTCCCGATTAACACCACCTAATCCAGCCCCAAATGTAAGTAGCATATCAGTCGACGTCGGGAGAACGAACGGTAGCATCAGAGCGGGATCAAATAAGAGATTCTCAGGTGCATCTCCACCATCTTCTTCCTGGACTGGTGGACCGTCTTCATGTTTTCCCGGTACATTCTTATTTGTACCCGGATTAGGTGATGCTGGCGAAGAGAGGGTCGGGCTAGTGACTTCTACATTCGATATGGAGGCTCGAAGCTTCCTCCTCCTATCATTAATGTCTAAACTCTGGCGTACGAGGAACCTCATACACTCTCTTGACAGTGTCTTTTCCCCAACTTCAGCACGGTAATGTTTCACTGAATGAAGAAGTTGCTGTGCTGATAGCCGGTCCATTTGGTCGATGGTGGATTTTAGCGACTCTAGGTCCTCGCCCATGGATGAGAAACACTGCAACCACTGTAGTAGCTGTATCACAGGCTCCAGATGCCTTTTCGATGCCTCCGTTGTTGTCTCTCCACTGCTGTGTAATGATCCTCCCTCGTAGTGCTCTGGCGATCGATTGTTTGATCGTGCCCAATCCTCCAGAACAGATATATTCATCCTTATTTGCATGGCCTTGGTCCTCGCGAGATACCTTCTGTTCGACATTATTCGATTGAATAGTTCAGCCGCCAGCCAGTAAAATAATTGAGATACTATCTGAGTTGCAATCACAGAATGGATGTCGTAGAGGTCCAGCACAAAGAGTGTCGATGATAACAGTGATGTTACCATTCTTGGTGAAGGTTGCGCCTTACGTTTGGGGCTAGGTGGTCGGAATCGCTTTACATTCATTGGCGGTTCAGGGTGGACTTTTTTTCGGCTTCTAAATATCCTCCATTCGTTTTGGAAGTGGATTTCTTCAAAGCCAGGGATTGTTTCATGGTCCAGCATCGAGGCATCTAGGACTTTGTCAATACGCCGTTCGGCATCGCGGACAATTAAGATATAGATCTCGTTGATTAATTCGGCTAGTTGAACCTGGAACTCAACCGTACTCCCTACTAGACCTGTGTCTTTCCGCAGATAGTGGAGCAACAGAGTGCAATTGGAGATCCAGAAAGCCAGAATCGTCATATCCCACTGATGCTCTTCCACAACGCTGTTAATCGCCTCCATAGACCTAAAGAGAAGTTTTCTCAGCAGCTCAGTATTACCGCTATAGTGAGCAAACCGGGCGCTAAGAAAGAGGACATTTGCAGGTATGGGTTTTTGGGACGGTGACCGTTGAGGGAGCATATTTGTCACGACGATGTCCATGATCCTAGGTAGGTCCCGTTCTGAGAATACGAACATCTGATCTGGTAAACATTTGTCCCAAACGAAATCCTCGCTGTCATCAAAATCGTCATTTGGGGGGGTCTAATCGTTATATGTTAGTAAGTAGTCGATCGAGCGATGATTTTATAGGTTTCGTAACATACGTCAGGCTGTTCGTCAAGTCCAAGGCTCGAGAGGTCGACCTCAAGATTTATGGAACTCTCCATCATCATCCGCCTCTTCATTTCATACTCTAGCATTTGCTCCTCAAACCTCTCCTCCGCCATCCCTGTGTCGTAAAAATCCTCCGTGATCCCGGCATTCCCGATGTACCCAGTTTCTTGTAGATAGTCAGACATTTCGCTGTGGGGTTCTACGAAGTCAAATGCTGTACCGCCAGATGTTGTTTTGATTTCTGAAGATGCCCCATGATCTAGGAGTATCTTTGCGATCCCTTTATGGCGATTGGTCATAGCCCATGTGAGTGAGCTCCACTTGTGGCTGTCTTGCAGGTTGACGTTTGCCCCTGCTGTGACAAGCAGTGACACTACCTCTTCGTGCCCCTAGAATAGCATAAAATAGTTAGAGAGGATTCCCATTACTGGGGTCTGGGTGTTTGGCAAACCCACAAAGCACGCGGCGTATATGAGAGGGCTTGAGCCTTCTTCATCCACAGCGTCCACATCAATATAGTCCCTAGCTCTCCCACTCAGTATTTTTCTCACCCTTTCCGGTTCGCCATTACTCGCTGCCATATTGAGCAGTTTCTGAAGCCTAGCCTTTTTCTCCTGCTCTGACATCTTTGAACTGTTGAGGATATCATCTTCGTTGATTAATTCAGAATCGTCTGAGTGGAAAGCAGCTTGGGCTGCTAACATGGACTCGAGCCGTTTGTCATTGTTTTCTCGTTCTTTCTCCTTTCGATCCTCATCGGAGTCGTGGTCTATATCCAACGAAAAGTTGAGCTTGGCAGGCATCGGTGTCGTAAAGTACTGCGATTGTCCTGTCAGCTCCGTAGATATTTGGTTAACATGGTAAAAATAAAATCGGCGGACATATGTAGAGGGGCGTGGCCTTATAAAGGGGTTGAGATTGCTGGGTACGTAATGCTAAAGTGGAATGTGCTTGTACGAGAGAGAGATGGAATTTGTAGCGGAAGGGAGGGGTTTAGGAACCTTGCCAGGCATCATACATCTCCCCTTCTTGAGCCTCGTATTGAGGCCGCCGCCTGTCGTCTAGCGACATAGGGAGATCCTTCGGAAGAGCTCTTTTTGGTTGCAGTGGACCCGGGCCTATATCCTCGTCACCACTGCTTCCTGTTTCAACTTTGCCCAAGTCCATAGTTATTCTAGGGACTAGGCGGCATGGATACCGAAATAGGGATGCGCTCTCTTTGGAGCTATTTTGCGTCTAAAATTACACAAGAATGGGACAGTTTCTATCGCGGGGACAGGGGCGTATCGGTTGTGAGGTTCTATCAGGTTTTGAGGGGTCGGCGATAGGAAATGGTGGTGGTGTCGATAGCGAAGCAGCAGCTACCGACAGTGAGTTGTGACTTGCTCAAATGGTTGACTTTTGAAGAGCTTGGCTTCACAGTAAAAGTGCAGTAGACATAGATGAAGGCAATCCCAACCGTTGGTAAATAACTCTAACCGCAGAGTATGCTTTCCCGGTCCTTTACAAATTACACTCTAGGAGGCCTCGAAGTTATTTTGCAACTTGCAGAGTATAGTACATGTGTTAGATAAATTGCCGCTCCAAACCGCTCGATAAGGTATATAAAAACTAGACCCCATAACTCCTCCCAAATGCATGAGCTCGAGAATAAAAACCAGTGATAGCGCAGTATTTGGAGTTCATTGGATGGTTTTTACAACCATCTTCTGGCGCTCGGGCGTTCTAGCCGACATCTGCTCTCCATTCTTGCGTCTGTTTTCGTCCTTCCTCTTAATACTCCCAAGCTGTACCTTCTTCGTCTCCGACATTTTCTTGATAGTCTTTGGAAGATGCCTATGCCTTGCTATCCGTCTGATCTCCGGCATATGTTGGTACCGCTTCTTCAATGCTTCGTCATACTCGAGTTTCACCCTTTCACGGGTGCTCCGGACGTGCGACCTCTCCGAGGCTTTGGCTCGCCATAAACGTATGTTTCCGTCGTCTGATCCCGATAGAACGTATCTCGCGTCAGGTGTAAACGCAACCGAGAATATACTAGGTACGAATGATAAAGTGTCAGCAACTCTTTGACATCTGGTCCTCCCGAAAAACAAAAAGGGTGCAACTGGTCAGCTTACCGCTGCATGCGCTTAGTGTGATAGATATCTCGGGAATGCCCGTGCTCCCGAACACTATATATTCTTAATGTACGGTCATAGCTTCCAGTGACCAACTCCTGCCCCGTAGGGCTATAGCATACGTCCATGACAGCTGCAACATGATCCTTCAACACGTTCAAAGCTCTCTCCAGCTTGCGCATGTCAAATATATAGGCATTGTGATCCTCATTTCCAATTGCTAGATTAAAAGGTTCGACAGGATTCCAGCTTATTGCATTTGTGCTCATGGTGGTGATGAGTTTGGTGACAGGTGTTGACATTCGAAGATCATAGAATACTAAGGATCGGTCGGCCCCTGCTGATGCTAAAATTGAGGTTTCGGTTGGGTTAAACCTGACAACATTTATACTGTCAGATCCCCAGTTGAGATTAGATGTTGGTTTGCTTCGCGAAATATCCCAAATTCCGATAGATGAGGAGGCTGTTGCAAAGACCTGGTCATAGCGGTGGTGGGTAATTGAGTTGAAAGAATTGGCCCCGAGGTAGGTCATCAAAGGTTTAATTTGATCCCCAGTAGATTTCCCCTCAAGTTTCGATGGGTGGTCCCACAATTTAATCTTTTGGTCACTTGCACAAGTCAAGAGCTTCCCATCATCGGAATAGCACATGTCCTTGACTACGCCATCATGTGCCTTAACAGAGTAGACTTCACTCCGATCCGTCATTTCCCATAGCTTCACCACACCATCCCCAGACCCGCTAGCAACCCGATTCAAAACCTTCGGATCGACAGCAAAGGTATAGACACCGTCGACATGACCATTTCCTAGCTGGCCAAGAAACGGTTGAGCAAAAAGGCGATCTAGTTTCGTTGCATTCAGCGCCCGGGTATACTCCCGTGCCTTTTCGAAGGGGTGGAGGGCTGGGTTAAGGTTTCTCGGGACGGGAGTAGAAGTGGTTCCTTGCGGAACATACGTAGAGGTAGATCGCGAAATAGCCTTGACCCTCTAGACATTACATTGGAATTGTTAGCACCTCAGACCTTAGATACTATCTTTTCCACAAAGACATGAAATAATCAAATTATTTGGGAGGTGAAGCTATTGCGACGGGAGAGGTCGGGGGTACTTACCATTTTCAGCAATTTGGGGTGGTGATGGTTGAGCTTCCGCGATATTGGGGATAGGTACTTGCATATGTCGAAAAGAAATCGGCGGAGTTTTTTTTTTTTCGCTTTCAACTTAATGGAGGGCCATGTCACGTGACAATCCGCTCCACAACCAGAAATTTGGTGTCATCCAAAGTCACGTGTTCTCGTGTCCTACATTCAATTCATTGATTCATTCCCCATAAATCTAAGTACTTAGGTAATTACCTGATATTTAGATACATTCAGAGCAGACCGAGTTCCCCCTCCCTTTCGCGTCCAGTGGAACAAGATGTTTCTTGACCACCAAACCCTGCCGCTACTCTCCTGCCCAGAGTTCCTCGCCATTGCTCCCTTCAAGAAATCGAAAGAATGTCAACCGGTTACCATCTCTATCCTTTATCGAAAACTGACGGAAGCCCCACTCCTGGTCTCGGATTTCTTCCACAATCTCGAACGTTTCGTCCTTGCTTTGGTTCCTCCTTGCCAAGAGCCCCGCATAAAGAGCCTCATGTTGCTCTGTTCCAAGGGCAAGCATAGCGCTTGAAGCACGAAACTCGGATTCTTCGCGGCAGAGGCTAAAGTAAATGTTTGAGGCGGCTTTGGGCCCTGCGAAAAGCGATGCAAAATGTGGCTCTTCGCTCCCAAGTGTGAACCCTAGCTCTTGGGTATATAGAAGCACGGTTGCATGAATATCTCGAGATTGAAAAAAGGGAATTATCTTCCACGCAGAGTCAACCATTGACTTGGGGTTGAATGGAGTAGCTGTCGCCATCTTCGTTATGTAAGTACTTGGGTAAGTAAGTAGGTATGTAGTGGGAGTACCACTCCGTGGGATAATTATGGTGTGATGCACGCACGATAGGTTGGGCTGCTTGTTCTAGCCTGAGTTGCCTGGGCACCGCAACCCCAAACAAACTATGTGCTTGCAAGATACTTTACTCAGGTACTGTCACCTTTCGATAGTTCTAGTCAGCTAACACCTCCTCGATGTCACCCCCTCCCACCATCAATCCGGGCCCTCCCAAGCACCGAATTAATATCTCATCTTCCAGCTAGCATGGGCATCAAAGGGTTCGTCTCCTCCCGTCCCAAAACTACCCAGTTTCGACATCAACTAATCACGAACTTTTTTTAGCCTGTACGAAGAACTTGGGGCTCCAGATAAAGTTCCTCTCGCGAAGTTGAGTATCGATCATTTTAAAAGGCACAAACGGCATATCCGAGTAGCGATAGATATTTCGATCTGGGCATTTCAGTCAAAGGCAGTTCAGGGCCGTAGTACAGGCTCAAATGCCCCTCTACGAGTCATATATTACCGCCTCTGCAGCCTGCTCTCCCTCAATATACATGCCGTTTTTGTATTCGATGGAAAGGATAGACCGGAGTTCAAACGGGGGAAATCCATATCTGGCGGTGAGGGCTACCTACTCGCATTTTCTAGGCGTTTAATCACCGCCTTTGGATTCCCTATCCACAACGCCCCAGGGGAAGCCGAAGCCGAATGTGCCTATCTTCAAAAACAGGGTATTGTTGATGCCGTTCTCTCCGAGGATGTCGATACCCTAATGTTTGGCTGTCGGCAGTCCTGGAGATCATGTGAAAAAGGCGATTCGAAAACCCTTGAGATCATGCAAGTGTACCAATCTCGGGTGATTAGGGATAAAACTGGCCTTACTCCAGCCGGGATGGTTTTGACAGCTTTGCTGAGTGGGGGTGACTATAATACCGCGGGAGTCGCAGGAATAGGAATGAAGCAAGCAGTCGCTGCCGCCAAGGCGGGCTTTGGAGACGAATTGCTTCAAGCATGCAAACTAGAAGCTTCAGACGGTGGCCATGCCCTACAGTTGTGGAGACAGAAACTAGAAACAAACCTTAGGACCAATCCAAACAAGATATTTTCCCGGAAACAGCCCAAGGCCAAAATCCCAGGAGATTTTCCTGACCCCAAAATCGTCAACTATTACATCAACCCCGTGATTTCGAAAACACCCCCGCAAATCAACTGGAACATTTGTCCAAACCTCGAGGCACTGCGAGAGATTACAAAAGCCAAATTTGAGTGGACCGGTAGTGGAAAGCTCATCAGAACTCTGTCCGAAAAGCTACTTTCATGGCAACTAGGGCACAATCAGCCCGGATCTGATTTACTGGTTCTTTCTATACATCAAAGAATATCCGGGCTGAAGGATGGCATGCCAAATAAACTGCGAGTTACTTTCACACCAATACTAGTAGTACCTTTACCATACAACCACGAAGAAGACAATGTGTACACGCGATCCGTACCAACAGTAGACGCAGAAGAACTTTTGGACGACCCAAATGGCTACACCGACTCTGACAAAGAAGATATCAGAGTTAATGGTGTAGCTGCAACTGAGTCGACCACAGGGAAGCCGGATCGATCCAGGATAGAGTATGATCCGAGGAGCAACCAGCGAATGTGGATTTATGAACAATTTGTCGCCCAAGGTGCCAACAGTCATATACAATTATGGGACGATAGCGAAGCAAGGAAGAAGGCTGCTAAATTAAAACAAGCGGAGGACAAGCTTCAGAAGTCTAGTGCTCGGAAAGCAAAAAAAAAGACGACCACGACTTCGAACCAACCAACAATACAGTCGTTCTTCCACCAGAAGAAAACCACCGTTAAAGTAACAAAGCACTCGGCTGCTAAGCTCCCGGCCTTGGGCCTGGGACCTAACAATCAAAAGGAGAATTCACGAATAGTCATAGATTTAGATTTGGTTGATAAGAATGAGGGGGAGGGCCATCCTGATCCAAATGACTCGCAGTCGAAGGAGAACCATCGAGGAAACAACGGTCGAATGAAACTTGAGAGAATAATCACTAGACCAAGCTTGCCAGGCGCGTGGAAGCTGACTGACAACGATGAAAATGCACTTTGCGATGTTAGCATATACGATCTGACTAATGATGACCCCCTATCTTGAGTTATGAGTTCTCCATTTCGTTTTGAAAACAATGTCGGTATTTAAGTTGGCCTTGGTTAGCTTGGGAGTTCGACACCTTGTGTGCGTCTAGTTTCTTGTTTTAGTATTTTCTAACATTAACAGGCGTTGTTCGGATGTATTTAAGTGTAATTTAGTAGCGCTTGCGCTGCCACCAGCCACCTTAACAGGACAGGTACATAAGAAAAAGTTACAGATACCTTCTACCTTTATGTAAGTACAGTCTGTTGTCTTCCACGGAAGAGCAATTTACCGGAATTTGAGGCCAGATCAGAGTCGCCGGGTCCGATGTATGAATTCGAAACCCGAATTGTTAAATGTCGGACGTCGGGGCCTCCCATGCTTCAGAAATGAAACCATCAAGTATGGGGCACCCAAGATGTTAGGAACCACAAGCGACCCAATTGCGATCCCCATCCAGGCGCAGCGCCGCCCACTATCAACCCCTCAAAATATAAATACTAGCCATTAACTCCCTTCCTACTTCCTTACGGAGCTGGAGTAGATTGCGATCCCATATCCGAATTCTAAAAGACATATCGCGCAAAATGGAGGCCCCGCCGACACCGTCCGGTTTTCGGACTGACAAGCCACTCCTTTCTCTTCTCAACATCGACCTCCTTGCCCAAGTTGCAGGTATCACATTCTTCCACCCGCTTGGTGCCTGGATGCTGCCACTCTCCTTACGGACCTTAACTTTTCAATGGCACCATCCCCCCATGTGGGGTTCAATGCTCTATGCAACCATTGTTACAGTAGCATGGCTTTTACAGTCGCTCAACCACAGACTAGCATATGGTAAAAATAGAGAATTCGACAAAAGCGAGGAGGTTCTTGTTATCACGGGAGGGTCTAGCGGGCTGGGACTCTTACTAGCACAAGTTTATGGCATGAGAGGCATGTCTGTGGCTATTCTGGATGTTAATGAGCCCGAAGTCGAAGTTCGAAACGTTGAATTTTACAAATGCGATGTTGGAAACTATCAAGACGTCCAGGCCGTCTCTAAGCAGATTATTGAAGACGTAGGTCGATTGCCCACCGCATACCCCAATGATCGGATTTCGTAATGTTATTCTGACGAAATACTTTATTTTCAGCTGGGCCCACCAAGTGTACTGGTGAATAATGCGGCGGTTGTTCATGGGAAAACAATATTGGATTTATCTGAAGACGAAATTCAGAGGTAAGTTCGATGCGATGACATATAACCAGATTGGTGTATTCTCGGCCAAGTTTCGGCTCGCTGACGACTAATGTCCATAAAGCACCTTCGGCAGTAATGTTTTGTCCAATTTCTGGACCATCAAAGAATTTTTGCCAGGGATGATCGAGGCTAAAAGGGGTACAATCGTTACGATCTCGAGTGTGTTATCACATATTGGCCCCAAACGCTGTAGTATGTGTGGCCCGAGAATTATAACCAAGAGATGTCTATGATGGCTAGAACTGACTGTGTAATCACAACTTTTAGGCGACTATTCTGCTTCAAAAGCTGCTGTGAGGCTACTCCACGAATCTCTTACCGCAGAAGTAGCACAATATGACAACATCAAGACTTTACTCGTCAGTCCCGGACAGATTTCCACTCCGCTGTTCGATGGTGTCGATACTCCATCCACCTTCTTCGCCCCAGTCCTAGAACCGGTAGACGTGGCAAAGGAAATAATGTCTGCAATCGATTCAGGTGCAGGCGGAAATCTCGATCTCCCTCTATACTCAAAGTGGATTGTGGTAATGCACACTCTCCCTGTCAGCATCCAAAGACTCTTAAGGTGGGTCAGTGGGTGTGACGATGCCATGAAGAACTTCCGGGGCAGAAATGCCACCGACAACATGAATGGTAAGAATTGAGGGGTCGAACGAGCCGGTACCTAGGTGTTTTTAGCTATTTATATTGACTTTGAAAACATTTTGTTTTCATGTATAGCGCATGCATGCTCTTTCGATCTTTTGTATTTTTATCCAAATCAAACTACCTAGGGGTGGATCATCGTGTGACTTCTGTCCGAAGCTAAGATGTAATATACCTATTAGGAGGTATATACATAAAGTGCTTACTTAGTACGTACGTATACGTAGATATTCTAAACGTACGCGTATATGGTACGTCGATATCTCCGTATCCTGAATTCGAAAGATTCATATATACATACATACTTGATACTTCATACTTCATACGTATACTAATAACCTCCTTGGGACACACTCATCTAAGCTACTTAAGTAAGTACTAGGCAAGCATTCATATTAATATTGCATTGCATTGCGTGTTGGCTATCCCCTGTTCACGTTGTTGATGTGAGTACCTATACTTAAGCTGTATCAGCTCAGCACCACCTCGACCCACCACAACCAACAGACCCTGTCACTTGACCTTCATCAACCACCCTCCTCGATCTCCCTTTATCCCACCACATGCCCCCGATACCAACCGTTTTAACTTACGCATCATAAATTCCCCGCTATATTCGAGAACACTCAACGCTCAAGACCGGAACACGTCCCCACGACCCGTGATTCTTCAACCTACCCCATCTGAGAATCACATCCTCTCCATACATTGCGTACATACATACATACATACATACATACATACATACCTACATACATACCTACATACATACGATCACGATGTCATCGCGTTACGAGGAGGCTAAAAATGCTTCCAAAACAGACCCCGACAGAGCAACAGTCTTGTATAAACAGATACTATCGGAGAACCCGGGGATGAATGAAGCTGCGTTGAAGGAATATGAGCTTGCTTTGATGGATCTTGGTGGTATCTATCGAGATAGAAGGTAAATATTCTTTGACAGCCATTCAAATACTGCGATTTTAATAGGACATTTCTAATTGCTGGTTGATCTCATCAATAGGCAGACGCAAGAACTTGCCGAACTAATTACCACGAGTCGATCCGTGATGACATCCTTTGCAAAGGCAAAGACCGCGAAAATCGGTATGGACCAACCCCCACAAAGAGCCACTAACTGTGTCATAACTGACATAAGCCCGCGTGTAAAGTCCGTCAGTTAGTTGACCTCTTCACCACCATCCCTGATACGGTTGACCTTCAGATCAGTGTCACAAAGTCATGTGTGCAATGGGCTATATCCGAACGCAGGTCATTCCTCCGACAGAACCTTGAAACCCGACTTGTTGCTCTTTATCTCCAAAAGCAATCGTATCATGAAGCTCTCACCTTAATCAACTCGCTCCTCAAAGAGCTCAAGAGATTGGATGATAAGATGGTTCTAGTGGAAGTCCAACTGCTGGAGTCTCGGGTCTATCATGCCCTCCGAAACATCCCAAAAGCTAGAGCATCATTAACCTCAGCTAGGACATCAGCGAACTCCGTATACTGCCCACCATTGATGCAGGCGAACTTGGATATGCAATCCGGTATTCTCCATTCCGAGGAGAAGGATTTCAAAACCGCATTTTCATACTTTATTGAAGCTCTTGAGGGATATGCATCGCAGGATGATACAGATAAGGCAGTGGCAGCATTAAAATATATGTTGCTGTGCAAGATCATGCTTAACTTGGCGGATGATGTCCATTCCATCATCACAGGGAAAGTCGCGCAACGCTACGCAGGAAAGGATGTGGATGCCATGAAAGCCGTCGCAAAGGCCCACTCAAACAGATCTCTCGCTGAATTCCAGCAATCCTTGATGGAATTTCAAGACCAACTCATCGCCGACAGCTTTATCAAATCCCATCTCCAGGCCCTCTACAACACGTTGCTTGAGCAGAACCTATGCCGGGTTATCGAGCCGTTCTCAAGGGTTGAAATAGCCCACATTGCCAAGCTAGTCGGGGATATGAGCCCCGCCAAGGTCGAAGATAAGCTCTCACAAATGATACTAGATAAGGTTATCAATGGGGTTATTGACCGTGGAAGCCAGTGCCTTATCATCTACGAGGAGACACAGAAGGATAAAGGGTTTGAGGCTGCCATTGAGACGATCAAGAAGCTAAGCACCGTTGTGGACGTGCTGTATACAAATCAAGCCTCTCAGTTGGACTAGTGGGAGGGGGGCTAGTATTCGGATGTATAGAAACAGCGAGATCAACGTAATAGAGCAATATGATCAGATATCCTCCTCATTTGTGCATAAGCCATCTTTCTCAAGTGTAACCTGGGGAGGGAATCGATAAGTGACCCTTGCCCCCTCGTGAACGGAAACGAGGTCAACGGTGGCATTCTGTCAAATCTCTTTTGGGGATTGCATGGATATCAACATATCATCCATGATTCTATTCGCAGTATCCGCCACCATGATGTCTTGCCTAAACTTTGGCTGGCGAAGAAGGTCCAGCGCGTTCAGCGTAAAGGAAGGGTAACTACTTAACATTGTTAGCGTCAGGATTCAAAATCAGGCTTTCTGTCAGACAGCTGCCGGCACTTAAAGAACAAAACACCCACCTTAAAAATTTAACATATTCCGGTTGCCTCCAATAATCTAAATACTCCAGGTACTGTAGAAACGCATCGTCTTGTAGATACTTTCCCTGTGCAAGATAGTTTAGATAGAACGGATTTGCAAGGCATTGGACGAACTGTCACGAGAATTCTGACTTAGTTTAGTGATCAGACAAGAACGCGCACACGGGTTAAAAGCTGGTTCAAAACCTACTTCAAGTTCGATTTCAAACCGGGCTTTATCATCCGGATTAGTTAGAGCAGCCATCCTAATAATCCCGCTGGCTAGTCGCGTGCTTTGGAATACTTTGGTGGGTTTCACGGGGGAATATCGACAGGTGTCAAGCGGATAAGAGCTACGGAGAGGACTGGGAGCTATTTTGGTCCCAGGACGCAACACAGACGGGCTAGCACAGAATCTAGGTTTATTTACTCTACCTATACCTAAGCAAGCCCCTATTATGCAGTACGTTTATTTCACACATCAATATAATAATATATAGACTTCCATATAGAAGATATGATATGCATTAAATCCATTCACGAGAACATGTTGTGAACAAGCAGAGCCATTTGATTCGATTCAAAGAAGAAGAGAGGGAAAGAGAGGGGAAGGTAAGAGAGCTGGGGGAAAGCTAGGAGAGGAGAGGAAAATAAGGAAAGGAAAGGAAAAGACAAGACAAGACAAGGCAAGGCAAGGCAAGACAAGAAGAAAGAAGAAGGAGAAGATAATGAATGAACCAAGTTACTATGAGCGGAACCAAGCTTGGATGCATCGGCACCTTCAAATTATGCCGAACAATAGCCACAAGGTGCTAGATTCCAAAAGGACAACCAATCTTCCCAGTTATACCAAGACCACCGTTACCCAAAACTAGCCTCGTTTCTATTCGGTTTTGGTTGTATCGCTCTTAGTAATTTTTTGACGATCCTGGTAGACACTGACGAGTTTCCCAGTGATATCACTGGCATAGGCCTTTGCTTTGGCAGAGTAGTCAGCTGTGTGCTTCTCAGCCAGCCCTCGAGCGTTCTGAAGCTGGTCGTTAGCAGCGGCGGATGCCTGGCGAATGTGGCTATCAATAAGCTCTTGGTTTTGGAGATACAGCAGGGGAACTGTAAACAGAAGGACATCGGCTATTGGATCTTAGGTTAGTATGTGACCTTTGCTCTTCATGCAGTAAAAACGCATACCGAGGATCAATAAGCTCCAGATTGGCATAAATTTGACCAGGAAATATCCGATCAATGAAAAAACAAATGACGCAATGGTGACTGTCAGGTTTTCGACAAAGATGACTCGTTGGAATTCTAAAACAATGAAGTTTAAAAATTCATGGATCTCGGCGAAAACCATTTCAAGGTTTTCACGAGGGATCGTATAGTATTTTGCTGGGCGAACCTGGGTCATAAAACCGGTCCCTGTCGTTGGTCTTCCAAGATATTCGATCGCAGCCGTAGCTACGTATAGAGATTAGTATACAGGCGCGCCAGGACTTGTAGAATACCTCCCATGGACTTACCGGCAAATGTAATATATGCAGCCTTGAATGCATATCGTAGAATGTTCACATAGTGCCCAAGCAGGAAAAAAGCTAGGGACGACGCAAAAAGCAGGCCAGTAGTTCGAGGATATTTCCACTACGGAATATTTTATTAGCTCTTTTTCTAGGAACGTAAGCCGAGTTAGACGTACAGTGAAAGTGTCGTAGAAAAAACTATGGAAATGTGTAACCGTAGGATCTTTGGATGGTGTGAAGGGATTTGTCTCGTTCGCTTGGTCTATGCCATGGAGTGAATTAGTTTGTTAGTATTGAGGAGGAGTAGTAGAGTTCCGGCGAAGGCTGGCTTCAAGCTCGAGTAAACTGTATATGGAGAAACCGATGTGAGCTGAGTGTTATAGAAACCAAAATAAGATTGTTAAAGCAGAAGAATCTAAATGAATATTTTCATACCTTACTAGGACTGACGTCAGTGGCGATGGGCTCTACCGTAGGATAAGGATTCGCAGATTCGTCAGACATGATGGCGATGATTCAAGTCGAGTTGTCTTGGGTTTTGATGGAAGACGACGATACGATACGATACGATACGATACGATACGATACGATACGATACGATACAATAGACGAAGTTGTGTCGAGAGATGAATTTTCTGTGGGATGTTGAACTTGGGAAGCAGAAAACAACAGATATGCTGGTAAAGTATGCAGCCACGGGTCACATCATTCGATTCATCATAATATACCACCACCTCCCGACCTAACTCTTACACGGCAAGCTTAAGTATTTATCGAGACTAGGGTAAAACTAAGAAAGTAGGTAACTATGCAGTGCAGTGCCCAAATCGGAAGTCTCGAATAGATTCTCTATTCCAAAACTACTTCGACTTGTACATGTTACTTTTCAGGTGGACAGCGGGCTTGTGACTTTCTGGCACAACCCCTCCACACACATACATGTACACAGGGTCAGCAGCACCACATGCCAAATCTCACGACACCGATCATTGCGATGGTTGTGGACGGTATATAGTTCCGGTTTTCTACAATAAAAGGGACTAAACTACAATGTATACTCCTGAAACCAATCAGAAACATACAATCTACTACCGTGAAGAGTTCCCGCAAGTCAGATCAAACTACAATGCAATCTCGAGAGGTAGTTACAGGATCGCTTCCGATTTTCGTTATCATCTAACTAACCCTTAAGCGACAGAAAAAACATTTTTTTTAAAACAAAAAAAAAAAAAAAAAGCAAAATCCACAAACGTCACAGTTGCACAGGCCAGAGACTTGGCGATGTGGGGTATTTCCGGCCGTGCCCTGCCAGGATGCATGCACAGAGCGCCTCTAGGTCTAGGTATGTATGTACGTATACTTATTTTGCATACCTGGAAGTATATACTTCAGTACTAGGTAGTAAGTACTCAAGTAAGTATCTGCTAACCGCTAAGAAACATAAGCAATCTTCAATTATGTGACAAGCTCTTTGCTTCTCCTCCATAGTTCGATGTCCTTTAGAGTGATCTCACGGAGCGTATTGACACTCGCAACGTTTCCGGTTACTGCACCCTTCGCAACTTCGAGTGTGCGAGTAATACTAGCAGCATGGGCAATGGCGTATGTTGCCGTTAGTGCCCTGACTTTGATAACGCCCAGTCTCTATCACATCACGAATGAAATAATTTCGGCTGGTTAGTTCAAGCCACTCCATTCTAAATGTCATTGGCATTCTACATGCTTACAGGATCTTTGACCGAACCATCGTGGACGCCGTCGCCCAAATCCCCAACCCAAGCTTTCAAAGTCGAGGAATAGTGTCTAAGTAGGTTCGTTTTTTAAGTCAATAAACGTATATGTCAAATAGTCACCTTCTGGTATGAGCTCACTTTTTAACCTCCTCGGTGTCCTGAATAACTTGGGCAATACCGCTAATTGATGCCCAATCCTGACCCGTAAAGTCAGCTGCTCGGCCGCTATAGGATGACCAGAGATGCCCAATAGAAGAAATGATACTCACAGAGTCCCTCAGAAATGAGATGTTAACGTGTGGGTCATTGTTCAGCTCGTCTGATTTCCCCGTTGCTGTGTTCGTATGGAAAACAAGGTCGATGCCGTTCTCGGTACCAACTATGGCCATGCATCTGCTCACTAGCATTCCGCTGGCAGCGTCTCTAGTAGTCATCATACCGAGTTTGCATTTGGTTATAAATTCAATGAGACCATTTACTTTCCCCTCGACCGATGTTTCTGTGTCGAGATTCTTTTCCTTGTAGGGGTCGGTTGGTTTGTCGTTGCTGGGTCCCGAAAGAGACATCACGGAATGATAATGATGTTTAATCCTTTATTTGAAAGAATCTATTAGCCAGTGCCGACTTGAAACTTCTTATCGGAGCAGTGTATGCCTGTAAAATATGGGAACCAGTGTTTTTGTAGTTGTTTGAATAGTAGGCCGTAGGGAACAAAGGTCAAGTATATTCTTGCTTGAGCAGATATCTACCAATTCCTCTCAAAGGCCTAATAAGATACCATTTATATTCCTTCATACCCATCCACCTAGAAATGTGCTTGGCTTTTTAGAAATATATACCATATGTACTAGGTGTATTTATTGGATTTTACGTCAGTCTGATATAGTATATCTGCCGACTTAAGTAATTTTCTTATTATCTGTTAACGCCTTTCTAGTTTTGTCGCTTTGTGATGTAAGGGGTAAGTGACGTCAACTCCGTATGACATCCATCAATTAGTGTACACCGTAGACGCCGAGTTAAAATAAAAATCAATGAACTACAATAACAATATAAACCAATGAGGGTTTTCAATGCATCACGTCCTGGGTCAAAACTCTCAGCTTGCCGGACCGTTTTAATACAAGGCTAGTGAAAACTAAGCTCTAAGGATAGTTAAAACCGAGCCAAGCTATTCCGTCTCAATGGCCTCAATGGCCGCAATGGCACGCTCAGCTTCATCTTCGAATAATCTCACAAGAAGCTCGCCTTTTTGTACAAGCTGCTTCTCCGCCCGTTTCGACACATCCATAATCCATTCGGCAACGGTCATGTCACGTTCAGACACAGGCAAACCTCTTGCGTGTAGCTGCATTTCCTGATTTTCTTTTAATCCATCGATATAGAGTTCAACATCTGTTGATTCCCATGGCTTCTGTGACTGAACTGGAGCAAATGAGATGTCTTCCGCTCGGGTTCGGGGAGTCATTAATGCCAATGCTCCGTTACGTGATTTCGATAGAACAGAAAGCGGTGTGCGCGATTGCTTGGGGGACATTATGACTGACTGTTCCCGAACATTCTCAACCGCAGAGGCATCTTGTTTCGTTGGCAATGGTTCTTCGGTTTTCTCTATAAAGCTCACGCCTTTAATGGACCCCTGGAAGCTAGTTGCTACCGTCATCTGAGAAGTAGGCATCGAGAATTGGGTGTTCTGGATACTATCCAAAGACTCATTATCGCTCGATATACTAGGTGAAGATGGGGTTTTATCGGTCTTGGATTTTGGTGCAACATCCGCATGAGACGTTTTCTTAGGGGATGGCTCATGCGGACGCGCATAGCCATTCAGGATAACATCGATGGTATTATCTTCAGAGGTTGATCCTGGAATTATTGTTGACTTTGCTTCTCCTATGCCGCCGATAGCTTGATTACCTCCATAGTCGTCCATAATCGTCCCCTGTTCTTCCACAGTAGAGTCTTCGTGACTAGATGGCACTTCGGCTTGCGCTGCACTCTCCTCGAGGGCTGTGCTGGGAGTGGAATTATGGGGAGGCTGCACGCCCAGTAGTAACACAGGGTTGTCGGGTTCCTGGGTTTCTGGCGCATTGTCTTTCTTTTTGAGGTTTACTCGGGGCTTCGCTGCCTTAATTGTCTTTACCATTTTCCTCTTCTTACTAGTCCGCCTGTCTTGACCGTCATCCATCACTACATCAGATTTTCGTTTCATGTCCTTATCCTTAGTGGGAGAGATCGATGCGGAACGAGTCTGGGCAATTTGGGCAGACGCTGTTTTCTGGGGACCCTGGCTGCTTTCTTGAGGTGGGTTTTCGGATTCCTTGGCAGCAGAAGGTATCTCGACAGCAGCCTCAGCCGATAGCGAACCCACGGTTAGAGCTGTTCCCGAAATCTTCGGCATAGGCCCTAGCTCTAAATTTGGGGGTGCAACTTCACCCTGCTCGGAGATTGGAGGTTGGACTTGATAGTCCGAGAGGGCCTCATGGCCCCCCGCTTCACCTGATGAGGTAGCGTCACCAGGCACGTCGTGGGGACTCGGAAAGATTTCTGGTGCGTGTTCGATACCATTGAGTTCTTCTAAACTAGTGACATCTTCGGACACCGATTGGGTATCCGTAGAGTCCGAGGTTTGAGGCTTGGTCCGTGTTAGCCTTTTGCGCCGCGGTTTTGGTTGTGTATGTAGTTGACCCTTGGGAAGGCCACTTGAGACAGCGCTAGGAGGGCTTCGAGGTATTGGCTTTGTCTTCGTCAATCTGTGGGTGGTATTTTTGTTTGACTCTTGAGTGATACCGGACTCCATAGGCTCATTAGAATCGCCTAGGTCCTCAACATTAGGAGCAGGAACTAAGGAATCCGCTTCTTTCATATTGTCACCATCTGCCACCCCGAATCCCTCCGTGATCTTGCGCTCTAGCTCCCTATCGACCTCTTCGTCGCTCGGGCGATGAACATTTAGAGGCGTTTTTGACGTGACCTTTTTCGCTGCTCTTCCTATTTTAGCCCCTGTAGCTGATGGTTGGGTGGCTCTCTTCTTTTCTCTCGGCTTTAGTTTCATCGAGGTATTGTGGCAACTAGCGGACTCTGCATCGCTATCATCCACGCCGGCGGCGCAGTCTGGGACGCGAGCAGTAGGGTTTGAGGCCGAGGGCTGGTTCGCCATACTGGCCCTTGTAACTCGACGCTTAGTCAAGCGGGGGTTCTGGATTTCTTTACCCTCGGCAAGAAGCCGCTGCCTGTCCACGACCTTGGTTACTTTATCTTCCTCGTTCGAAAATAGCAGCTTCTTGCCACCTTCCTCCATCGCTGCACTCCCTCTTTTTTTCCCACGCGCTAGCTTGCTTGATTCCTTTATGTCGTCTTCATCCCCAACTTTAGAGCCTATATCATGCTGATTATCGTGGTCTAACTTATTCTTAGGGGTTGTCTTTTTTCGTTGATTTGTGGGGGTCTTCCGGGCACGGGAAACCCTTCTCCTCGGTCCGGACTTCTCTTCCTTAACTTCTCCAGCGTCAGTTGGCTCAACAAGGTTGCTTTCTTTCTTCTCCTCAGCGGTGGAAACCGAATTGTTTGTATGCTGTAAAAATAAACAGGTTCCTGACCCCAATGAATTATGTGCTTCTCTTTTAACACAGTTAGTGCTTAAGAACTAGCTGGCGAATATCAGATGCACTCACCTTGGATCGTCGTCCTTTTCCCACGCATCAATGGACAGTGAGCAATAAGGACAGAAAACCGTGTCATCGCCCTCGCACCGGGGCCTGAATATGAAACCCGCCATTACAACCTTCGATGAGGCAGGTTAGCCAGCCCACATAAAATTCTAAGTTTTTCGTCTTTCAAGCTATCTACCTTTTCCACAGTTGGGATCCACCCTTTTTTATCATCGTGGGGCCACCACTGATCAAATGTCATCCGCCGTGCTCGACACATTTCCTCTCCAAGAGGCTCAGCAATTATCTTCCCATCCGCGACCAAATCCCGGCACATTGTGAGCGCCCATCCACATGTAGTACCATGCCGGCCATGTTGCTCAGCCGGATCATCTTCTGTTTCCCAGAATGACATGTTTTTCTGGCACAAAAAGCATGCAGAATTATCTTCTTCGCCTTGCGTCGGCTTAAAATAAAAACCAGCCCGAGCCATCTGTCATCCCCGTTGGAACTGTTAGTGTGTTATGACGAGTGAGTTCCCGGGAACCATAATCTTACCAGCTCTGGGGCAGGGTGGCCTGCCGGCCAACTCCATTTTGTAGATTTTGACCCCTTCTTTGAATTGGACTGCCGTTTACGCGTGGGCGGTGAAGTGAACGATCTAAGTCGCTGTTCCTCTGTGAAGTATTGTTTCACGCCGATGAAGTTTACCGTGGGGGGCAAGTTCTCATCCGGATCTGGGCTGACGGGTTCTGCTGTGACAGGCGTCTTCCGGACATTATTTTGCTGCCGTGTCGAGAGCCTACGACTCATGTTGAATATAAAACAGTGGCTTCTATTTGGGAGGGGTGGAACGAGCTAGGTGTTCGTAGACCGAAGCTGGAAATGTAGTCAACTGCTCTTTATTAGAATATGATTCGAGGGTTGGCGAGGACTTGTGTTTGTTAGGGGCACCTACAAACAACGCAAGCGCGCGTTGTTGTTGTTTTTGTTGTCATCGCTTTGGTGTTTTGGTGTTTTGGTGTGAACACAACTGTTTTCGGAATAGTGCACATCCTCGATTGTCAAATACCACGCCTACAACGCATAATATCGATATATATCGATTATTGCCAGAATATTGTATATTATAGCGATCCCACCCGAAAGGAAGGGCAATATTGTCTCCACCCCCAAGTTTTTTGTTTTCGTGAAACGGTTTACTACAGAGCCACCTAGTACTACTTTTTCCATTGCTGATTAGACATCTTTAAGGCTTTATGTTAATAGCCATTGGCCATCATGTGTATACGTATATAGTATACACACAGATCTGGCTGCAGAGCACTCTTCTACTCGAGAGCTTTAAAATACATGTACAGGCCACTCCGAATCTCCGTATCTCAGCTCCATTAGGATTTTTGCAGCCTGGACTTCTGCCTCTTGTTGCTCCAGCGGTGATTCGGGGTACGAAAGCCGGGGAGGCATCCATAACCCTTTACAGGTTGTAAGGTATTGTTTCCATGCATCTTCAATGGGTGGCAACTTTTCCTGTCTATCAGCCCTCACTACTCCCTCTTCAATATATATTTGCCACTCTACGACTGCTTGTTTTGCTTTGACTGCCTCGACAACCGAGCTTTCAATTTGAAGTGTCTCTTCGCTCCCGTATCCTTTCCCATCCGATAAAATCTTGCTACGCTCCTGTTCACATAGTGCTGGGAAGTCATTTCCAAAAATCGGAGAAAGGGCCTCGCGGATAGTATAACAAAATCGAGAGCATATGGCCTTTGCCGCAAGGTATGGTATCCAAAATCCTATAGTAAATATTGAGGTGCGTTACTAATATACTCCTTTCGTTTGTCCCGGGACCTGCTTACCCTGCGCTTCGATGTTGCCGCCGGTTATGCTAGCGTAGCAGTCATTGAGACCATTCCTAGTTACGCAGCGGCGGGGTGTGTTCTAGTGATACACCAAGAACCAATTTTGTGAGCTGCCTCGCACTGTTTCAACTAACAGTAGGGGAAAACGTCTAATTTTGTTCCTTTTGCGTACCTTTTTTCTCAGAGCGTCAAACTCCGATGACTTGAACATAGGACTGATCCGAACATGACCTGTTTCATAGTCCCATAGTACTGAATGGACTATCTCTCGTCCAGAATCATGGTCTTGGGTTACGAAAGTATATTTGTGAGCTTGGAATACGAACGTATCTGTTAGCCAGTTTAAACGTTTCCAATATCGGTAGTGTTTATCATCGGTTATAAATTAACGTGTAAATTCTGAAACTCGATACATACCACGCAAGTCTGTTCTTTTTAATATGTATTTCAGATCTCGATGGAAAGTCCGGTAAAAGCGTCCATCCTTGCAATCAGTGTCGTGTGTATCGGGGCTGGGCGATGGAAGCTGGATTCTGAATGCCTGGTGGGACTTTCGTAGATCCTGGGTCTGGGGAAAGTAGTATGGGTAATTGACCTGATTCTCTTCGTAATTGAACCCATCCTTTCGCTCGTTTGCCGCCATGCAGATATGTGTCGTTGCCATCACTGTGGTACTAGTTATAGTAGCGTAGTAATACAATGGCAACAAATTGAAACCACCGTGACGCCCTAGATTGATTGATTGTTTGCTTAAGGGCGGATGGCATCTAGAGCTTCAGAGCTCACCGACTGAACGCTATGCTCTCTAAATCCACAATCCAACATCTTCATTTGCTCACGCGAGATATCATTCATCTACTAGCACTCATAGCAACATCATGTACTAAAGCTCCTTTGTTACATTTGATGGCTATTGGTGCATGTACGTACTCTCGTACATTTTACTAGACCATCATCTAAAAACAGGGTTTGTAGCATATATAATGTAAGGTATATTTCAAAATACTTAACTACCACGGAACCAATCGTGATATCTGCTACCGGGTAGATTTATGGTGCATGTTAAGCTTGCAACCCCTCAAGCATCCGTTTTAACGGGTTCTTTCGAACCACAAGATTCTAGGAGCGGTAGTTATAAGCCTATGGAACAATTCTAATTATTTACTTGGATGGATCTTAATGGCACGGAGTGAAGTTATGATACATTGACATGTGTTATCTGTAGTTGGTAAAAACACTCTAAATATACAGGTGGTGCAGAATTGACAGTCAATTCGTAGCAGAGCTCCAGGAAACATGCAGAGTGGACTTGCCCCAATTGACCAACGTGAGGGGGTGCTGGTGGCCACGGCTAGCTTGGGTTTCTGAAGGGAACTGGGGTTGCAAATCGGGGTTGAAGCGACATGATGGGTATATTGTATGTACATTGTGACTGTCAATGAGAGACTGACTACATGATGTCCTACGATACTCTCGGTACTAGAAAAACTGTAATCTTGTCATCGTACAATTCTATGGCAGAGCAAAGCAATTTATATTGCGATATTTGGAGCGCCCAGCACGGCTAAGATAAGTAGGGAATGAGAACTTGCAAAGTGCCGGGCTTTCCCCCCCCCCGTCTTTTTTTTTCTAGCGAAATTTTGGAGGTATACGTACGATATAAGGGGCCTTATTATCTAACAAAGCACAAGCATGCGAATTATATGGTTTGCCTCATCTTCTGCGCGTTCCCGTGCAAGCAGTATGTAGAAAGAGGAACACCTGGCTACGTATGACACACCACGCTAAACAGGCAATGCCAAACTTTGTGTACTATACGGAAGGACACCCTTGGGAGCTGTTTTGCTTTGAGTGGGATCACCTCCAAATCTCCTGACAGATAACATCAAGCTAGAACGTCCACCAGGCTGGGGAAAATTCTGTTACTATGAGGCTAGATATAGATGACTACAAGGGAAGCCAAGCGAAAAGCCTTGGACCGACCAAAATAGGTACAAGAAGACCGACGAAAACATGTAAGTACAAGGGAAAATTAATTTGCAATGGAGCCCAAACAAACATCTAAGCCAAAGTTTTATCACTCCTAGTCCTCCTCCTCCTCGTCGAAGTCGGATTGTGCTTCTTCCTCGGCTTCAGAAGCACTTTCTTCATCCGAGTCGAAGATATCTGCGTATTTCGAGGGCTTGGCGGCGGCGGCTCTCCCTGGCCGAGCCCTAGGGGCTACAGGTTCAGGGTCACTCTCCGAGTTGCTATCAACTGGAGCTAGTTTACGGGCAGGTTTGACGTCCCCATCCGTTTCTTCGTCACTAAGGTCGATAATTCGTGATTTTTTGGTAGCTTTGGCTGCCTTTGGAGCACTTAGAGCGAGATCCTTCTTCTTTGCGGCCGCTGGACGCCCGCGTTTCTTTGCGGCCTGCACCCTCCCTGCTGTAGGTTCGTCGCTGTCATCTGAGCTTGCTGGTTGCGTCTTCTTGGCTGCTGGCTTGTTGGCAATATTCTTCTTGCCAGCTATAGAAATCTTCCCTTTACTTCTACCTATAGGGCTACCTGCATCGGAATCGTCTGTAATTGAATTTATGTGTCAACATAGATATTTAAATATACGTATCGCAAGGTCTACTCACCCTCTTTATTTTGTCCGGGGTCATCTTCCATATCGTCATCTGAAAGATCAATGATCCTCGGAGTCTTTGAAGTTACTGTTCGTGCCCCCGCCCTTTTTACGGGTGTGTGATTTTTAGCATCATCATCGCTAAAATCGAAGATGTCTTTGTCTGACTCTTCCTTCACAGGTTTAGCAATGAGCGGCGCCTTTTTAGTGACCTGAAGAGTGGTCTGCTTTAGCTTTGGTGCGGCCGGTTTTGGCGCGGCCGGTTTTGGCGCGGCCCGAGACTTTTTCGGTTTGATAATAAAATCATCGTCTGAGTCTCCATCCGAACCAGTGATCAGCTTTTTGGCGGCGGCCTTGCCTGCAGTCGTTTTGACCTTTCTAGACTTCTTGAGGGCACTACGTTTGGTTGCTCGCTCCTGGTCTTCCTTCAACTGTTTGTACCATTCTTCCATAAAAACGTCGAGGTCCTCTCTCCACAAGTCCTTTGGCGAACGCTTAGCAAGAGTGTCGATTTCCCCCTCCTTGGTTCCGCATTCGGCTAGTAACTTCTCCACTTTTTCCTTGGTTAAAGACCAGATGGGCATCTGGTTTGGAGTCAGTAAAACGTAATTTGGACTTTTTTGTAGGTATACATACCCCCAAAAGATAATTAAAGCCGTCGCCGACATCATCTCCTCCCGTGATCTCTTCGTTTTCTTCGACAATGGGCTCAGTTTCCCCAGATTCTTCGGCTTCCTTCTTGTTTGAGATTACATCGAACTTTTGCGATCGAAGTTCCGCGATAAGAACGGCCCTTTTTTTATTTGACACCACCAGCTCTTTCTTGATGATCATTTGAACAAAGCGGGCTTGATTTGTGAGCTTCCTCAGCTGCTTGTTTAATTCGCCGAGAAGGTAATCCTATAGGTTCTGTTAGCAAGGGCCAGATGCACAAGAGCCTTTTTCTTTCGTCTCTCTCTTCCTTATTTCGCGGTCGTCTTACCTTGCGGGATTGGTAAAGTTTGAGCCGGACAAAATAGAATTCTTTAAGAATATCTTCGGGGGTTTCGTATCTCGTGAGCCTACCTTGGGCATCGAAAGCGACCATGTTGGTAGTACTGGCAGTTTTGTTAAGTTTGAAGCGGGTTTCCAGCCCTTCCTTCAAGGCTGCTTCCATGGACGCCTTTGAGTCCAGCTCTACTATAAAATGAACTCGAAGATCAGAATTATAATCGAGATAGTCTTTAATCCAGGCCTTTTCCACCTTCGTTACTTTTTTGTCCTTGTCCTTGCCGTCCTTTTCTGGGGGTTTGATGATGTCATCGAGTTTTTCTTTGAACTCCTGAGTCCAAAGTCGGACTGGTAGCTCTGTAATTTCAACGGTGGTGTCATTTACTTGGTTGATGATACCAGAGAACTGGTATTTTTCGGGAGTTAAGCGCTCAAGCCGCCCTTTGAACCCGCGGTACCATGGCTGCATCGGTTCGAGGTCTTGGTCATCGAGAAGACGACGGATGTTCATGGCTACGTCCTCCGGATTGTAATTAGGGATGCTGGAACTCCACCCAGTGCCGATACCGTCCGATCCGTTCATGAGGATGAGGGGTAGGACTGGGGCATACCAGTTGGGTTCAATCTTGTCTCCATCTTCATAGTTGTATTCAAGGATGGCATCGTCAGCCGCTGGAAATAGTGCTCTGGCGAATGGCGATAACATCGTGGAGATATAACGAGCGCTCGCTGCATCTTTGCCACCACCCAAACGTGATCCGAAGTTACCAATGGGCTCGAGTATATTGACATTGTTGCTGCCAACAAATGTTTGGGCTAAAGCGATGATTGTTTGAGCGAGAGAGACATCACCGTGCTGATAATGTGTGTGATCTAAGACGTAGCCAGCGAGTGATTGAACTTTGACTTCTTTCGAGAGCTTTTTCTTGAAACAACCGAATAAGACCTTCCTTTGGCCCGGCTTTAAACCATCAATTGCGGAGGGGATGGAGCGTATGTTATCGGCCATTGAAAAGAGAATCAATTCTTTGTTGATAAAATCATCGTACGAGATCTTCTCAATGCTGTGATCGAGGTACACGCCGGGACGATATTGTCGAAGCCATTCTTTCCGCTCTTCAATCTTTTTCTTCGAAAATACCATATCAATGAGACCACGTTCCTCGAGTTTCATGCTGTGGAACTCCTTCAGATGCTTGTCCAAATCCGAGAAATATTCCTTTGCTTCGGCACTTGATGAAGTACCCAATCCTTTGTAATACTTTGTTTGCCAGCCCTTTTCAGTATTCGTTTCCTTCCACTCTTCGTACTCGGGCATGGTGAAGAACGCTCGCGATTTTGTAGGCTTTGTCACGACGCCCTTATATGCCTTCACAATTGGGGTTATAAATTCGAGCAGAAACCCATCAATCTTTAGGAGGCTTGCAAATTGAGCATCAAGAAAATTGATTAATAGGCCTTTGATGTGGCTGCCGTCATGGTCCTGATCTGTCATGATCATGAGATGACCATAACGAAGATCTTTAATATTCTTTTCGTCATATGTCTTTTTGTGCTGTAATCCGAGGATTTGCTTGATATTTTGAATTTCTGCATTCTTTGCAATCTGGTCTGCCGGTGCGTCTCGAACATTTAACATTTTCCCTCGTAACGGGAACACGCCAAAGAGATCCCTTCCTACAACTTCCATGCCGGACATTGCTAGTGCCTTAGCTGAATCACCCTCGGTCAAAATTAGGGTACATTGCCACCCGTCTTTCGTGCCAGCTTTGTTCGCATCAACAAGCTTCGAGTTAACGATGCGGGCTCGCCTTGAACCATCTGTTTTTTTCAAAAGCGCATCTGTTTTGGTTTGTGCTGTATCTGAAAGAGCTTCTTTGATACCGCTCCTGACGACTTTGGTTAGGAAAGCGTCTGAAATCTCGCAGGCACTTCCAAATGCGTTTGGGCGGGTTGTAAGTTGTTCTTTTGTTTGAGAGGTAAAGGCGGGGTTTTCAATCAAGCAATTGATGAACAGGAAGAAGTGGTTTTTGATTTGAGCCGGTTTCAAGGCCGCCAGCGCCTTTTGTTTTTTCATTTCTGCATTGAGGCGATTCACGATCCTGTCAGCGACGTAATTGACGTGGGTTCCACCAGAAGTTGTAGCGATGGAGTTAACGTAAGAGACCTGTTGGAAAGTGCCATCTGATACAGCAAATCCAATTTCCCACCTATCATTGACTCTTTCATATGCGATAACCGGCGGCTTGCTATCAAGCTCAAGAATCGCCCCGGATTCTTGCTTTTCGCGGAGGATAGAGTCAACGTGTAATTGCATAAATGTCTTGAAATCTTTGATCTTGATTTGATCTCCATTGTAGTAGACCTTTAGGTCCCGGCAACAGCCAGCAAGATCATAAACCCTACGACGTACCAACGACTCGAAATGACTATCGATTTCCGTCATCCCGAACTTCTCTAGATCTGGTTTGAAGGTGACTTTCGTGTATTCCTCGGCTTTAGCCATCGGTTTGATTATAGCCTTCTCACAGACTTTCATGTTGTTTCGCCAGACTTGTTTGTATTTTTGTTTCGACTTTTTGTCTGCTGTCTCAAGAATGAATTCTGTCGAAAAAATATTACAAAGCTTTGCACCGAAGCCGTTTCGTCCACCAACAACTTTTTTCTCGTTATCGTTGTAGTTGCTGCCAGTAAGAAGATGCCCAAAGATCATCTCCGGGATGTATATTTTGGTTTTATCGTGTATTTGAATTGGAATTCCCGATCCGTTATTATAGACACTGATAGTACCTTTTTCACGGTCGAGTTCAACCTTCAACATGTTCATGCTGGGATCTCGGATCTTATTATCAGCAGCGTTGACGATTATCTCGTCGAAGATTTTGTAGAGCCCGGGGACGAAGGAGACTTCCGAATAAACCATTCTATCTTCGTCTTGGTTGTGGATCCACATTTTGCTCTCCGTTCTCTCGATAGATCCAATATAAGTATCCGGGCGGATGAGAACGTGTTCTTCTTGTGAAAGCTGTAAATGAATATGTCAGAAAAGCAAAACGGTTACGGAGTATTTTGCGAATCGTGACGCCCACCTTTTGATATTTGTCTGAAGCATTCTGAACGCCCTTCCCTTTGTCTGAGGTAACTAGCTTCCCGATGTTATCACCATCTTTTCCTTCTTCATCTTCGAGATCGTCGTTGAGGTTTTCGAGATCTTGAAGGGGCTTTCCAGGCTTGCCTGCACGTCCTGCAGCTGCCTTCTTAGTAGATGTTGTCTTCTTGACCCTTTTTGGTGGGGTCCCGGATAGATTCCCGTCGGATTCATCGCCGTCATGATTTGCAGGGCGTTTTTTCCCAGCGGTCTTTGGGGGAGCGGATGATTTTTTAGGTTTTGGCGCTGCCTTGGCTGGTTTTACAGCAGGTTTGGATGCGGCCTTCTTCTTCTTCTATTTTACCCGAACGGGAGACAGTCAGCGTGGTAGACGAGATACTTGGGACATGAATAGGGTAATGAACGTACAGGTGTTGGGTCATAGCCATCAGAATCATCGGTGATACCGAAAATAGTTTCGTCCTCCATGGTTGGAGCAGCTGGTGTTAAGTAATTGCTTTCTAGTTATCCGTTCAACTGTCTGGTTCGGATAAAGTGGCGGTATGATGAGGGTTTCTTTCAAAGTGGATGGTTGGGATATATTAGTGTGATGGTGAATGATGGAGAAGCAGACGTGATTCAGAGCTCTGGTCGCTATTGTGTTACTCGCTTTTGGCTGGTGTTGTTTTTGTTGTTGTTGCTTTGGTGGTAGGAAAGAAGGCACGAGTTTGGTGTGGTTTTCGCGTTAGTGGCGGTGCAGCGCCAGGAACAAAGGGTGTGGCATAGTTTGTGTACGTGTGTGGCGTAAATGAAGGGACTACTTCCTTCTTGAGCGAAAAAAGGAGTGATACCTGGGCAGCCCCTTAGTTGCCCAGTCTGATGCTGCTTCCATACTTCTGGGTGTTCTCCGGAACACACTAGTACACCATGTGAGTAAGAAATATTTCACTCCTGCGTACTTACTTACTTAAGTATTTACTTACGCAGTGCAATCTATCGATTATATCGTAATATTTTATATAAATCAGTAGTATTAGTTAGTACTACTTGCTTCGTCAGTAGTAAGAAATAGAAGTATATAGGTACTTGCTTACTTGGTATCCTCTCCTCTCCTCTCCTCTCCTCCTCTCCTCCCCTCCCCTCCCCCTCCTCTCCTCTTGTACCCCTGTTCCCACTCCTTTTGTTTCCTCTCTGTCTCCGCCTCTGCCTCTCTCTCTCCCTCCTTACATTTAGACCTTCTCATTGCTGCGAACAGCGTACGTATCTATATTTATTCCGGAGGTACTTCTTACTTACCTAAGTACTATTTCTTTTTTTCTCACCAACTTCGCAGCATCCGCTTGTTTAATAGTTAACATTAACAGCTTACCGCATTAGGACGGATCAATGCACCAGGCCGCATATTGTTAGTCTTGTAACCGCTACTTACAAACCACCTTTCTAAGGTCTAGGCGCCTTGACAAGTTGACCCAGCTTCAAATACACATCTCACGCACACTTCTAGAGAATCTTCCATTCCCTTAGCATAGCCTCGAGACCACCTTTAACATTAACACCGCCGATTTTGCCAGGAAAGGATATGTAAATCCTGAAAATAGAGCGCCCATTCAACATTCAGACCATTATAATACTCGGGTAGTGTCTGCGACTCTACTCGAGCCCTTTAATCTATAATCTCCCAAGTGCCTGCCTGTCACTACAGGCAATCCCTGGTTACATAGAGGCTTCAACATGACGCGGAATCTAGATCTCGGGGCCCGAAATAGTAGTCCTCCGACAGACGAATCTCAACGTTCATCGCACTCCTCTGATAGTATGGTTACGGTACGACTATCAAATTCCGAGTCCATCCCTCAAAAAAGAATGTCACTCAAGTTGGTCACTGATGACCAGTCAACCGGCCCAAGAGCCCTCACTGATCCCGTTATCGGAATCTCACGACCGTCCCCTACATCTCCCATTGGGGCTTTTCGAAGAGATAGCATGAGCTCCGAACCCGAAGAAAGCACGGTCGACTGGGCGGAGCTGGAGCGCTCGGAAGAAAAGGAACTAAGAGACGATACAGCTGATGAGGTTAGCTCTGGGGTTTTCGGCGCTCTTATTCTGACGACCCATTTTCGTTCTGACGTTATATTTCTTATATAGAGCACGACTTTCTTACTAGCCCGTCTTGAAAAAGAGAACTCGCGACTCGTAAATGACCCAAAAGCAGCCCGGGCGGTCCCTGGGCAGCCTCGACCACCCTCCTTGCATCATCTTAAAAAACTGATGGACAATCCTGATCCTGCTACCCTCAGATATTCGATGCTCCCTTCGCCGCCGCCATTGACTGATCTCGACTTCTATGCGGCTTTGGTAAATGACTATCACCGAACGGCTATGAGGCTGCCTTTTCTTCTTAGTAAAAAGATAAGGAGTGGCATTCCGCCCCCGTTGCGTGGTGTGGTGTGGATTTCTATGTCAGGAGCCCGTGATTCGAATCTAGAGTCAACATACGACCGACTTCAAGGAGAATCTTCTCCGTACGAGCACCTTATCGGCAAGGATCTCGATCGGACTTTCCCGGGGGTTGATATCTTTTCGACGGCTGGGGGCGAAGGGCAACGAATGCTTGGTAGAGTCCTCCGAGCTTTTAGCGTTTATGATACACAGATCGGATACTGCCAAGGGTAAAGTTAGACTTGTATGATTAAAAGAAAAAGCATATGAACTAATATTGCGATCGTTAGGCTCGGCTTCTTGGTTGGACCCCTTTTGATGCATATGGGCGAAAGAGAAGCGTTTTGCGTCCTTGTTAGGTAAGAAACTTCAGCACCGTGGCCGATAGGCACAAAGCACAATGTACTCATGCTTGTTTTAGGCTTATGGAAAACTACGAGCTCCGTTCCTGTTTCCTACCGAATATGTATGGATTGCAGCTACGGTTGTATCAACTCTCCAACTTAATTGCGATTCATCTTCCAGAGCTTGCTAAGCACCTTGACGAACTCGGGATCCAGGCAGAATATGCCACACAGTGGTTTTTGTCCTTTTTCGCTGTTACTTGCCCTCTACCAATGCTTCTCAGGATATACGACGTGATCTTCCTCGAAGGGGCCCCTGAAACGATCATGCGTGTTGCAATCTCTCTTCTACGCCGTAATGAGGCCCGTCTCCTCGCCAGCCACGAATTCGAAGAAGTCATGCAGATGCTGTTGGCTCGGGGCTTATGGGATACTTACAAATGTTCTGCCGACGACCTTGTGAATGATTTCAGTAGCCTAACCGGGATGGTCACGAGGGAAGGCCTGATGGAGCTAGAAGAGAAGTTTAAGAAAGAACACCCAGAAGAAGCCCATGTTCCATTTCAGTCCACAAAACCACAGGAAAATAGTGTACAAGCTGTAGCAGCGAGATTTCTAGGGAGGTTTTGGGCGATCCAATCCCCACGGGAAAGCACACCTTCGGTGAATCTTAGTGCATTGCCAGTCCCTACAGCGTCTCGGCCCAACAGCACGATCATGCGAAGGACCGGGTCGAAGCAAAGCATTGCTACAATGAATTCGCTAGACTGTGCGGTCTCCGAGATAGGAAGCGTACACCAGGAGGCAAATTCGTCAACAGATGATCCTCGGAGTTCTAGCAAATCAGCATCCTCCTCAGCCCGTAAAAACAAGGAAAACGACTTGCACAATCAGATTGAAGATCTCCTCGTTGCCATGAGTGCGTTGCAACGGGAGCATGCTGCGAAGATCGATGAACTACAAGCGCTACGACAGGAGAGGGCGGAGGAGCGCCGGTTATCAAAACGATTGGTAGCTCTGGTCGCGCAGGAGCCAGCTCAACCGAATGATTCTAGTTCTGAGATTGCAGAGCTGTGTAGTCAGCTTTCCCAAAACTTCGACGAATTTGAAGACCCTGCTCAGCCGCGCCGATCGTATAAGGAACTCGCCGAGGAACTAGAACGAGCAAGGGAAAAGTTAAGGCAAGAGGTATCGCGGACGAAAGATCTCCAGTCACAGTTGGTTGATAAGGATGGGGAGGTTACTCGATTAAAGGGGCAGGTGGCCGAGTCCAGGTCCCGATGGCAGGATTCTCAGAAAGAGAAGCACAGGCTCGAGAAAACAATCAGCGATCTTAAAGCCCGCAAAGATCTTCCCAAACACGTTACTGCCGATTTTGACCATCATGACGCTAGTCCAACGGCGGAAACGGAGAAGCAGCCCAATGGGCTCCGAGCATTCAAGTTAAACCGGACCGATAGCGGCGCTAATACCAGGCCCAGGCAGGCTCCCACATCCACCCCGCCAACGTATAACAAGCGTTCAAGTAGTCTCGGTATTCAGCCACTACTTCAGAGCACTGATAACCAAACTCCTGCGTCAGCTGATGCTTTGTTGCTAGAACTAGTGCAAGCGAAAACAGCAGAAGCAACAGCGAGGCAAGAAGCCGAAGAAGCTAGGGCGAAACTCGAGGCAATGCGGAAAATGCTCACCAACAGCACCCCCCCGTCCAAAGCATCGATAGAACGGGCCAACACGGTATTCATGCCTGGCCAAACTACAACAATATCTTCGATGGGGCCTCCGTCTTCAGCTAATACGTCTAATACGGGGGCATTTGGAAGATGGGCACCATGGGGTCGCAAGTCGTCGGGTACTGATTGACCACCTATATATTTGTTAATATCCATAAATACATGTTTGTTGAAGCTGACGAAATGATTTTCGATTTTTCTTCTTGTAAATACTTCTTGGGCGCATTCTTAATTCTCACAATGTTTCGGCCTATTCGTCTCTATCTTGCTTTCTTTCATTATTTCATTACTTTATTCATTTTGGCAATTAACCATGACAAGCAAGGCAGCCTTTTCTTCTTTCCTTTTTCTTCTTGTTCCTCGGGTTTGGTTTTAAATTTTGGCGGACATTAGATAGTACTGACCCGGCGATTACTTAGCGAATACTATAGGTCTAGGTAGCAGGTATATTGATTTCCAGATGTATATATATCTCTTGGTTGGTAGCGATGGGCTGGTGCAAGTGGGAATAATATATCTAATACTATATAATTCTACTCACCGTGATATCATTCCATACAAAGTAGCCTGGGCCTGTGAATCTAGATCTATACACATGTACATACATGCACGTGCAAGCGCAGGAGCTAGCTCGAGACCAGGGGTGGATATCAATTGGGTGATGTGTATGACTAAGCTGACCAGAGCTTCCGTCGCGCCACAATAAAAACTGTCATGGCCACTGGTACCATCTACCTTTCTTGGTCGACCGCGACATCACACCCATCCACTGAAATACTTCCTAAACTTACTGACCTAGTCTTGAGCCACCTGCCATCAAGCAGCGCGGGGAGTAGCTCTGGAAAAGATGAATCCAGCACTGGCGAACAATCGGGCCGCGGTCCCAGGACCCTTCTCACCCGCTCAAGCCGGCGCGCTCGCACAACCATCAGGGACAACTGTTCAGAACAGTAACCTCGCCGCCCAACAGCAACAACAGCTCTTGATGCAAAAGGCCCAAGAAAATCAAAACCAATTACAACTGGAGAAGTCCCGTGTCTCTCTACTTCTTGAGATCAATACCGAGCTATTGAAGGAGTCGTTACACTTACAGGCGGCTAAGGCTGCGGGCGCAACGACAGAGACAACGGAGGACGTCAAAGCCCTCGAGAAGAGCTACAATGAGTAAGGCATATCTGATATAACCAAAATCTTGTAAACCCTCATCCAACGGATACTTCCTTACATACTTGTTTCTCCATTACCAGGTGCCTACAGCGACTCAAGGTCAACCTTGCGTATCTCGCCGCTATGGCTGATCGAAGAACGTCAACATTGCCAGCTGCTCCGGCCCTCCTGCTACCACCATCGAACATTCCATCATTGATTGAGCCGTACAAAAAACTACAATCTCTATTCCCAGGAATTAGTAGTGCCGTAACAGCCGTGCCAAACCCTCAGCCCGGGCACACCAGAGGCAGCAGTCAGGTAGCAATGGCAAACCCAGCAATAAAGACGATACCTAATCAATCACAACTACCTCAGTCATCACCGCCCCCGCAACAGCAACCACAGCAGCTTAACACCAATCAGCATCCTTTATCTCAGGCACAAACACATCCACAGCAGCAGTCCATCCAACCAGGTGCTATGCCGCAGAATCAAATTCCCGCTGTAGCATCCTCTATGATGCAGAATATTATGCAAAATCCGATGCATGGTGCTATGCAGAATATGAGCCACATGCCGCAGATGAATCAGATGAGCCCGCATCAACAGCAGCAATTACAACAGATACAGCAGATACAGCACCAACAGGCCCTCAATCGTCAGCAGCAGCAGCAGCAGCAGCAGCAGCAGCAACAACAACAACAACAACAACAACAGAATCCTCAGCTGGCTATACACCAGCAACAGAGCGGACAGATGAATATGAATGCGATGAGCTTCAACCCCGGATTTTATCTTCAGCAGGCTCAAATGCAAGCCCAAATGATGCGACCTCAGCAGAATCCCCGAATGATGGGTGTTACAAATACTGCCGGCATAGGCTCGACGGGAATAATGACCCCAACCATGGCCCCCACAATGCCTGGGATGGATCCGATGTTTGGTACTGGGGAAATGAATTGGAACTTTGGCATGCCAGGAAATTGGAGCATGGGTGGAACCGGCTAACGATTTGTATCTGTGGGAGAGAAGGCGGGAGGTACAACCATGATATTATATCATATATCGGTGAGTTTTTGCATAAAAAATTTATTGTAAGTTGGCATTTGCTTTTTAGTATCTATCTATCTCACATACACACACACTCTCTCTCCGTCTCTCTCTCTCTCTCTCTCTCTCTCTCTCTCTCTCTCTCTCTCTCTCTCTCTCTCTCTCTCTCTTCTTTTTTTTTTTTTTTTGTTTAATTTAAATTTTGGTTAATTTTTTTAGTGAATTGTTTATAGGGGAAGGTAAGGGTGAATTTTTGAGGTTAAGATAAATAAAGTGTTAAATAAAGTGTGGATAT